ATATATATATACCGTGTGTGTATATATATATATATATATATATATATATATATATATATATATATATATATATATATATATATATATATATATATATATACAGTATACATTAATTAATATTTTTTCTTTTATGACTGCATCTTTTTGTGTTTATGTGCTATCGCATATATCGTTGGCCAAAATATGGGCTTTAAAAGAATAATTATACTTATTGTTTAATATCTAGTTTTAAAATAAGTTTATACTCATCCTCAGATGTTTATTGATATTTTAATATCATTATAAACACAATCTAAATTAAAAAACGAATAATTCAGTAGTTATTTATCAAAATATTTATGGGCATTGATTAATTCATCAAAATTTGAATTTATTATTGTTCACTTCTTTCATTCTTCATTACAGCAGAAAAATTAAAATTATCCTGTAATCAGCAAATTATGCATGTTATTCACCCCAGAATCCTTCTGAAAACTTTGAAGATCTAATCTCAAGTTCTACATGAGAACTGTGGAGTTACACTCACTTCTTCAGTTTCCAGAAGGATTCGGAGGTGATAACTTCACACATGACTCATGAGGACCATTTTTACACTTGCCAAGTTATTCCCTGTGATCATATGTATTTGGAAGCAGAAAAAATAAATTACTTTCTTAATGTAATGGAGTTATTCTCAATGTAAATGTTTTCAAATTTATGACAATTTGAGCATACCTACAATACAAAGTTTTAAAATTGTGTTAACTATACCATGAAGATTCATTGTAGAGATGGTTGTTTTCTTTCATTTATGACCCGTGGAGAAGGGGCGATGCCCCTATACAACTATAATAATTATTATTCTTATATTATATTATATTTAATATAACAAATAGTTTCTGAATAATTATTATAACCCACAGGTTTGAGAAAGAATGCCATGAGCCTACCCTGGAGCTTCACAGGTGTGGACCTCCTCTTGCTGTGTGTGCTTATCAGCAACCTTGGTGGACAGTCAAGTATTCCTGGTTCCAGCCTGAAACCTTGGCTGCAATAAAATAAATGTCAAAAAAGCAGTATATGCCTTTTTTTTTCGTAATCCAGGTACAAGTTGTATCACTTTTGTTAACTCCAAACCAGCTGTTTATCCGTACTACACCATGCAGCACGAGACAAACATCCTTTACAGTCAGTGCTAGTATATAATCCCATTATATAATTCCTTAATTAGTTTAAGTGTTAGTCTAAAGCAGGCGTCTCAAAACTATGGTCAGCTAAAGTTTCTTTGATTACACGGTAAAATTTTTAAAACTATGAAATTTAATAAATCGCTGAAACATGATGGGTCCATGGTCTAGGGGAAGAATGGACCTTAGATAGGACATTATGGAAAGAAGCCAACCAAGCACTCTAGGTTAAGGAAACCCACTATTAGTGGAAACTCCTAATAAATAAATAAACTGAAACATGAGGTAACTACAACATTTTTTGAAGTAGTTGTTTCTCTTACAAAATTTAACAACTGAAGTGCCATTTATAGAGCAATATTTTTTTTTAATCACAAGCCTTTGCCTGGGGACTTATGAGGCCCACGGGACTAGGTGGAGGTCCCAATGTGACCCGCGAACCAAAATGTTTTGAGACCTCTGGACTAAATCATAAAAAAATGGAGTATTCATTCATTTATCAATCAACTGATTTCCCAAAATCACAATTTTTTTAATTTATTTTTTTTTAGACTTGGACTTTTAAAAAAGAGGGTATTATTTCATCACTAATTTTCTACATTATATATAATACGGTGGGTATTGATCTCTTTTTGGTTCTCAGGAGAAATGGATTTTGATGAATGAGATATAAATTTATTTATTTTTGGTTTATTATTATCAATGACTAGTGTAATTCGACAAAGAAAAAAAATTAATTCCTCCAGCTCATAACACATCACATTAACTTATTTCTTTATTATTTTGTCATTTGTTCACTGCCCAATATACTATGCCAATTATTCGCACAGGTCAACTAGTGACTTAAGAAAATACTTGAACATCATATGAGTGGCTTCATATCAAAGAGTGACATCTGCATTCTAAAAATTTGAGAAAAAGCCAACTTTCTGTAACATAGCTTCAATCTAAACCAATTCTATTTTTTTTTTTTTTTTTTTTTTATAACTGATCTTGAACATTTTTAAATAAAACCATCACAAACAATTTGAGTTGAACCCATATAACAAAAATTGAATATTTCTCCACTTTCTGAAAATGATAGTCCATCTTTGATTTGAAGCTCCTCATAATCACTACAGATTATGAAAAATTAATACTTCAAATATTAATTTATCATAAAAAATCGTATTACTGTTATTCCTACATTGAACATGATGAGTAAATGGAGTAAGAGATTACTGACCTGAGATTTTTGCCGATAGACGTGGCAACTAATGAGCCTATTTGAATACAATGCTAGGCTTAGCAAACAAAGGTAATACAGGACAGCCATCGCCTAGGCTAGGCTAATATTTACATATGTCTTGACCATCGTCACCATTGTATTTCATTTCTACAGATAGGTCCAGATACAACAGTAATTATTAGCATATCTTAAGCAAAGTCAGTTGTGTTCAACTAGGCCAATGTGGCCTGTACATCCCCAAGAGCTCATCATAGGATTAAGATTTAATCATGGAAAACGATTTATGTAAAAGCTGAGATTACTTCCAAAATATTAATAACATTTTTGTTATTAACATGCCTACGTTTACTCGATTCAATAGAAACATATAAGTAGCATTAATGGTCCGTGGGACAGAACCCTTTTTATAAAATTATTAACATCCCCTGAAACTTCGTAAATAGCTTCATCTCATCGTAACCTACAACTCTTTTATTTACGAAAACTCTTCGAATCGGGGCAATTTTCAATCTGGTGGAGGAAAACTTTTTCTATTTAATTAGGCACTAAAAACTCGTAAATACTCATTTGCTTTCCACTTGGATCATAAGATAATTTGATCACAAAATCGATAAAAAAAGGTGTAAATCCACCTTAAGGAATGTATGAAACATAAGCGCCAAAGCCAGAATAAACGTAAACTTTGTTTATATTTAGTTACTTTTAGTAGTATGTTTTTCGAGGGCACTTAATGTAGTGTATATGGTGTATTCAAAGATTGATAACAATTTTACTATTTATTCAAGTTATAACAATGTTTCGAGCTACTTTGCTCATTCTGAAGTTCTCAGTAGTGAGGTAGACCAGTGTACTATCATTAACTAATGGGTTAAACAACGATAAAATTTTCAATAAATTTTCTTCTTTACTGAGAACTGGAAGAAAAAAACAAAAGAGGCCAAAAATGATTCTTGGTTGAGAAGTGTTAAAATTTATTAAGACACGAATAGAAAAAAAAAATTGACTGAAGTAATCTCATATCACTACATTAAATTTTAATAATATAAGACTGAAAAATGAATGAAACTAATGTTTATGTTGTTTTGTTTTTTTTGTTTACCCTCTACCTTGCCATTTCTGGTATATGGAGGGGTGACGGGCTCATTCTAGAGGTATGGCTAAACCTATTTTAACCAAAGTGGGAAGGTTAAGATTCATTCAGTGGGTCTGCCATGAAATAAATTTCAATCCGTTCAGGCCTAATTCAAATAGGCTCTGGTAGACTCAAGAATGACAGCAACGACCAACTAAAGAAAGGCAACACTATAACATACGGCCTTCTTTACCAGTTGCACTCTTCTCAGACTAAAAATATTTTGTTGGACTTATTTATTATAATAAAGTATACATTTCTAAAAGAAAATGGTTAGTGTTTAAAAAAAATGAATAAATATAATATTGAGTAATGAATGGTTGACCGTTGTACAATATTGAGAAAGGAGATGGCCAGGGTGGCGGTCATAAAAAATTTAAAATAGTGAAAAACTATTTTTGTTAAAATCAAAGGATAAAATAATATTTCGCAATGGTAAGTTTTTTATGACTGCCACCCCAGACCATTTTCCTCAAAAAATATATTACATTAGACTGCTGTGAAAAACATATGGTAATTAATTGTCTTAATGATATTTTGTACCATCTTTAATTTTTACTTTACTCTAAAAATACCTATATCTGCTATAAAAAGGTTGGAAGTGAAAGTTGGGTGATATGCAAACTGCCCCAATTTTTTTTTATTTTCTAGTCATTTTTCATTCAATACCTTATTCAAATCGATCATTTGTTATCGATAGGATAGCATTCAGTATTAACAGTTTCACTACATTTTAGCAGCTCTTAACAGACCACACTATTTTTTCGAGGGTCTTCTATATTTAGTTCAACATCAAAATCACCACTTTTGAATTTTGTTAAACCATTCAAAGCACTGTGTGCATTAATAGAGGCCCTTGGCAAGAGCTATACTCTTGAGAGTATACAAGAGCCATATACCGCTCACCATAAGCTTTGACAAGCATTCAATGGGATTCTATATCAGTTTTCTTTAAATGGTAATAGAAAACTAATATTGTCCAAAATCATAGTAGGTAGTAGTAAGCAAAAAACACATGTTCAACAATGCTGTTATATAAAACTTTTATTGTTGAAAATCTTTTAAGCTTTGAAAATGTTCTTCCTTCCTCTGGAATTAGTATACAGGGTTTCGTTGATGTAGAGTGTATAACAGTTCAATCTGGTTATCTCATTTATATATTATAAAAATGGTTTCCATTTTGTATTTATAATTGTCAACAATAAACAAAAAAATAGAGTAACCCATTACTGAAGGTCTATACTCCAAGAGTATATTGCTCATATTATTTACAGTTAAAAATTCCAATAAACATATGTCCGAAATTACTTCTTAAAAGAAATTTTTTAACTGTCTTTTGAATTTTAGCTTTATTTAAAACTCAATATATAACAAATTTATTATTAGTTTAATGGACATAACATAAAGAATATATTAACTATTCTTTTTTAAGTTTAAAAAAGTAAATATTTACATTCATGTTACATTTTTTTTTTTACAAAACATGTTAAGATTTGTTTTATGGAGATATATCCATATGTTGCAATGAATCTTCATTTAGAAGAGATTCTGTTTCTTTTTCTACATTTGGTTTCAGAAATATTCTTGACATATGTAGTAACTTATCGGTTTTAAAACGAAACGACATAGTCTTTTCAGGATTTTCAGAAAACAGAGGATCAGTATTTTGTTTATTTTCTTCTACTTCTTCAAAAAATAAATGAGTGCCAACTGTATCTCTCCATTCACCTTGGTATACCTTTGAATAAATAAAAATTATAAAAAGAAAAAGTTAAATAAAACACATAAAAATATAATAAATTAATGGTTTTAACTTTTTTAAAAATATTATGACTCGATTAAGAAAATTATTTATTTATTCCTGCTAATAGAAATTAAACAGCACCAGGCAAAAGCGACAAAATATGGCTTCTATAAAAATTACATCAATTGAAAATTTATTTAAAAAATTACAAAATTTTAGTCAGATGAGAAATCAGTTTGATAAAAATATATTCAATCAAATAAAGAACCAAAAGATGGACTGAAAAAAGTTGTATACTTTTGTTTAAGTACTTGGTTTATGGTCTATTAAATAATAATAGCCTATCCAGAATGATTCACCTATGTTTAGTTTATGATAAGAATAACGGATTGCTTCAATTTAATTTTTAAAATTTCAGAAAGTTTTATTCTAAATTTTAATTGTGTACATCAAATACAACTAAAATATTGTTTATAAATTTAAACTAAACATTCCTAACCAGAGACATGTTGATAGGAAAAATGGAAAGATATATCTTGGATGACAGTTTTGAAACACCATAATAGATATTAGATATCCAATGGAATGAGCTAGGTGCTGACATCCTATAGCGTAGCCGGGTCTCCATTGTTATCAGTTTGTCCCCACTTTTCTTAAAGGCTAATTGCCTTTGCAAATATGCATCAGAAAAATTAAGGAATTTTTGTGTTTATATTGTTATAAATTAAACTAATAAAAATTGAAAATTCATGTAAGTGCCCCATTAGTCACTTTTATATTAGTTTTGACTAATGACAAAAAAATGAATGATTTTTCTTGATTATTTTTAGGACAAAAAAATTTAGCCATCAATCAAATCATTTTTGTCCAACCCAGTATAAAGAGTACGGGCTATTGGTTTAGATTACAATGAACTGACAGCTGACTTTAATAAAATAGATGTTTAAGCAACTATAAAATATAGCCTTGTCTTTTGTCAGAATACAAGAAAAAAAAATCTGCAGCTAATTTTCAAGATAAATTGAGTAGACAACAATGAAGTAAAACACTGACAAGACCGACAGTTACGAATTCGTGACTCACAAACCTTAAATGAACATCTAGCCCAGCATTCAAGATAGATTTAAAAGAGAAGTCTTCCTTTCAAATCTTATCTATTTAAAGTAAAAATACCTTAACCAATAAAACACTTATACAATGTTTCTTTAAGTCAAAGTATAATGTAAAAAGTTACATTCATTCACAAAATTGTAATAACAATGTAAAAACAAACAACAGACAAATAAACTATTAAATATTAAAACAACCTAATTCGATTAAAGTTAACACCTAAAGATAATACCTGATTTCCTAATTGAAGTACTGGTTTTTGAGAATCTAGACCAATAATTTTAAAATCTTTATCAGATGCGAAAAAAACATCTTCAATCTTCGTATTGAAATCCATATAAATCAACAAATCTTCAGATTCACCTTCGAAATCCATTCCAAAGCTTTAAAAAGAAAATCAAAAAAGAAAACTTCAATCTTAGGATAAGGATTCGATCGATTGTTGAAACACCAGAAGATTAAAACTTTCTGTAACATACAATACAAAATAAGCATGGGTAAAGCAGAAAATGTTTTAAAGTTCCAATTTCCTTAATTTAATGTTTAACAATCAAGCTCAATATGGCATCTTTTATTTTAATAACTGAATAATTTTACTTCTAAATAGTAACTATAGGGCAACCAAGATTATTTAGAACCCCAAGGATGGACTGTGGTGGCACAAATTTGAAACTAACCTTTTTGTTTTTACCTTAACCTCTGATATTATACACAAAATATGACAAGATGACATGATAATCCATAAATAATTTGTATGTAACATCAAAATTTAAGAGAAAAAACAAAATGTCAGTCTAGACATAGTGCTATATAAGTTCGTCTTATGTATGGCAACTAATTGTCTATTTTAACTAATTGTCAACTTTTTTTTTTCCTGTACAATTACCGCTTCATGGATAGTAGAATTAATTAGAAGACAATTTTCATAAAGTACAAATATAAACAAATATTTTTAAAATACAGGATTATTATGTAAACGAACAAAAAAATAATATTTCACACATAATGTTCATAAATTGATTCTTAAAAGGTGGATAATAAATGCCTCTCCAGGATTCTCAATATGAGGAAATTAATCTTTCTGTAAAATATTCCTAATATTTTAAGTATAATTAATAACAAGAAGAAATTCCACCACTAATTTATCATTTTTAAAATCTCTGTATACTCATCTAACAGAGTTGGGCGAAAATCATCCAATTAATGAATGACGAATAGATTTTATTTCATAATAAAATTCACGACTAATGAATCTTATATTCTTTATTCGCGACTAATAATACAAATAACTGTAAAAAAAATAATTTTCTTTTTAAAACGACCAACGACTAAAAATTTAGTCATTCATTCATGAATTTATTTCTGAATAAAACATGTTAAAATTCATTATAATTTTTTTTATTTGGGTTATAAATATAAAGGACGCAGTCATTATAAGGTTTTTATTAGTGCCGACGTTTCAACCCAAACATGTGGTTCATCATCAGAGCGTGGTTCGAGCAATGAAGGCTTTCAAGTACTAATACTAAGATGTGTTAGTACTTGAAAACCTTCAGTGCTCGATCCACGCCCTGATGATGACCCACATGTTTGGGTTGTAACGTCGGCACTTAAAAAAACCTTATAATGACTGTGTCCTAAATATTTATCACCCATGATATGAAGAACAGTCGACTAACTCCCTTCAATTTTTTTAAATTTCTTTTTCTCTAACAACCCTCCAGTTTGCTTGAGTAGATATACAATTTATAATGCAGAGATAACGGAATACATGACATTCAATAATGAGGATATAGAACTGAATCCAGGAGAGGTTCTAAAAAGAATTAAACATTTTAAATATCTTGGTTCCATAATTGAAATAGATGGTGCATGTGATGTGGAAATAAAAAGAAAAATTTCAGATGGCAAAAAGACCATATCAATGCTCAACTCGGTATTATGGAACCGGAATATTATCCCCAAAACAAAAAAAAACATCTACAATAGTATAGTACTGAGCATTATGACATATGGGTCAGAAACTTGGACTATAAAAAGCAACCTCAGGAAGAAACTTCTAGCCACCGAAATGGACTACTGGAGACGAGCGGCGGGAATATCCAGAATGGATAATGTCAGAAAATATATAAATACGATTTTATTGGTTTATGCTCTCTTAGCAAGTATTTATTCCACTAGGATTAGCGTACAAACGGCAGACCATTGAGAACTAGAAATCTAGTATTATTTATAAAATAAAGGACATTTCAATAACATAAGTTTAGAAGAAGTTGCGCACCCCTCACCCGATCTATCACATTTCAAAAGTCATTGATTTATTGGTCTTATTGTTAATCATTTGTAATGTTCTCGTTCCCTCCAAAATCAAACAACCAGTTTATTTCTCACATATATATAAATTCTCAGGATGGGTTCTGACAACTTAACACTCATTCAAAATTAAATAACTGTAAGCTACTATAAATTATATATATATATATATATATATATAAATTATAATTGTTTTCAAAACCATTGATTGTCCCGGTCTAAACTTTGTGTCTCTATCCCTCTGTCAATATAAATGGCATTTTTGGAACTCACCCAAATGTTTACGCCTGTCAGTGAAATAAACTATTCTTATTCATGAATGTTCCAACGTTTTCGGTACCACTGAATTAATTTCCGCTAGTTCTTTCTTCCAACACAAAGTAATCACCACTGGTGGCCCCAATCAACACTCGGACCGGTCAGTATTCCTTTTAGATCTTCTCGACTTGCTGGCTGGTCACCTTCTGCCGTTATATGAGGCTTGCTTCCCCCACACTTCAGCACTTCCTGTCAGTAGTTCGTGATGTTACCAACTTCGCGCCAATATTCAAATACACTATGTAATGTTGACATTACACATTATAGTCAAATTTGTGTTTTTAAACTTTTTTGCTTCCTTACTACGAAGCAGTGTATTCGTGCGAGAGATTAAAAAAAAACTGTGCTAAGAACCGAAAATTTTCACTTGTGTTTTACATTTCAGACATCAAGGATCAAATTTGGTTTGGTGTCTGTCTGTAGTCAGATTGATGTGATGGGTATATCACCAACTACCTTTCATCCGATTTTCATGAAATTACCAGATTGTGCAGGTTGGTGCCAAGATGGTCCCATGTCAATTATATCCCGCTTGCGCGCACATAAATGTATTTTCATAGATATACCAATATTTCAGAAATGGCTAGTTCGATTTGGCTCAAAGTTGAAAGAAAGGTGTATTTTGACAAAATAACGAATCTTTGTCAATTTTATTGAATTCCGTCCACTAATTTTTCTTATGTATGAGCAAACGCATTTTCCTTGATACGTCTACATCTCTAAAACCACTATTTCGATTTGGCTCAAATTTGGAGAGAAGTTAGGGATAGGTTAACAGATAATTAAGTAAGAATCAATTTTATCAAATTCTATCCGATACTCTTAAAAAAAAAAAAAAAAAAAAAAAGACTCCCGCTTTCGGATCAGTAAACACATTATTTGAAACACCTATAGTTTCAAAATGGCTTGTTCAATTTAACCCAACCTTACAGGAAATTTGGAGAATAGTTCAGAAATTGTCAAGTAACAATTTAATTTAATTCCATTTAATATTTAAAATTTAATATAAATAAGCGTTAACAATATAATTTAACTGTGCTGTTTATTTAGCTGTGGAATGTGGAAGGCATTGATCACATGGAATAAGAGTTAGGTTAATACAATATTTTTATGAGGTTACAACATTTTAGTTTTTATTCAAAAAGTCAATTTATAATGTATTGTTTGGTCGATTCCAAATGTTACTGGCAAGATACTTACTGCCTTCACTTAGATATCATGTAATTTTCAGTAAATTTTTACTTTTTTTAGTGAGTAAAAACAAAGGTCTTATTTGTGATTTTGTTTGTTTCTATTGAAGTTCAACCAGCTCACCATGGTCTCGATTTTCTCCTTAATCATCAAAGTTTTGTGAACTTCAATCGTATTTTTATATTCCAGCTTAAATTAAGTTTTGTTCTGATTGAGGGAAAATATTGGTCTCGTTAACTAGGAACAAACAAAAAGTTGAAATTTTCTAATGGATATTTTGTTCCATGCATTTCACTAGTGAAAACATACTTGTTAAGTATATATTGCTCCTGTTAGAGTGAAAGGTGACATTTCGTATTATGCAACTGGTATAGGTACCTGGTACTGTGGAAAATAACAGAGGAAAATAAAATCTAACATTACACTACTAAATCATAAAGGAATAATTAGTTTTAATGCTCTCCTGTAAAACACTCGAATTTTACATACGACCTTTGGCACTAACAGTAGCTATATACATCTATAATATGTACTGAGATTTTTTATCATGATTTATCAAATACGCAATTTGAAAATGTGGGAACTCTTCAGCATTTTAGTATTTGTTGTTGAACAAAATTGGTGGATATTAAACCCGCAAATGTTAAGGGATTACTGTATTTCCAAAAAATGTTTCTCCTGGAGATTTTATTCTCATAAAAAAAACTATAGATTTTGAAATGCAGATATTGTTTAACCAATGAAATTGGTGAGGAAGCTATACTGGCCTTACTAGGCAGATGTTTTTTCATGATAATAGGATTTAATTTAAGATGATGAAAATGGAAATCTGTGAGAGGTTTGGCATTTATTTATCAATAAGGTTAATGACAACTTTAAATGTATAATTATTCGGTTTTTATTCGAATAATTAATTGTTCAACTAAATTTTTATTCGAATAGTTTTTCATCCGATTGAAATTTTAGTCATAAATAAATGACTAAAAATTTATTCGGACTTTAATTTGGTTAAAATTTCAATCGTTTTAACAAATGTTCATTCGTGGTTAAAAATTTCGACTATATATTTAGTCGTTTTTTTAATCCAAATAAATTTTTTTAATTTAAATTTTTTAAAATGCCTGCCCAACTATGTCATCTACTAGCAAATTTCCATTTATAATTTCAAAATTATAGCAACATTTGGCTCATGCATAAAAGTTAAATTTAATTGAGATTTATACAAAACCTCAATTAAATTTTTTTTAAATTTTCTTGTGGTGAAAACTTTTATGTTAAAAAAATATTTCCTTAATGAATTGAATTCTTAATAAGTTAAAAAAAAATTTTTAATTTAAAGGAAGTTTTATCATAACAAATATCACTTACAATAGTACAAATAGTATTAACTCATAGTTTCGTTTTCATAAAATTCACTAGTATACAGATAATTTTGGAGAAAGAAAGTCAGCCCGAAATGCCATCCTTTATTAGTTGTAACTCTATAAGATGCAATTAAGGAAGATCATACTGATATTGCCATAAATTTTAGCTATTTCATCGACACCCTTATACAAATAACATAAAATAATACAATGATTAAATCTAAATTAAAAACATTTTAATTTCACTTGTACTATAAATATTTTTTACATTTCACTAAACCAAGCTACTTTGATTATGGATATTAGGCGATAGGTATAAAATAGTTTTTCAGTCATTAATGAAATAATTTATTAAGCTTAATCTTCATTAATAATTATAATTCATAAATAAAAAAATATATTCATAAAAATTAATGGTAAGTATATTCAAAATTTAGAGTAACCACAATATTAATGGATGCTAACTGTGTGGTTAAAAAAATTATTTCCCCAGACCTAGTAGTTCTTGATATATTTTGGAACAGAGGTGAGAAATTTATAAAAATATTTAAAGCAAAATTTTAAACATACTATTTTCATTACAAATAATTTACTATAAATATAAAGATTCATAAATTGGTAACTACTGCATAAAACAATCCATTCATAATACCTAAAATTTACATTAAAAATAAATCATAAATCAATTTTCTAAAAAGTATAGAATTTTTTTAAAAATTCCTATAGCTTAAAATTCAACATCAATCGGGACAAAGGTGCCTTATATAAACAATATAAATTCCTAAATGATAGGAAATAAAAGGCAATAAATTCCTAATAGGTTTTGGTTGTACACAAATATCAAAATTTTAACGTGCATGACCTAAAGTTTTATACTAATTAGCTACTATTTCTGGCACCTACATACACTGCCTACTAACACCAACGAAAAGGTAAGGTTCGAGGCCGATCATTTCCTTCTTTACCCAGAGGTTTATGAAATTCTCTTCCTGGTCGTGAATGTATGGTAGTCCAGCAATGTTCACAGTAATACTGCAGACAAGTCACTGTAGCACAGAAAAAAGGTGCGAATTTCCCTCCACACCTCTGTCCTTGGCATTCATCACACATCTGATCGTCAAGTACATAAGGTTTCACTTCCACCCTTTTATCAATATCTCCATGTTGTAGCTGCACAAATCTTGCACTAATGGCAGCAATATAACTCTGCTGGTTGCTAAATGCAACTCTTCCTGCACCCTTTGGATATTTTAGATCTGGATCCGTGTCGATCCCAGCGTAACACACACCACCGTAGAGTCTATCCATAATCATAGCCAGCTCGACAGCTTTTAAAGGTCTAGGTACACCTCCAACAAAAACTGTTTTTCTCGGATCTAATGGCATTGATGCATCAAGAACAAAATCTACATCCGAAAGTTTCCATGGTCTGATTTGTACAGGTTTATCTTTAACAGTTGGGGAAGAAACACAGAGATATAATTTATCTTCATCCTGTATACAGGCTTCAATGAGTAATTGAACTGAACTCTCATCCTGAAATAATAAAAATGCATATCCTTTTGGAGGGAAGTACGATTTGCTTTCAGCCTTATGAGGCCAGTCAACAACTAGAGGTCCAAATCTTCTGAAGCTTGCTGTTATTTCATCTTCATCGATGTCAGGAGGAAGCCCTCCAACAAATACTTTTCTTGAAAACCGCTCGCCTGATTCAAAAACGTGAATGTGGGATGGGTTTCTTGTTGGTGGTGGAGTTTGATGGACATCAATAATTTGTCCAGTAGGTCCTTCCATTAAAACAGTTTGATCACCAAGTACGGCCTTATACATGAATTAAGAGTGAGTGAGACTCTAGATAGGATAGGAATTTCTGTTAACAAAGCAAGTACAATTTTTCTGTAGCCAATAACATGTGAAGAAACCAGTACTCAACATATAGTAGACTGACTCAGACAAAACTAGTTCTTCAGACATGGCTAGTAGTCTCGACAGTCTTCGAGGATTTAAATAAATATATTTTTTTGATCGCTTACCGACTAGTTTTCAAGACTTCCACCAAATTATTACAAATAGAATTCAAAATTATTTCTCTTCTAGAAAATGGAGCAATCATCTACCAACATTTTAGTAAAGCCTGGCTAAAACATGATTAACAATACTTCATCTGAAAAAAAACAAAAAACAGAAAAGAATTAAAATTTGTAAATATTAGCATATCAACAGTAGACTATATAGTACTTGGACATATCAGTGACACAACGAAACTCTTAAGAACATTATAAAGCAGAAAAATTATTAATTCACAACAATGTTTTCTAAAATAATAAATTAGCACTTATTAAATAAGTAATAAATACTCAAAAATATTGATTTCAGCATTATGATGATCCAACTGGATCAACCATAACCAGTTCCAGCTTGAGATGAACTATGTATAAAAGTGAAATCCAATAGTCAATGGTACATTCAACTTAACTTTGACTAGAGTGAAAGCAGCAGAAACTGATTCAAGTTTAGAGATTCAGAGAAATGAAAAATTAACTAATGCCAATAATTCAACTGTGTATCATTAGTGATGTATGATAGCAGTAATATTATCAACTTACTAGTATCATATATAAAATACTTGGTTCAAAAATATTCTTACCGAGTTAAAGTGAGAAATGACAAAACACAAACTAATAAAAGTAATAAATCAACGTACAAAGAGCGACACAAATACAAACACTGTTAAAGAATATTACACATAAACATTGATGCTTCATAAATTAGTAATCCAAAAAAAGTTTAATTGAAATTGGTTTATAAAAAACAAATATATGATTAAAGGAATGTTTTGAACTGTCACTCAACAATTTTCAAAAATGAATAATTTAGAGATTATTAATAATAAATCAAAATTAGAAACTCAAGAACTTTTTTATCAATCATGGTTCCTTAACTATAACACATTGCAGAAAATATTAAAAATAACTCAGCATTTCTCAGGGATGAACAAAATATTAAATTAAGAATTGCAAGTTTAGACCTATTAAAACAAGCATTAGAACGCGTATTTATTTATTTACTAAAATCGACAATTTAAAATCTATTTACATTAGAATATGGATCACCTACCAATCTCGATTTCTTACACAATCTTATTCACTAACGAAAAGCACCGCGCGAGTTTAAAGGTTTGCATAGAACTTCTAAAAATGAAAACATAGAGAAAATAAATTTTTACATCAATATACTTTTCGTACCACGCAACATTTCAGACATAGTTTATTACCAATTAGAATATTCAAATTAAAAAAATAAAATAAAAACCTTAATTTATAGTATAGTATAATAATAGTTTTATGCTGCGAAAAATAATGAAACATAGTTTACAGATTAGATACTAGATAATTGGTAATTTTTAAAATATTTTATCATAAGACCACTGAATTGGGGCTCAACAGAAAGGACTATAAAACCTATTATTCTATAAGAATAATAGCAATGGGCAATGCCGACATCATATCATCTCATCATAAGGAATATTAACAACACCATATCCACAGACTGGTACACTAAACCAACTTACACAGGCAAACTTCTGAAATTCTAAATATCCTTAGCCACAAAAAATTAATGTTGCCAAAAATCTCATCCACCGTAGTCTCTCCCTCTCCGATCGCCAATTTCATGTAACCAATATCCAAGGTATAAAACATATCCTTTCAAGTAATAATTTTCCTCAATCTCAACCTCCACTGTTTCTCCACAACACATTTCGGCCTCCATATACAGATCTCTCTACCTTATATTCCTCATCTTTCTGAAAACATAAACAAATTTTTACAATCTACCAACCCTAACTTACGACTTGCCTTCCAATCTCACTACACAATTTCTAATTTGTGCACATCCCTAAAAGATCCTGTTCCTCTTTCACACCGCTCTCATGTCGTTTATCGTATTCTACCCCTAATTGCTTTTCACCTTATATTGGTGAAACCAAAAATCGCCTGAAAAGACTGCATCACCCAACAAAAATATTCTGTATCCTCTCATAATTTTACCGCCTCCAAATTATCTGAACATTCTCTCTCCCAAAACCATACATTTGATTTCGACAAAACTTCCATCCTTCCATCCCCCATCCATGACAAACGACTCATTTCTGAAACCCTACACATCCAGCTCCAACCTAAGACAGTGAATCTAAATACAAACAAACAAAACTTATCCCTCGCCTATTCCCAAATTCTGAATTTATCAAAACATCCATAGCAACCTCTTTTTCTTTTTCGCTGACAACTTGCCTATTTCTCTTTAATTTAATTCATTTTCCTTTTCTTTATCTATCGTTTCTCTAACTATTCGTTTATCTAACATTTCACTTAGATCAGTTATACTCCATTATTATTTAATATTGATTAATAGTTAACCGTTGCATTATAAAGGAATGAGATGGTCCAGGGTTGCGGTCATAAATAGGCTAAATAGTGGTAAAACTATTTTATTGAAAGCCTTGGTTATACATCCATGGCCATCTTTGGCATACATCCATTCTCTGTCGAATTACCTTATTCTTAATTTTATTCAGTCTGGTAAGGCGGTGATACCTTCTCCAGTAATCCATCTCGACCGCCTGCACCTTTGAGTAGAAAGGTCAATTCATAGTCCATGTTTCTGAGACATATATAAGAATATCTGCGACTATGGCCATGAATATTCTACGCTTGTTCTTAGTGGAAAGCTGCGTGTTCTAGAGAACTGAATGTAAGATTCGGGTAGCCTTACTGGCTTGCTCAACCTTCCTTCTGACGTCATGTTTAGACGACCCTGTAGCGTCGAGGTAAGAGCCCAGGTACTTGAAAATATTAACTTTTTTGCAGATCTCCTTGTCCACTAGAAATGCTCCAGTTTCCGTATCGTCTATGGCCATTTATTCGGTCTTCTCGAAGTTGATCTTTAACCCAGCCGTTTCGTAAGAGGTCTTCAGCTGAAACACCATTACTTCGAAATAAACCTTCCTTTCCGCAAACACGACCTGGTCGTCAGCGAAAAACAAGGACAGAAATCGCTCGTCATCAATAAATGGCTCAACTCGTACCGCGGCTTAACTGCCTCGTGCAAGTATATTTTACAGAGAATTGGTGACATGCTGCATCCTTGCTTCAACCCCTTGCTACCATGAAAAGGCGCAGAAAGGTGGTTCCCGCATCTTAATTAGTAAATGTCATTGCCATATAAGTGCCTTACAGCCCTTATCAATGAACCACTAATACCTGCTTTTTCAAGTGCCATCCCCAGTCTCTCTCTTGGAACATTATCATAAGCCTGCTCGAGGTCTATGAAAGCCATATGGAATTCCAGTTTCCTTTTTTGGAACTTCTGTATGAGTTGGCGAAGAACAAATATGTTGTCCGTACATGGTCGGCCAGCTGTAAAACCTGCTTGCTCCCGCGGGGTAATGTATACCTGCTCCAACTTATCCCTGAGCAGCCTTACAATAATCCTTGTCATGGGACTTTGCACGCAGATTCCTCGATAGTTCCTGCATATTTTTCGATCACCCTTTTTGTATATTGATGATACGTAAGTAGCCCTCAGTTCATCTGGGATATCCTCTCCTTTTAGAACAAGGTTAATCACCTCTGTCAGAAGCACTACTAGTTTCGCACTGTCAGCTCTTAACTTAAGAACTCCATAGCAATTCCGCCTGGTCCTGGAGATATGCCAGTTTTCGCTTTCGCTAGTGCCCGCCGAACATCCATCTCCTCCACCTCAACCGGTTGTTCAACTGCTTCAGAATCTGAGTTATCTCTCTCATACATAAACTGGAATCTATCCTCACTAACGAAAATTTTTATCTATCTTTTATATCAGAGATCAATGTTAATTGGTTAATTGTTTCAAATAAAAAAATTAAAGGTACTTTAGGGGAAACTAATAATGCAAATTATCCGTTTAAGCCTTGTTAGAGAACATCAATGAGAATAAAACCTATATTATATTTAAACTGCTTAATTTCACACTGATAGAATGAATTTAATCAAAATCGTTAGAGTCGTTTTCGATAAAATTGTAAAAATGTGTTAAATCGAAGATAATAGGGTGTATAAAAAAAAATGACCATATTATCAAATTCAAGATTTCAAAGGACTAAATATTTGAATCCTATTTAATATTTACTAACACTTAATAATCCCTTTAGGTCATTCTCTAAGCTTGTTTAATCCCATTCGACTTCTTAAAAAATAGGCTCAGTTTAGTTATTTGTTTCAAAGAAGAAACATGACAGTGTCCTACTAAATTCTCGATATTTTAAGGCATTAGTGGGGAAAAAATTCACAGCCACTGAAGCAAGTCGTGAAATTATTAAATATAGAGGGGAAGGTGTCCTTGACCAGCGCACTGCGCGGCGTTGGTTTGAAAAATTTAGCAGTGCAGATATGACGTTGGAAATGAATAAAGGCTCCGGACGACCATTAATGCATATTGACGAGGCTCTGCAAGAAGCTGTTGAGTCAAATCCGTCCACAAGTACTCGCGAACTTGCCAGGGAATGTGGTGTGTTGAAAGATAGTGTTAGTCGCCATCTACTATCCATGGAAAAGAGCAGTACACTGGTCCCTCCTCAGCAATCATTTAAGAGGTCAGAAATTTGTGAAAATTTATTGAAAACCCCTTCTGAGATTTTACAGAGGAAGATTGTCACCTGTGATGAAAAGAGGTTTACTGGCGAAATCTGAAGAACCGTGAGCAATGGTTAGATCGGGGACAAACTGTTTTTCGGGTTGCTGCAAGGGGGAAATTTGAAAAAAAAAAATCCATGTTTGCGTTTTTTGTAATTTTGAAGGTGCTATTCATCAGGAATTTGTTCCTGATCGATGCTGTTTTAAATCTGAACAACTAGAATGGTTATACAGGAAGTTATTAAAGCTAATCCTGCTTTGATCAACTGAAAAGGAATGTTATTCCAACAAGATAATGCTCCCCTCACTTCCTGTTGAAACAAAGAAAAGTTTAAAGAACTTCATGAGCTCCGCCTCCTGCCTTATCCACCATATAGTCTAGACCTTGCACCATCGGATTACTGCTTATTTAGATCCATGCCCCATTTTCTTCAAGAGAAAAAATTGGTAATTTTGCAGAAGTTGAATTGCTGTCCAAGAGTTCTTTGCTAGCCATCCCCAAGAGTGGTATCAGAGTGGGATGAAGCTAGCAGATGGCTAATGATAGTAGATAACAATGGACTATTCTTTGAGTATTAATTGTATTTCATATCAAAGAAATAATAATACAAATATTTGGTAGAAAAGCAGTAATTTTTTTTTATACACCCTATTAAAAAGCGCCACTTCCGATAAGCTGATTTTGAGGGAAAAGTTGCTGTAACATCCCAGGCATATAAAAACCTTTACTATGCAATTCCACTTTCATAGAACTTTTAATTTTTGAGATAGACTGTTAACACACACAGAACATTTTGTGAGACTTTGTTATTTATATTATTATATAATATTATAATTATCAATTATAGAATATCATATTTATTCTAATCCTAATATTTAATTAATGCATATGTAAATACAATATTATGTATAACATTGTTTTACTTTTAAATCAAAATAGATTTTCTAGCAAGGAGGAAATCGTAGGATGATCTAGAGCACAAACTCGAACAAAATTAGGAATGCGAAAGGAAAAACCACCAACACTAAAAGAATAATACTACATTACTTAGGAATCAGTTTCTTAAAACATTTCTCTTTTGAGCTAGACTGTTTAGATGCACTGACATCGACCATTTTGAGACTTGGTTATTTGGGCTGAGGGAACCTTAAAATGTTTTCCGATTCAACATTTTAACAATTTTAATACTTTAATAATTGTATAAGTATATATTTTATAAATAGGTAAATGAAAGCAATAATATTTAGTGGGATAAGGATATTGTTAGATGGAATTAATGTAACAAATAACGTTTTATAAAATATATTTGTAGTAGCATACAAAACAATAATAAATGGTACAATATAAACAAAACAATGTTTTAAATATTCAAAAATATTGTAAAAAGGTATAACTTTCTAATCTAGGCCATAATAATAATTTTTACACATATCATGTTGTTTCCTAATTATCTTTTTCTCAAGATGCTATCAGCCTTCTTTAATGATAAATAATTAGTTAATGCACGTACACGAAGTCGACTCCAAAGCATGTGTTCTTTGAGAGCATGTATTTGTGTTGCAGCAAGTGCAGCCGTTTCTGGATACAGGACAGTTGTGCACCCTAAGCCTACGATAATCATAAAAATAAACCACAATAGTAATAAAAATTAGCCTTTTTCACAACTAATTAAAGCAATGATAAATTAAAGAAAATAATTTTATTACCTGAGGGAACACTCAGAGATGACCAAATATCTTGAGTAGCAGATTGACTCGGAGGAGGGCAGTTGATAACAGGAAATGCAGTATTTCCAGATATGACAGGACCAAGACCATTACTTCTACCAGCAACAGCTATAAAAACTAAGTCTCGTCCTAATCCTTCATATTCAGCAACCAATTTAAGAGTTTCTTCCGTTTCTTTATGTGCAGACGAAACTCTCAATTCACATGGAAGTCCAAGAGCTTCACAATTCTTCTTAATTTTCATACAATGTTCTTCATCAGATGGTGAGCCCATAACTATAACTGCCTAAAAAAAATATTTAGTTAGAAAAAATAAAGAAATTTTGGGTAATAAAAACAGTTTCTATTCTTATTTTAATAGCTTGAGAACACAATTTGCACAAGAAAATATAATAGGAATGAATATCAAAGAAATGAAATCCGATGACAGAAAATTTATAGAAAAAATGTCTAGGGGTTGTAATATATTTAGTCAACTAAATACTTACCAAACTCTGGGGTGCACTTTTGAAGTAATCTAACTGATCAGATATCCATTGAAAATTTGATTTAATTTTTTCTAAATCATGTTGGGTAACTTCAGATAATTCACGGTATACTTGTTTATCCTTCATTAATCTCTTATCACCTGAAGGCCACAATCTCCAAGAATCAGAATCAATTATATCAGAAATCAAAATCTCACCTAGAACAAAAATATTTTTAGTTGCATTATTAAATATTTGCCATTTTGATTCAGTAATTATTAAGAAAATTATTTCTGTAAATACCTTTTGAGTCAATCCCAAATTCAATTTTCATATCAATGAGAGCACAAGACCGAGACGCCCATGCTCGTTCCAGAACCTCAAAAACAGTTATTGCAGACCTTTTCATAATATCAACTTCATGGCGAGTGATTGTTACTCCATTGAAGTGAAAATTAGCTTCTATTATTTGTTGATCTGACCACTGGGGATCATGATTAGCATCATCCTGGAATCAAAAATGATTTTAAAAGCAAAATATCTCTCTTGTCATATGAGAGTTCATGAAAATAACAATTTTAAGTTCTTTTAAGTATTACTTATAGATCTTACCCAATTCAATTAGTCTACTAACACTGTCTTAATTATGACACTTAGTTTAAAATATAATAAAATAAATATTTCTAAGAATGTAATATGAGGTTGATTAATTTTTTATCTTGTTCAATTTAGTTTCAGTTTTATATACTGATAAGAATAGTTTTAAACAGGCCTTCACACTCCTATCCATTTATTTTCTTAATGTGGCATTTCCATTACACAATAACTATTTTCCATTATCAAACATTTAACTTTTACATTGCTAAATTATCACTGTATCAATAAAGAGGTGCTATTACAATTATTCCTTTAAGTATATAAAATTTTAATACAATTTGAGTCTAAGGGGAGGATACGAACTATCGATATATCGATAGTACTATCGACTATCGCCAACACCAGACCTTAGAAGAGGAAATTTTTAAAATTCTGAGTTGTGACAACCTTCTTCTAAATTATCAATAAATAAATATTTGTATTTATAACTTGCAAGATGCTTATATTTTTAAAGATAAATTTTGATTTGTGTCAGTCTTTCTGGCTCGCGATATAATCTATAATAAATTATGCAAGGAAACTTACTATAATCAATTAGATGGATTGCAACGACTGAAACATTAATTGCTCAGTGCTTCTTTTTCTTAAGGATACATGCTAGTAATGAGTTTTAGTTATGTAGCTGGCCTTAAGTTGATGAAAAGTTGACTTAATTTAAAATTAACTTTATGTTGAAATATATAAGGCTCTTAATTATAACCTTCCTATAATATCTCATAATATCAATACTTCAAGAGCACTCAAGTCATCTATAAATAGTTACGAAGTTTCACCATTTATTCCATTTAATCGCATTTTTTTTAAATATTGAAAATGATGGTAGAGTTAAATGTCACATCAAAGGACAATGATATAATAAATAAAAAACAATATGTAATGTTTTTAAAAGATAAATCTAATTATGTAATTTTTATCCGTCAAGATATTCATAACATGAAATAAGATAAGAAAAAGAAACGAGATCAAGATTTATATAACCTCGCTTAGGTTATCAACATTAGCGCTAGATATACAAAAAAAAAAAAAATCCCTTATTAAGTAATTAAAAATGATAAATATGTATTAAGGAAATAACTCAATCAAGAGTTAATAAAAAATTAATATAATATCATTCAAAACATTTAATATTTTATTGAAACAATCTTTTATGTGAATTTTTAACACATATTACGTGTGGTGATTTAAAATAAAAAAATAATGTGGATATCATGTTACAAATAGTATTAATAAAACTTGCTAAAGTCACCTTTAAAGACATTTTTATTGATTAACATATGGAAATAAATCTTAACATTGTATCAATTGTATTTCCTCATGCGTAGATCAAAGTTAGAATTTCAAGTGAAAAGATTAGATTAGAGCTTAAACTTTAAGAACTATGTCATCAATATCATTAAAAATTATCAATGAAATCAACAAAATTCCCTGTTTCTGAAAAGAAAAGCTAGATCAAAAACATAGATATGAATATGATTCTGGAGAAGGGAATAGATAGGTAATAGTATAAGATAAAGAGGCAGCTCCATAGGAGACTCCACAACTTCAGGAATTTTCCATTTCTCAACATTAATACCAGCTCCACCTGATGACATCACTGAGGTTGTGATAGACTGAGGGTATGTTATAGCATAAACTTTCATGTTAGTAGCGACACCATTTCAATTCCTGGGTATATATTTTGTGGCAGACCCATGAAACGAAGACCTTCCCACCACTTTGATCAGAATAGGTTTGGATGTAGCTGTTGATCAACTTCTCTCTCCAAGTAAGCCTGAGATGGAGAGGTAGGAGGTAATCAAGAAAATAAAAAATAAAAAAAGCTCATGATGCTCGCTAAGACTATAAAGGAAATACCAAAGCCCGGTGATAGATGTTGAAGCTGAAATAACAATATGCTTTTTAGAAAAACCTTGAGGAATCATGTGTATTCCATCCTAATATGAAAAAAAAAATATGGCCAGAAAGAGATTATTTGTAGTGTAATTGACCCCATTCAAAAAAGGTAAGTTGGGTACGGCCTGTAGGATAAGCTTTCAAGTGTTCATTATCATCTTATTATGGGCTATTCCAAGTGAAATATCTCAAAGAAAAATTAGTGGTTAGTGTCCGAGGTGTATAAACATGAATCACTGAATAAATAAACAAAAATCAAACATATCAATCAATTACAATAATTAACCAACCAGTAACAGTTAAAAAGTAATGAATATTTTAATAAGCCTAATTTTCATCGAAAGTAAGTCAAATTTCAATTGAACAATATTCTTAACAATAAATACCAGTATTATGTCCACTTACTACTACAGAAGTTAGATAAAATGGTTATAAATAAAATTGTTATAGTTACTAAAAAAAATGTATAGAAAATATTGAAATCGCCATCAAAATACTTGAGGTAGGTATATTCTAAAATCAATCAACCATAGTTTATTAAGAATTAGATTATAGAATGTTTAAAAAATGTTTATACTGGTCCACTCATCCAGTCCCTACTGTATTATTGTGAGACCATTAATATATTCTCCTTAGACCTACTCAACGATTATGAGCAAACTGATTGAATTGGTACTCCTCACCATTCAAAACCCATCCTCATCATTCCAGTATTTCATTAGGATTTAAGAACCAGGAGCTGGTAGCCTTTCACTGTTGAGAAGTTATAAGTTTAGGTAGAACCTTGTGTGCACAGCACGGCACCGCGTCCAGGTGCCGGGGGTGTCTTTTAAATCCCTGCCCTCACTCCCTGGCCCGGGAAAACCTCTTATAGCCTTAAAGGCGAGGACTCCCCCCCCCCTCCAAAAAAAAAAACACAAAAAAAGTTTAGGTAGAACCACTTTTTTTTTTGTATTAATTCATTAATAAACACCATTTTTAAAAATATAATTGAGTTTTCAAGTTATTATTCATACAAATGAAAAAAGGTAGTCGATCTGTTGCTCTGTGACTCACATTGTGATTTTACCTTGCCTAGTAGAATGGATGAATATAAAATTAATCTATTTAATTAATCCCATTATATGGTTTCATAAATATTTAGTGTTAGCAACAAATAAAGTAGTTTATATTAAAACACAACAACAGTCAGAGATGAAAGTTTTTCATTTATTAATTGTCTGCTTTGAAAATTAGGCAATAAGATTGCGGTACTGAATAGGTAATTAATAGTATCCACATTTCAACTTAGGAAAGCTACAATCTATAAAAATGATGTTTCTTCATAAAGGAAAAAAAAATCTATTATTATTAAATAATTGTAATAAATTTAAATATTACTGTAGCAATAATACCTTGAAGAATGTTTCTTCTAAAGGTGGTGAGAAGCGATAGCCTTCTTTAACACCGACATTACGTTTTAAAAAGGATCCAGTAGCCAAGCGTCGTGTTACCCATTCAATGGGAATCATTTCACATTTTTTGGCAAGAAAAGCAGTACCAGTGAGGGTTTTTATAAATGACGTTTTGAGGCCTGAAATATTTCAACAATTGAATTTTATATTTTCATACTTAAATTATTATAAATAAGTTTATAATTCGCAAATAGTGCATAAATAAACATCTATTGTGAAAAACTATAAGAATATATAAAACCTTTCTTAATGAATACTGAAGCCTTATAAATAAAGATCGCTTGTCATAAGTATTCAATGCTAAAATATACTCTATGATAGACAACTGATTGTTTAAAAATATTCGTAATTAAATTAAATAATATTGCTAGTTTTATGATCATCAATAATGAGATTAAATATGACTTTTAATTAGCAGAGCATTGCAATATCTAAAGTAAGTATTATCTCATGTCATTTAACAGTTAAACATTAATTAAAAATCTCGAACCTATGCCCCCATCTTGCTATGATAAAATATCCATTTCAAAAACTAATTTTTATAGTTGTATGTCATGAGATGATTTTTAAAAATAGTTTTTTCCCGTATACAGTTTAGTAAAACATTTAAATCAGTTCCAAATTTCATAATTTTTATAATTATTATACATTGTAATAATGACTGCACTACTATTGTAGATAAATAAAAACAGCAATATCACGATTAATAAATTTTAAATGAAACAAGTAACTCATTTAGATTTTTAAAAAACAACAAAATAATTGTCAATAAAATAAAGAACATAAAATAGATAATAAATAGACAATAAAATAGAACATAAATTAGACCAATTGTTTTGGGCAGCATACAAGAAAAAAAAACTTTAACATTATTTAAGAAAATAGATACAGGATTATTTCTCTAAATTTATAAAACTTACATATGATATTTAATAGCTGAGAATAGATATATTTGTCAATCTATAATATTATATTTGAATAAGATCAATAATCAGCCCAATGTTCAATTATAAAAAATATATTAACAACATACAATTGAAATAAAAGTAACATAGTAATCAATGTGTAATAAAGTTATTTTTTGTAACAATAAAATAAAAAATCTTTACCTAATGAGTTTAAATACTCAAAAACTTTAGCATTTGTCTTCGTTGAAATCTCAGCTTTCCCTTTCAATTCATGAGATTTAATACCATCACCAGCTGTGATTCTATCTTTACTAATAATAACCACTTCATCTGCATTATCAATACTAAAAACTTTCTTAGTTTTACCCTCGATAACAAGTGCACCAAGTTTATAACCAGCAACTAAAACAAAATTATTAACATTATATCAATGATCAAACAGCTTATCATTAATTAATGTCAATTATACAAATTTTACATACACAATTATACTTCATAAATAATATGTTATATTAATGACATTACTAAATCATTGCATTATTTTAATAAATTAATTTTGTCAATAATAAAATACATGTAATTACTTAATATCATATATCGTAATCAGAAATAGAAGTTGTTCAAAACAATGAAATTTCAGCACCAAATGGAACTTAAAATGTTTTAGTGCATTAAGTGTCAAATTAAATAGTGTGGAATTGCCGATCATTACAGATTTATTTTATAACTAAATTAAAATTATCCTTCATCAGAATTTTATTTAAAGGCAACGCTGTACTGGTATCACAGTAGGTTTTAAACTTAAATAAAACAGTTTATAAGATAGTTTGTTCATCATAATTTCAATATTAAGTAGTCAATTACCCCAATGAGGCATAATGGATGTAACAGAAAAGAAAAAAAAATTAACAATCCTAAAATATGTGATAAGGAACATTTTTAAATGATATTTTGTGTAAGTAGCTTAAATGTGCATTAAATTTTGTTTTATATTATGTGTAATTAAATAATTTACACATATAAATTAAAATGCATTTATACTACCTTCGTCCGGCATTTTACTCAAAGCCTCCACTGTAATGAAACAAAAAAGAACAATCTTAAGACCAGTATTTAAGAAGGTTCAACTATCTCTGCCCCACCACCTGATCCTAGGAGTGTTATACAATTTACTGCAGCCACCAGTTGATCCATTCCACTCACGTGGTTCGTGAGTTGAGTTCGAAATAGAGGCCCACAATTTCCTAGGACCTGTGGATTTATTGTTTGTTTTATATAAGGTAGGCAAAATTTTATTTTTTTATTACAAGGTGATCTGAAAAGTATTTAGATTCCATTCAACGTGGGATAACCATTACTTTCCCTACTGTTTACATTGCATTGCGGCTAGGCGCACAATAGCAATTTGACAGACCAATTCGATGTTTTATTGAATTCTGATTTTCGCCATCTATTTAAGTCATTTTTAATAAAAATATTATATTTAAAATTTTTCTTTGTTTTTTATTGTTTAATTCCTTGATGAAAACTGATAAATAACTGTGCCCTTAATGGCAAATTGGATATAATTAGGACCTGTCAGTAGTATAAATATTGGTGCGTGCTCGAATAAAAATTTGTCTTTAATTATTTGAAGGTATTTACATTGTTCTTTTAAAGCTTTATTGAATGACTAAAAGAAATTTATGTGAAAAAGAGGTTTGTATAACTTAGATAAATATTATATATATTTAATGATGTGAATGTGGAGCAGTAAAAAGTGCATTGCCATTAATTCTGAAAAATAATAATACTGGATTAAATAATTTAAGACTATTATTTATTTTATTGAAATTTTTTAATACCGTAGAAATTGCAAGAAATTTTAGTTGTTGAAATAGAATTTTTAAAAGACTAATCTTCCAGGATCCCTTGTCTACTAAAATTACCATAGGTATATTTTTTGTTGTCCCTGATGATATAAAAAAATATTCAATAGACTTAAGAGTAATTTATTTTAGTTAGTAAATAAAAATAAAATAGTAAACAATTTTATTAATGGTTCTATAAACAGCTTCATAAATAATTAAACAGTTTAAGTAATATTAAACTAATAATTAAATAATATTTTACGAAATTAATTTAAATTTGATAGGTTATTTATTGTCTAATATATAGTAAATAATATTCATGTATCCTGGATGAGAACGATAAAAATATAATCTTTATTTATCTCTCTAAGAATTATGTTAGATATTATAAGTAACGAATTTGATGCAATACGTATTATTACACGATTGAAACTTCTTGAAAAATTCTTTAACGGCATTTTTAATTTTGCATGCAAATGGTGTTGCCAGTATTTTCTGTCTGGCATCCTTAATGATTCTAGCAACTTTCAAATTAGATCAAATTAAGGTGGGATTGACCATCGAATTATCCTTTAGATCTTTTGTATTTTATTTCTGAACATTTTACATTTAATTTTTCGAGCTTCCAGAGAATTGATTACGCAATATAATTGACCGAAATAACTCTCGTTTACTTTTTCAATAAAGAAGCCCTGTCAACAATATCTATTCCTTGTAGTCTTGCACATCATCGTTTTTATTCAGTTTTGTCCAAATTATTTTGTGAAAGAAGCAAATTTTGTTGTATATTCATAAGTAGTGTCTCTAATATTATTCAGTAAGATTTGCAAAAGAAATGATAATAATAATAAAATAAAATATATTAACCGTTTAAACTTTTAAAAACTGTATTGAGTTTCATAACATAATACTTTTTTTAATTATTTGATTTAGGTTAAGTTAATTTTCAGATTATTTTCAATTTTGCGTCCCTTTCTCACTAATCGCCGTTTTACCTACTTACTTATATTATTAAAAAATAGATTAAATTGTGATCAGATTAGGCTTTGATTGATAAACATTTTTTCCTACCAACCTTGGAATTTCCTCAAAAAGGGAATTTTTTCACCAAAGTGGAAGGAAACACTGTCCTACAGGTAACCAACTTATTCCAGTCAGAGTGAAAAGGTGAGGCTTTTTTTTTTACTGAAATCATTATATGGTTTAAGTACTCTTTATATGTTCAAAGGACGTTTTATTTTCTAAATCAATTATTTATTAAAATTAGAATTATTTATCATGTTTCCCTTTGGGTTGTAACGCAAACATAGCTGAAACTTGATCGAAAATCAGCTCACGTCGCAATTCTTTAGTGCCTCTATTACTCCAGTTAAAATAATTAGATTATTAACGTAATGCAAGTATAATAAACATCCCTTTTCTATCAAAAGTAACTTTCCTCTTGTAAGCATCGGTTAATTACATTATTTAAAGGATCGAGTCATTTTCTGTTTTATAAAAGTTAACGTTTTTATTCCGAATTTTATTTTACACATTATGTAATGAATATTACAAAAGTTGTTATATGATGATTTATACATAAGAGATCAAAAGGTTTATCAATTAGCTAATCCCCACTGTATCAGGTTTTCCTGAAGGCCATATCTTCAAAAATGTGATTTGTCAATATACTCCTACACTGAAATTTCCTGAAGTGATTGGAGGTATTATTTTAACTTGATAGATTTGAGTTAAATACTGAGAGAACTAACTATTTAAAAATTAAATTAAGATTACTTTACATTTTCTATGTTGTATGTTTTTATTAAATAATCATTTTTATTTTCATAAAATATTCTCACAGAAAGTGTTAATTAAATTGCTTTCCTAATGATTTGATCTGTGTGAAAAAGCAAAAACCATCATGTTGTTACAATTATTTTAAAAACATATAATTTAATTTTACGTTTCTAATACTGCTTTATTATTATTGCTATGGTTGATAACCAGGGGTTATTTAGAACCCTTTTCTCAACTCAACAGGACTCAAAAAGACTGTTTTCTCCATAAGTTTTTCCATATAACCATATGAATATTCAAGGGTAGCTATATCAATTCTGATATACCGATTATTTTTCATACTTTTTTTTAAACTTCCTTTTCTGACCTTCTTCATTCTCTCCAATATCATATAGATAAGGTGTTCCTAAAATATTTTGTGCCTGTCTTGGTTTTCATGAAGATTGCAGGCGGTACGCTAATAAGCTAAAACAGTGAGGGATAAAACAGCTTTGGGCAGAGTATTTAAGAAAAATGAATTATACAAATGTATGAACTTACAATGTTCTTTTTTCTATTTCTTTGTAGGAGGTTAAAGGAGACGTATATTTATCTCTTTAAAAAAAAAAAATTATTGAATCTATTTTTATGACGTCCCACCAATCGTCCGATCTACGTATATTTTTGACGTCTAAAATCAGATAACATTTTTTTTTCTTTACTTTCAAGCGTAGTTGTGTCATTTATTAATTTTATTGATAGACTGCATTGCGAAATATGTTTTGCCATTCATTAAAAAATAAATAAAAAATGTTACATGATATTTATTTGCCTAAAGTTTAAAATTGTTTATATGCATATTATATAATATATAATAAATGCATAGTGAATAGCACGGGCGGATCTACGGGGGGGAGGCTTTCGGGCTGAAGCCCCCCCCAAAATGGTAAAATATAACCATGGTTTATCGAAAAAAATATTTAAAAAGTATCTCTTAAAGTATTATTGTTCGTGTGATTAATATTAAAAGGGCTTGAGGAATCACTTAAACACCATTTCATACAGGTAATTAGTTTCTTTCTTTTTTTCCAAAGTAATTATCGTTATTTTTGTGAAAAAAAAAAGCTTTCGGGCTGAAGTCTCCCCCCCAAAATTAAATCCTGGATCCGCTAGTGGTGAATAGATAAAAATACAGGAAAAGAAGTTTAAAGAAAACAAAATTGTATTGGCGTATAATAAAAAATTAAACTTGTATATATTAATTGAAAGGTAATTGGATTTCCCTTTGAGGCATTGGTGGCTGAGCATGTTAAGGTGTTGCATGTTTTAGCATTCTCGAGTCAGATGCTTGTTCGGATCAGGACTATGCGAGATAACAAGCTATGATTATTATTAATAATTTTCTGACTAATATTGTTATAACCTATTGTCCATTCCTATGTCTTTGTCCCAAAGGCACTCCGCCCTTACTTATTGTTTCCTGTAGACCTCAGTTTGGCACGCTTGGCCCCTCGAGTGTCCATGCTGTTATTCTCCAGGTAGTGCCAATCCCTTGTTCCACAACTTTAAATGATGGGTACCTTTTGTACTTCGAACTAAAGGCCAATATTCTTCCGAGAATACACCCCGCCCCGTCTTTTTAAAAGCCGCTTAACCCCTTAAAAATGGTATGTGAGTAAGCTCTCCCAAAATTCTACAAACAATTCCAAGTTTAGGAGGCATGTAACGTTTGTTTTGATATTACAAACTTAGTTTGTAAGAAGGATTTTATATACCAATTATTGTGGGATGAAATTTATTTCTGCATTAGAATAAATCTTGTCCTTATAACCCTGATTGGAAAATTTTGGTGACCTCTAGGATAGCCCGTTATTCCTGCCCAAGTCAGAGAACATACCGATGTTAACTCATCCTAAACAAACAAAATTTCAAGCAAGTGCAGAGCGTACTTAACTTTTTACACATTTTAAAAATAATTATCACATGTTCCCTTGCAGGTCGAAACTTGTTTACCTTTAATTTCGAAAACTTGAAAATTAATCTCCCTGAGCATTTGAGGTGCTAATGTTGAAGATAATTTAATTTTTTCCAAACATGAGAATAAAAAAATAAATAAAAAGCTTAAAGTGAAGGTGCGCACACTTGGTAATTATGTTATATAATTTTATTTGATTTCATTTATAATGAATGACCAGGATCAAAACTAAAGGGGAGGGAGACACTGGCCACGGCCGGCAGAATTTAGGTGGCAGCAAATTTTGAATGAAATATTATTTTACATTTATTAACAATTTTTTTTTAAATTTATGATTGTTTTGACCTTAATGCAGTCAATGAGTTAGTTGATGTCATGAGATTATATTTGTTTTAAATATATTGCCTAAATTAATATAAGCGTTGAATTTTATTGGGAGTGCTATAAAAGGTTTATCTACCCATCCTGAAAAAAAAATCTTGTTTCAGCTCTGATAACGATATCGGCTAGAAGGATCGGATTTTAGGACGAAACTGGCAGGCACGGTGATGAAACGATTCAAATTCTTGGTTGTCACTGTTTTTTATTTATTTATTTTTTCGATGGCAAATCTAAGGACCGCGCGTATATCATTTCTCAGCTTTCTTATTAGCCTATATCCTCTTCATTTTCTCATTCATCTCACTTTTTCGCTCCCCTTCTTTCCTCTTCTTGCAAGAACCTTAATATATTTTCTGATTTTTTCTCTGTTATGGTATTCTTTTTTTCTAATACCAAGTGCTGTTATTTCCTCTTTCATCTTACTGGGGTACCCTCTGATGTTTCTTAGTCTCATCACTTTATTGAATATCTGTTTGTTCATTCAGTTTTATTCATTCTCTTCATGTGTCCAAATGCTAGTCTTCTTTTCTTCATTCCTTTTCCAAGTCTTCAGTTCCCTCAATTAGTACGATCTTTCTTTTTTTTCTTTTTTTTTTTATGCCAATATTCTTTTTCTAATTTTCTCATTTATTTATTTTAGACAGGTTGTAATAAAGAAATGAAGTTGAAGTAAAGACAATTTTGAACTAATATTTAAACCACGGCAATATCAACTATAACATCCCTTTAAGTTTTTTTTTTTTTTGCTGTATCATATTTGCACCGCTACCTAATCATCCAAATATGCTTGAGTTGCTTATAACTAGAGACCGGATTTTCGTGCAGTAAAAATTCGGAAAACGTGCAGTAAAAAACTCAAAATTTGCAAAATTCGTGCAGTAAAAATCCAAAATACGTAAAATTGTGTAATTAACACCTAAACTAAAAACATGTAAACTCATCAACACTAGCGGATCCAGGATTTAATTTTGGGGGGGCTTCAGCCCGAAAGCTTTTTTTTTTCATAAAAATAACGATAATTACTTTGGAAAAAAAGAAAGAAACTAACTACCTGTATGAAATGGTGTTTAAGTGATTCCTAAAGCCCTTTTAATATTAATCACACGAACAATAACACTTTAAGAGATACTTTTTTAATATTTTGTTTGATAAAACATGGTTATATTTTTCCATTTTGGGGGAGGCCTCAGCCCGAAAGACCCCCCCCCCCCCGTAGATCCGCCCGTGCTCATCAATATGGTTTAATTTATAACATTAATACATCGAAATCGTATCAGATATTGAATTAACCGAGAGATTAAAAAAAAAAAAAAATGAAATGTAACATTGAAAATGAAATTCCAGTATAACTTCTATTAAAAATAATAATGAAAACTTTATTTTTTAATAGAGTTGAAGTTTCCAATATTATACATTCCCTAACGTTTTTTTTTTTTAAATTTAATGAATTTTGGAAATTTTGTAAATAGACGAATGTTTGGAATTTTCAAGTGTTCAAAAATAAGTGTTGAAGCTGTTTTTCTATACCACTAAAAAAATATTTTGGGGGATTATGTTCTTTCTAAAAAATCAATTCTTTGATAAGAATATATTTTTTTCTACTTGTTCCCCAATGAGCGTCTATCACTGAGTTCCTATCACCTGATTGGTTCAAAAGGTGTATAGAACTTTTCATCAAATTCTTTGTCCTATTTTAATTGTTGATGAGATACTTGATTTTATTTTCAGCATTAAAATTTTTTTTTTTAATTTATAAAAATGAAATTTCTACAAATCAATTCAAATCCATAAGTGATACTGAAGGGTTGAACGGTGAGTGAGGATTCAAGCCACAACAATAACCATAAATGCCTTACTAACAAAGTAGCTAATTCTAGGAAAGCAGTTTTTATTATACAATACTTTAGGCAGGTTCTATTCCAAGAATAGGTCTCAATTTTGTTTACTTCTTCCTTTTGTAATGAATATGATTTTTGCTTCACTCAAAATTATTTACCTTCCTCATATTTTTCTATTTTGAATAATGAATTTAATTTGGACAATGTTGTAAAATAAATATTATCACATTCACTTATACATTTGTATTTATAAATCTTCTAATTTAGTACAAAATTGCAAACATTTACAATTCAATGCAACAGAAATCAAAATCGTGCAATTTAAGCCAAAAACGGCAAAACGTGCAATATAAAATTTAAATATGTTATTCTACAGGTTCTGAAATGGATAGATGTTCGGGTCCGAAGTTTTTACACGCAAGCGAATAAATAGTGCAATAACATGAAAATCCGGTCTCTACTTATAACCATAAGCATAGCTTACCAAATGTTATGAAGGGACAGATATCTGTAGGGCCTAAGCCTTACCTCTCTACGGAGATAACTATAAACGTTATATCAGATACCACCCAAGTTTAAAAAGATTATCTAATTGGTAAAATAACTATAAATTTTCGTGTTTTTTTTTTTAACATTTGTTGTATTTCTATTTTAAAAAATTTGGTGCTCGCAACACACAAATTTCACTTACCGCTCTACATTGAATAGAAATTATTTTCTGGCAATGTTGGGCTATTATAAAATTTTTGAAGTGTTTTTTAAACGGAGATAAAGGTTAAAGCATACAGATAACAAATCATTAAGACCATTAAAATTACAAAATGTCTATTTATAATATCGAAGGTAGGCAATAAAAATCTAGCTACTCCATCTGCTTTTATAAACCACTCAACTTCAGCCTCTGAGCCTCTCAGTTGACAGAATGAATAACTCCAACTTCAACATTTTTCATTAATGTCATTTTAGTGATATTTCTAGTTGGAAAAATTATATCTATACAGACAATGAGTTATTTTATTTCAGAGTTGGTGATTGCAGTGTTGAATTATAGAACTGTAAATAAAGGTATAAATTTTGCCACTAGAAACATCACCAAAATTAACAATAAAGAATGTCACTGAAAAGAGAGTTAATTTTTTTAATTCTTTATCAAATATATTACAATCTGTCACATTAAATAAACCATACATTAGAGGAAGATGTATATGAACATTGGGCATTTCAGCCCTGTAAAGTGACATCAATGAGGATAAGACCTAAATGATATTAAAGACCACTTAATTATGCAATGATACACGAGTTTAATCAAAATGAGCTGTTTTTAAGAATATTGTAAAAATGTGTTTCACCATTGATATAAAGTGGCACTTATGGTTAGCGTATTCTAAGGAAAAGGTTGCTGCCACATCTAAGGCATATACCTATTTTAAATACGTAATATCAGTTTCGTACGACTTTTCGTTTTTGAGCTGAACTGTTCACAGACCACTTTGCGGGACTTGGTTATTTGGACTCGGCGACCTCAAAACCTGCATTTTCGTTGAAAACTCAGATTCGAAAATTTTCACGATCGCAATACTTTCTCTTACCATGTATAGGTAAGTGAAAGTAAAAAATCTGAGGAGCAATTACTTGATTATTAGAAGTCATGTCCGCAGTATCCATATGAATTATTTAACTTCCTTTTACAGCCCTCTTCTGGTTTCATTCGCTTCTTCTATTCTTCTTGGGTATGTTAGCACCCATAATTATTTAGAACAGAGACATATTCCATTTCTAGATAACCTTCCTATAATTAGGTAGCTATCGTAAAGTCCTAGTACCTAAGATTTTTATAATATTCTTCTTATAGATGAGATTTTTTCATATTTGTTGAAGAATCTAATTTTTTTTTGTTTTTAATATTTATATTCCTATGTGATATTTACATAATTATAATGAAAACTTTCGTTACAGGGTGATCTATAAGTGGTATTATGGATTGTAATGATAAGAAGAAAGTGCTTACTGGATTAACGCACGAATGTGGAGTGTTCGGATGCATGGCCAGAGGCCCTTGGCCGACACAATTAGATGTTCCCCAGGTCATCTGTTTGGGCCTCATAGCGTTGCAGCATAGGTATTGCTTCTCGATATTGCAAATTGATTATAAAATTAGTTTTAAGCACCTCATTACTTTTAACTGATTGATCTTTCTTTGAAATACGAAAGGTTCTATTGTTTGTCCAAAACGTGACAAGGTCATTTAATCAATTTAGCTAGCATCTGTATAAATGTACACATTATACTAAATTGATACGACCTTTAAATCTTCGTTCGAGAATGTTTTGGAAGTGTTCTAGACGTCTAGATCTTAATTGATAAATATATATTTATCACTTGAATATCATTAATATAACCTTTGCACGCCAATGAGTTCCAATAAACAAGAAATCTCCATATACATTTAAATGATTTCTAACTTCTGCTGGCGGAATATTTTTCTTGCTCCAAAAATTGTATATATTTCTTTTCAATTTTCTATTATTAATCTGAAAGGCACCTAAGGCTTCATTCCTATAATCATAATTAATTTATTCTTTGCCATGCTGTGAGTTTTTGGTGCCGCAAAACGATCTTCAAGCTTTACTGTAAAAAAAAGTCTCTACTTTAATTACATTTATGACTTGCGCATCGTGAGCAACCATGGCAGGAACCTGCAGGTCCAGAACTAAAAATATTGAGATGAAAAAACAAGTGGTTTTTATTTTATGAACTTTTTATTCATGTTCAATTTCTATTATATGGTTAAAAAAAAAAATTAATGTTTTTTGTTTGTGATTCTAAATATGTGATTGGCCAAGGTTGACCAGAAAATCTGTTAACCGTTGCTTTCAATAAAATTTTTCTTTTATCCCTTTTGTATTGATCCCATTTCCGTGGAAGGTTGCAGAAAGGTGGGCATGAAATTGGGGAAGCGCTAGAATATATTCTATTCACGCTATCTTCATATAATTAATTATTTTACTAAACATCTGTATCTATTAGAAATTTGTCCGTTTGTTTTTTATTTGTTTTTTACTCTTATTTTTGGTTTATATTCTTTTGGAGAACTCTATTAAAATCCCTTTATTTGACTTTAACTATATATTATATTTGGCATATAGCTATAGTACGAGTACACATAGGCACAGATTTTTCCATTCTGGTTGGAGGGCGATGGATTCCTCCCCCCTACCGGCCAAAAAAAAAAAAAATCAGTATCGGAAGCATATATTATGCTTAAAACTATGAGTGATAATTAACATAATTATTATAACGAACATTAAAATTATATATATATAAATTAATTTATACCTATGTTTATAAATCAGTTGTTCATTATAACACGTACGGATATATTTGAAAATATGGTAACAAAACAATTGAATAAATTGTATATTTTTACTTAAATGTTTGAGACAGTGAAATAAACCCATGATTCTCCAATACTTCAAATTTGCCTTGAGAAATGTGATAAAATGTTCACATAAAAATTGAAGGATGCCAATGAATGAATCGAAAATTCTAAAATATGTTGCTACATCTAATTATATTTGAATATAAACTCAAATTTCAATAATAGGAATATAGAGCTTAGTAAAATACTTGCATACCTACTTTTAGGCCTTAACTTAGCCGTGTAATCGACTTTTCTTATTCCTTATTTTATTTTAGTTTAGTTTACCATATTGAATTATTCATGTAGATTAATTGTTAATTTTTTTTTTGTTTTTTTTCTATTCTACGAAATATCGGGGAAAGAGCGAAATGATATCTTCACCTCCTCTTTCTTATAACCACTCCCTTCCCCTCCTAAGTCAGGGCCTATGCGAGTACAATGTTGAAACAATTCTACCGACCTAAGGAGCGAAGTGGGTTCAAATATTTTTTCTATAATTCCTTACAAAAAAGACAAAAAAAAAAAAAAAATGAAAGTCGCACCATTATTAGCTACTCAGCTTATTTAATTCGTAAACATGTTAGTTAACAACATGAATAATGTTTAAAATTCGTTTTCCTGGTCGATTACAATTACCGAGAAAATAAGAATTAATTCCTTCTTATCATGATACGTTGCATTATTTTATTTCTTATTATTTTGACATTTGATTACTGACTAGTAGCGGATCCAGGATTTAGTTTTGGGGAGCTTCAACCCGAAAACATTTATATTTATAAATTGCTAAACCCTTCCCCATCTGTCTTATTTACTTTTAATTATTATTTAAAAAAATATCCATTTATTATTAAAATCAGCTTGCCCATTAGCTATGATATTCCCTGAAGGGTAGAGGTAATGTTCAAAGTTATACTAATTGGGCAGAAGAAGAAGTATATTATATTAAGTAATTATCTATTACATATTAACCGAGATGTTGGCTATAGGAGAGGAATGATGAATGAAGAATGAGCTGTTGCATTCTATGAGAATAAAAGAGTTCTGGATTTATAGACAGATATCTATTTATGTAGCTTATGTGAATAACAACAAATTTATGTGATTCACAATGCCTGTACGTCTCTTGCTTTCGTCAGCTTCTGAACTTAACACTTCTTTTTAGGAAGCTTCCATTTTGAGTTAAGCACTTCTCCTAATCTCCTCATTAATACATTAATAAATTTACATTAAATTTGATGGTATAGTTTCTATTCATTAACTATTCATATAATCTTTTTTAATGATACCATAATTTTATATATATATATATATATATATATATATATATATATATATATATATATATATATAATATATATATATATATATATATATATATATATATATATATATATTTAACACGATATATACTTTGGAAGAAAAAGAAACAAACTATCTGTATGAAATGATGTTCGGATCTAGGATTTAATTTTGGGAGCTTTAGCCCTAAAACTTTTTTTTCTATTTTTATAAATGTAATCTGTAACATATTGAAGTGGTTTACAAATGATTTTTGAAGCATATTTAAATAAAAAATAATTTCATGAACCATAATATTTATAGAATTTTTTTTTAAATACTTTTGTTTTATAAAATGTGGTTATATTTAGCAGATGTATATGCTTTACAATTAAAAAAAATATTGTCAAAATTACAATCACATATTGTGATTGATTAAATATTTAGCTTAGATCACTTAACTTAACATTTCTTCCCCACGGAAGTTTCTTTGATTACATAGTAAAATTTTAAAAACATGAAATTCTGCAAATTACTCACACACGAGGTTACTAAAACATTTATTGCATGTTATTTTTCTCTTAAGCTCATTTCACAGCTTAGGTGTAATTTATAGAACAAGATTTTTTTTTTTCGTCACAAGCCATGGCCCCCGGTGGACGACTTCAGTGGAGGCCTTGTTGTGGCTCTTGGACCAATGAAAGAAATCTAGTGCGCGCAACACACAACTTTCACTTACTGTTCTACTTTGAATAGAAATTATTTTCTGCTAATGCTGGGCTATTATAAAATTTTAAGTGTATTTTAAACGGAGCTAAAGCTTAAAGCTTACAGATAACAAGTTATTAAGACCATTATAATTACAAAATGTCTATTTAATATATCACAATGTATATTGTACAAACAAAATGTATATTTATTATATATATATATATATAATAAAAGACGGTAGGCAATAAAAATCTAGTCACTCCATCTGCTTTTATAAACCACACAACTTTCTTTGCTTTTATAAACCACAGAATGACTAACGTCTGACTAAAATGACTAAAATCCTGGACTTGTTAGTGATGTATGTAATAAAATATATGTAATAATGTAATATCGTATATGTAATATAATATAGTGATGTATGTAACATAATATATGTAATAATATGTCCTCAACTAAAAATAGATGAAATGCCTATACTAATAAAATCATAGATAAAAGATTAATTAAATTCCGGAGCCACAGTATTGGTACAAATTCAACTTACTCCGGGGGTGCCCATCACTCCAAGGTCAATGGCGCATGAACTTTCCCTCATTCCTCCCTAAATATTTTATTCTTCTCTTCAGAAAACAGTGCAAGCGAATTTAGAATTTAAAAAATCGTAGATTATATATAATTACACATCATGCAGACTGTTCCATACATTCCCTCGTCTTTTGGTTTGAAACTTATAATTTCGATTATTCATAATCCCGTCGAAATGCCCCTCCCCTCTCCCTCAAAAATTTAAGACCACGTCAAAATGTGCTCCCTTTAAAAACATTGATGGCGCAGCTTGCGCCATGAAACCTCCCCTTCTGGGTATCCCTGACATGATCCTAACGTCATAGTCGAAACGGAACTGGAAAGATTATGAAGAGTTGAAGCAGAACGTAAACTTTCGCGTAAATATGCATGTGAGTAAATACGGCGGAGTAAGCAGCAGAGCCATCACACCATAGGATGTACTAGCGCGGTTCCAGGATAGATCCGCCTGTGGCTGATGCTGAACAAGCCATAACACGCTTGCAATTGCGTGGCATCTACCTTTTTTTTTTTTTTTTTTTTTGTTCTTCCCTACCTCGCCTTTTCGGCTATACGGGATTTTCCCGGGCCGGGGGGTGAGGGCGGGGAAATTTAAAATCCCCTCCGGCACCGGGACGCGAACTCGTACTTTTTATATCATCTCAAATCTCTGTTATCCGGTTGCCAGGCAACTAGCGGTGCTGTTACACACGCTTTAGCCTATTCGGCCACCCCGCCCCCACGCGTGGCATCTACCTGCGTTACACTTTACAGAATATCTAAAAAATATTTGCTGTACTCGTGTTTTGTCCTCTTCGTTTATATGCAGATGAGGTATCTCCCTTCCCTCCCGCCCTGTAATTACGTAATTATATTTACTCCTGGAACTTTAAACCATTTTTCCTTATTGGTCTTATTATGCAGCCGGCTTCCATTGCAAGTAAAAATTTTCCCATTCAGCATCTACCCAATAATTTAAATCAATTTCTATATAATCACCACACAAATTTTCATCTAGAAGGATATTGTGCCCTTTCGTAGTAAAGCATCAAATGTAAAATATTTACCATAATATAAAAAAAAAAAAATAACTTCTTTGGATTTCTTATAACAATTTTCCTTCTATTTTGTTGGTGTATCCATTTATTTAATGAGTGGATTCTATTCGGTATTATTTATTGATTTAATAACTTTTTTAAGCACGATTTTTTCTCGAAATCTATTATAAAGTGTATGGTATCTCAAATTCCAGAGGCCAAGAAAGTGCAGGCATAGTAACTAGCGAAGGAAAATGTTCTAAAAAGCTCAATGTGAAAAAAGGAATGGGGATGATCAGTAATATTTTTAATGATGAATCGATGCAGAAGCTCAAAGGTAAAATATTCTTGAAACTTATTACTAAGCAAATGATATGTGGTGCAATAATTAACTACTGTCTTATATGGATGATTAGGTAACCTAGGGATAGGTCATACCCGTTATTCTACCAGCGCAGCTTCAGAAGAAATCAACTGCCAGCCATTTGTAGTACACACAGGGCATGGTGCTTTGGCTGTAGCTCACAATGGAGAACTAGTCAATTCAGAAGCCCTCAGGAGAATGGTAGGTTATTAATTTGTCTTACTTTATTTATTTAACATAGAATAGTATTTATTTCTCAGCTGTGCCTAATAAGTGCTTCATGATATCATGCATGGATGTTTATTTAAGGAAATGCGCAAGGATCTATGTTATTTCCATTTACCAGGATCATGTTTAACCTAGTGGAGGCCCATAGCACTACAATATATGGGGATTCTCTACATCAGAGAATTTATTTCCCAAGAATAACTTTGGGTTATCAAATCAACTTAATGACAAGCTTAAGCAAAAGTAGGCGATGGGATTTGATGAAATTATAATAATACGGTGGACATCTGGATTACAACCTTCCTAATTCCTAAGAATTCCATCAAAATCGGATTAACGTTAATAAGTGTCATGCACTTCACAAGAATATGCCTTTAAGACAGACAGAGAGGGAACCAATTTATTCCTTGATTTCTAAAATCAGTGCCTTAGGGTAGGGCAACCGAGGCAATTGCTCTGGGGCGCTGGCCAACTGTAAGAAATAAAAAAAAAATGTTTATTATTATTATTTATTTTAAATGATATTTACAACTGTATACAAAAAATACATCTGGTAAATTCGCACATTGGTATAAAGACATGGAACACATGTTGAGAAACTACCCATTGGTAGCACTCTAATAATATGTCTATATTAGAAGATCACGTGGCCATCTTCTTTTCAGACGCCTCGGAGGGTTATCAGGAATCGAATATGAAGCAAGGTTAGAGACAAGAGGGTTGGGATGGTTATGAAGTTTATTATGGAAGGACAGATATCTGGATTGGGCCAAATCTGATACATAAGGAACATTAAGGTCATTATGGATAATTTTATTTGTAACAAAGTAAGGAGCATTGAGGATTTTACGAAGGATTTTGGATTGCAAGGACTGTATGCGAGAGGAATTTGAAGGCTTGGTGGAGCCCCAAAAAAATAAATAAAAAACTTATTAAAGAAATAAAGAAATCATTACCGAAATAATTTTAGCACGTAAGTGTAGTAATAACTTTATTCGTAAATAAAGCAACTGTATTAGAGAAATCTTAAATTCAAATATTACATAATATAAACAGCTCAAGAAATAAATTCATTTTTTTAGGGAGGGGAAGATGACGTCATTGCCCGGGAGCTCCGAATATGTAAAGACTCTAAGACCTAAAACACTATCCAATACCTAAAAAGCGTTCTAAGGACTAATATTTTTCACTTCATGCCTTAATACAAAGCTTTTCTATCTGCGTTTGTAAGGAAGAAAAAAAGTTAAACCTTTGCAAGAGACACTGTTCTTTATTTTTTAGTTGCGAAACCATGAATTACTTCTTCAAAGTTTATACCACTTTTTCATGACATCAGTTATGAACTGCTCAATCTATCTTGATACATCGTCCTTCTCATTAATGTCGATCCCTGTTAGGACATGGGACATTGTACCTCCCACCCTTAATGTTTGAAATGTTCTCGTTCCATGTCCATATTTATATGATCCTGTACTAGCGTAAAAAAACTAAAAAATCTTACATAATTTTTTAACAAAAACAAAAATAAGTGAGGCCACTACAATTATTGTAGGAGCGTACTTTTTTCAATGAATTCTGTAAGAGAACAAACGACAAAGGATTAAAACTATAATCTCTACCACTATACCGAATTCCAAGTATAGATATTATTGAACTCCGCTATTATAAATAGAATTGATGTTCTCAGGATATCAGCTTCGCTGGTTTCTTGCTTTCCATTATGTAGAAACTTATCAATCAAAATACTTAATGCCTTCCGCGTACGTTGTATTTGTAGAGAGCGTTCGGTATTCGGAAGACCGCAATACCATTATGTGAAATTGTATGCGTTTATTCATGGTCCACTAAGAGAAGTTTCACTTAATATTATGGTGGTCGCCTCTCCCAATAATTGAGACAGAATGACGCGCATGGTCCTCATACCACTCATTTTTAGTTTTAATCTATGGATCAAATAGATCACAAGGATCAAATAGCCTTATGGTCGCAGGGCGTACTCAGTAAAGATTGTTCTGTGCGTGTTATGGAACTGATATGAAATATAATCATTGACGTAAATAAGCAACATATTTTAAATTCAGTTATCTAATGCCTTTGACTGAAATTATGCAATCCCCTATTTTTTAGGGCATTTCTTATCATATTATCGAAATAGATTTGAATCGCTTAGTAACGAAAGTTTGTTGAGATTGCTTTTTTTTTATTTTATTTTTTTCAAATCTTGTGTTTCACAGCGCTTCAAAAGTTCATAAGTTTTGTCTCATATTTAAATGTTAGCTAATATTGCTATAAGGGTTTGGAAGTTTTAATTTATTTATTCCTTAATTGATCTACATCAATATTTAAACTTTGCAAAGAAAGGTGATGAGATACCAAAATAGAGATCTTTGGTTTAAGATATTCGACCGTACAACATCGAGAGCTTGTTTGAAATCGGGAGATGTTATTTTTTAATTTACCTGGAATTTTGAATATTTTTCCTGGAACAGAAAGTTCTGATTATTCTCCGGATGAGAACCATGATCTAACAAGGATAGAGTCGAGATTTATTCCGTGGGTCCGCCGCGAAATTAATACCAACCTCCATAAGCTGGTTCGAACCGGCTGAGGTGCTGTCTCAACTGTTCGGTCTATCATCACGACGTAAAAATTATTATTTACATATGAAAAAGAAAAAAAAAACAGTTGTGCTAGATACGTCTTTCTTTTCGAATAAGGAGGTTTAAAACTAGTATTCTGTAAACTGAGCAAAATTTGTACGAATAGTTTACAAGTCGCACTCAAATTAGCTACACTACTTAAGCAATTCCTTTAATTTGTAATGACTTGTTACAAGCTCGTCATTCCTTTTTTAATCTTAAGCTATGTGCCAAATACATCTTTTTTTTTTTTTACAAGAGTGTGGAGGTAAGAAAATAACTGCGCGCAAGAGCGATTTTTCGGAAAATCATTAGTCAGAGATTCCCAAATGCAAGCAGACCCAACGAGGAGAGTAACCAGGATTGTACCCCCAGGGTTCGGGTCTCGAAAATCGGTCGACCCGATTTTATTTTTCAATCTTAAATTATTATATAATTACATAATATTTTGGTTACATACATTATTTAGGCAATGGTTGGGTTTGAGTGATGAATTTAATACTTGACAGATGCCCGAGAAAATTTGACCCTGGAGCCCTTGTTTCTCTCCGCGGCCCTGAGTGCAAGGTTGCAGTTTGATTGTGTATTAAAACTACGGCCCGGAAAACTTTTTTCTTCTATATTCTTAAATGGCTGCTATATGGCCATCTTAAACATTGGAATCTGGAAAAAGGGAGGGGAAAGGTACTTTCTGCCTCTCACATAATATTTTTAGAAGAACCATCCCTTCTAATATTTCACAGTCATTGTCTTAAAAATAACTCAACAAAAGTTTCAGTAAACTATGTTGGTAATAATTATATAATATTAAATGTAATAAACTAATACTGAGCCACTGTTCATGTATGATGTTTCATCACTCTCCATATCTTGAAAACTTACCTTTAGCGACAGGATCTGAAGATCTAAATTTTCTTTGAATTAGATCTTAAAAATCAATTTTTAGATCTAAAGAAGATCCTAAATTGTTTATTTAAAATAGTATATAGTATTTGTAGAGTTTAAAAATCTAAGTGAAGACCACAGAATAAATTTTTTGTTTTCTTGGAATATTTGCAAAAAGATTTAGTGCAAATTGTATGTGTGTTTTAAATCTACTAGTCAAGATCGGTATAGATCTGCTGAAAACTCTATTTTCTTTTAAACTGAAAAAAAGAAAAGATAAATGCTCTGAATCTGGGCCTTATTATGTTATATAAACCTCCCCCTAATATTTTTTAATTTCCAAGTGCTGGGGCCTGCATATAATAGAGGCTATAGTTTTCAAACAAAGTAGAGAATAGTTGTGTCGAGCACCAAACATCTAAAAAAAAAAAGATTAAACGACTCATTAGTCTTGAAGAAATGCCATGGACTGCGACGGGAACGGTCACTTCAAGTTTCCATATCCTGAATCTGGCAGAAAACATAATGCTTATGAATGCCACTGCAATAATGTTTCAGTTCTAAATTATCAGGTTTGTGAATAGACATTGTAAAAAATAAGAAATTTGTATTTTTTAAATAACATAATTAAAACTAAAATCAATCAACTTTCAAATTATGCCTAGACAATGCTGTATTTGGTATACGTTCACATAACACCAAAAATGGGTAGATCAAATATTAAGTATTACCCTGCTATGAATTTTTTTGTCCACGTAGGTGTAAAAAACATTTGAGAACCACTGGGATACAAACTTAAGAATGATATTCACTCATCATGTTGGTATTTTTTTTAAATATTTAAATATATTTGTTTATAGAAGATGAAGGGTTCATACTGAATATAAATACTCAAATATATACTTATAGTACATATCAAATATATACTCAAATATAGTTTCTTAAAAATCTCAACTAATTCTAAACTCTAATAAAAGATTTAGTTCAAAGACAATTTGTTTGACCTTTAAAACCCTCAGTATTTAGTAGGCTTCGGAGATTTGTAATAATCAGGGATGCACAGTTATAATATATTTATATTATTTTTTCTCCCTCCTCAATATAGATATTTATGATTTTATACAACATAAATGTAAAGTTTTATACTATAGGTATTGTCCAGAGGTGTTGGGCTTTCCACTCATTCAGATAGCGAGCTGATTACTCAAGCCCTCTGCTTGAATCCTCCTGAAGGGGAAGAAGAATCGGGACCTGATATGCCGGCTAGAATAAGACATCTAATGCAACTAGCACCCTTATCATACTCCTTAGTAATAATGATGAAAGATAGAATGTATGGCGTCAGAGACCCCTATGGAAACCGACCTTTGTGCCTTGGGAAGATCGTTCCAGTTGATCATCAGAATGGTAAGTTCTTTATTCTTTATTGAATTAATTATTTATGTTTGTCAATCAATAGATAAAACTGCTAATTAATTTATCATTAATTAATCATTAGATATAGACAAGTTAAAAAATGGAATTCTTTCCTTTAAATGCCATAGGGAAATGCAAGGAAAAAGCTTGTGGATATATATGTATATATACTATAGTTATATATGTAATAGTTAAAATAAAATTATAGATGATCAGAAGAAAAAAAATTAGAAAATTTATCAATTGTTCTTTTAATTTTTTTACACATAAATAAATCATCATTTTTTACACTTAAAAATAAATCATTTTAGTTGGGTTGAAGAAATGAAGTTAAGAAATGACCCAAAAGAAAAACCAAAATTCATCCAGAATGATACAACATACTAATGAGTTGCTTTAAATTGGATAAAGTTATCAGTAGATAACTTTTTGTTTGTTAGATGGTTTGGTATTGATTCTTCCCCAGAAATGTTTTTCCTAGCTTAAATCAGCTTTCACTATTTTAAGCTAACAGAGCTATTATTAGTTTTTTCACATTAACAAAAAAGAAGTTTTCATATTAGGTTTAGTCAAGTCATTTAGCCATATAAAGAAAATTCTTTACTAAAAAACATAGCAGACCTTCCAAAAACTAAAATTAGTAAATTGGAAATTATTGACTTATTAGAACTGTGAGGAGATTCATTTCTAGCATACCTGTAAGTTCGAAAAGACCTTCAAGAGTAATATATTTTATATTTGTCACTTGAGGTAATCCATGAGAGGTTTATATTGAAACAGAAATTATTACTTACTAATTATAGTTACAGTTAATAATATACTACATTATGTATATAGGCAAATTAATACATAATGAATTAAGAATTTGTACTTTAAAAATTATATTTAATTAACAAGGATATAAAATATATGTATATATAGAATACAAATTCATTGAATTAATTGTGTAGATAATGAAGCTGATGGATGGGTCATATCATCTGAATCATGTGGCTTTCTTTCAATCGGAGCACGCTACGTTAGAGAAGTTCTTCCGGGAGAAATAGTTGAAATTACAGACAAAGGATGTAAAACTAAAGATATAGTTCCAAGGCCTGAAGGCAAAGCACTTGCATTTTGTATTTTTGAGTATGTTTACTTTGCAAGGGCAGACAGTATGTTCGAAGGTATAAATACATCTTTCAAGTCATGGACTAACAATTATTTACTAATAAAAAAATTTAAATAAATATTTGTTTATTATATAGGACAAATGGTATATTCTGTACGTATGCAGTGTGGCAAAATGTTAGCACGTGAAGCATATGTTGATGCTGATATTGTAAGTTCTGTTCCTGAATCAGGTACTGCTGCTGCTCATGGCTTTTCAAAAGAAGTAAGTTAATTTATATTTCTACTAATTCTTGTTATGCTATTTTAGTTTATTTTGTGTAAATAAAGCAAAAATATCAAAATAGGTCATCTAAAAATGGAGCAAAAACTTTAGTGCTTTAGTTTTTTATTTATTTTTTCCTTTTCCTTTCTATAAAAGAGACATGGATTTGAAATGGGATCATCCTATGTTTAAAAGTATAATACCCTAATTAGAATATTTGTTTAAGTTTACACAACAGTGAATATACTGGCTTGAAAACATTCATTTTTAATAGTTTGATTTTGAACATTAAGATATAATAGAACTGAATGAAATGAAAAACTAAAACAAACTTTTTTTTTTTATTCTAAATGTATCCTAATTTTTCTTACACTAAACATTATTGTCACAGAATACTATATGAATTTTCATTTGTAGTCAGGAATCCCTTTTGCTGAGGTTTTATGCAAAAATCGCTACATTGGAAGGACATTCATTCAGCCTAGCACAAGACTTAGACAGTTAGGAGTTGCAAAAAAATTTGGTGCGATAGAAGCTAATGTTGCTGAAAAAAAAATCATACTGATTGATGATTCCATAGTTAGAGGAAATACAATTGGACCTATTATTAAACTTCTGAAAGATGCTGGTGCAAAAGAGGTATATATATTTTCCCAATATAATTCAAATTTATATTGACTACAATTACTGCCACACTCCTACTGTTAAAAGCATCATAACAGCTATAAAAAACAAATTATTTATTAGAAATTAGCATTATGAAGAAAAAAAAAATGATGAACCAAAATTAGTTGATTGGATTTTTAAACTCAATAAAAATATTTATAAAGTATTGTGAAACATTAAACTTCAAATTTTTATGATGTTAACTTTTTTTTTCTTGGTTGAGTACAATGGTTTATTATTAAAATGAAAAACTAACATTGCTTTGAATTTAATATGAAATTGAAATTTTCATATTAAATTAAAACAGTAGGGATAATTATTAAATGCCACATAGAAACCATATAATTTGTATTTAAAGTTTTAAGTTAATAAAAGGAATATCAAAATTGTTTAGAAGGATATTAATTCAATCGGGTATGTATTCAGCGGATTAAGGATGTCATCCTTCTCCATGACAATGTCATGCTTCACGCAGCGATCTTAATTAGAGATAAATTGAAAGAAATGAACTGTATAACTCTGGAAAACCTTGCTTATGATCCATACATATACTCTTGGAAATATTTTTTGATCATGACCTTAAAAGAATCACTTTGACGAGAACGGTTTAAAAACAATGAAGAAATTGGAGGCACATGCATAATTGGCCAACAACTTTTTATGAGCAAATGATATTCTATTTAAGCTTCCAAGTACATGGTAAAAGTGTGTAGATCAAGCAAAAGACCATATCAAGAAATTCTGAAAACATGATTTATTTAAAACAGTAATTTTAATATGATTTGTTTAACAGCAATCAATAAACAACTAAGAATTTCATTTATAATCTTGAAATTGAAAAGTTATTTCTAAAGTTAATAATCCACATTAATTATACTGGAAATTCGTATAAGATTTACTTTTGATGGAAATTATATATTTTTTTCTTTAGAAAATCAATTTAATAAGATTTAAAATAATGAATATAATGTATTTACAGGTGCATGTTCGAATCGCTTCTCCTGCTTTGCGCTATCCATGCTATATGGGAATAAACATCCCAACAACTGAAGAACTTATTGCAAATAGATTAGATAATATAAAACTAGCTGATCATGCAGGTAACGTAACACTTTTTAAAACAGAAATCTTCTTTTTTTCTTATTATTCTGTGAAGTCTAAAAATGTGTTTTTTTTTGTTGGTAGCAAAAATAACATCTTCCATTCTAACTACATATTTATTAGTTAACATTTTGGAGCTGTATTCCCCTATCAAAACTCACTTAATGTCACAGTTTAAATCTTCACAGTACTTATTATTGCATGTCTTTCTGCTAATGTCAAATATTTAAAATTGATTAAATTACATCTGCAGACATTCTTAGCTCAAAATTTAGAGCTATATTATTTCTGAATCTTGACAAAATATTTTGACTTGATTGAAAATGGTGAGAAACATTGAAAGAGATAGGCATACTCATATGCAAAGCCTATATTGATATTATCACAATTTATTAAATAATCAAATTTATTTATCACATTAGATAAAGAAGAGAGAACATTTAAATTTAGGTAGAAGGATATCATTATTGATTGTGGGTTGATGGTTGACTGTAGTGAATAATGATGAGAAGGATGATTGGGTTGATCAGTCAAAATAAAAATAAATAATAATTGGCAAATGTTAAAATAAATATTTTAATATAATTTTCTAGTCACATCCTTAAGGTTTGGTGACATTTTCTCATAAGTTTTTTATTTTTATTTTAGGCCAAAGGTTACCAAATATACACAGTTTTTATATCCTGCATTCTTTATTCGACATTTCGGCTTCAGGAGCCATTATTTTAATATAATTTTTTGTTTTTAATTCATCGATATTTACAACTGTGTTATAAAAAAAAAAAATACAACTAGTAAATGTGCACACAGTAATAATACAATCACATGAAAACGCTTGTTGAGAAACTACCCATTGGTAGCACTCTAATAATATATTTACATAAATAGATCACGGGCCCATCTTATTTTCAGACGCCTCGGAGGGGAAAATAAATATTATTATTTATTTTTGCCATTTTTTTTATTTTTTTATCACAACAACCATTCTTCTCTTCATCAATATCATTAATCATTGATAAATACTAACAGACTTAAATTTGCATATGACATTGTTCTATTTAGTAAATATTAGGATAAAACAAAGATTGTGGATAGTTTTATAACTAAAATTATAGACATTATAACATATTAATTCTCATATGTTTTTCTCACCCATCTTATCCGTTACATCTATGCGGTTTTTATCGATGTCCATTTTAATCTGTAACTGTAATTTTTAATTATTTACTTATTTATTATGGTACCACATATTTTTTTAAGAAGTGGAGTACATGCCGGATCACATGTGATCTATTAAGAGCTACTAAAACCTGACGAAATTGTTAATGATCATGATTATCATCGAAAACAAATAATCCATTTGAAATGAGTATTGCAAGAAAACCAGAATATCAAAAAAGATAACACAAAGTGATTTTGCTTCATGTTAATGCACCATCAAAAGGGAACAATTAAGACATTAACTTGGGAAATATTAGTGCTAGTGACTTAGTCACCACGTTTGACTCCATTCAATTCTTATTTATTTGCATTGATATGGCACACACTTCATATAAAAAAGTATGAAAATGGCTGGATATCTGATTCACCACTACAGAGCAATAGTTTTTCTGACATGGCATTCATGAATTGCGAGAAAGATGGGAAAATGTATAGCTAGTGATGGACAATATTTTGAATAAAATATTTTCTAACATTTTTATGCAATTAACATATATTTTCAATTTAAAAGAAAACTCCAGTCGCATATTTTTTTATAAGCTATGTACACTCTTCTTCAACAATTTATTTTATACTTCATGCAATTTAAAAACAAATAAAGAATCTTTTATTTTACATATTTGGAGGCTGTTATAAATGTTTTACATGTTTGGAGTATATTTATACAACAAAATTTTGCATTTATAAAATAAATAAAAAATATTTAGAATAAATGCATTTTAACAAGCAAACCAGAAATTCAATGACAATTAAATTTGCTTTAAAGGTTTAAATTAGTTCTCCCTATCAGATTTATTTTTACTATGCAGAATTCATCACACTGTATATTGATAGGTTAAAATCCCCTAGTTGTCAGCACCCACTGTAATTATTGAAGAATATTAAGCAATAATTTAAGGAATGGTCTAGAGTTGGCTAAAGACATTCATTTCAAGCTGTACTGCCTCCTGTGCTGATATATTCTATCATCTTCCATTATTTATCTACTTTTATTTAGATTAGAAACCTCAAAGGTATTGCATAGGAAGGACGAGTCTTACATTTGTGACAAGAAATATATTCCTATAAAATATCATTGTTGTTTTTTCATTCTGAAGGCTGCCAGATTCAATTCTATAGATTTTTTAAAATTGGGTTAGGGATACCGAAAACTGGCATACGGATATGATATTTTTACATTTTTATGTTTTACTATAAAAAAAATTAATAAAAGACACTGTTTCACATTTATATTTTGAAATTAGAAATCTTCACAGACTTAACAGAATAAAAATTGTTTTACCTAGACTCACACGATTGAAAACGAGACAGATGCATTTTAAAGTTTCCTTAAGGGTGCCAAAAACTGGAGGTTTTATCCTAAGTGTCCTAGTGAACTTATTTTGTTTAATTTTTAAAATTCCAAAAGTGATATCAACCTCTAAAACAGGGGTGCCCATTTCCCCCAAGGTCCATGGCGCAAGAACCTCTCTTCCTCCTCAAGATATTTAATTTTATTGCTCACATTTTCTTAAAAACAGAGCAAGCTAAGGTAGAATTAGAAAAATCGCAGATCATATACAATTACACTTGCTGCAGCCTGTTCCATGGTTTCCCATTGTTCATTTCCCTTTCGTCCCTTAGTTCAAAAATTCATAACCCGGTCAAAATTTGCCACCTCAAAAATTCAAAAACCCGTCAAAATATGCCTCCCTCAAACATTTTGATGGCAGAACTTGAGCCATGAAATCCCCTTGTGGGCACCCCTGCTCTAAAGCACTAGTGTCTGTTTAAATACTTTCATGAATTCATATTAAAACACCAGAGATTTTTCCGAATTTAGGAAATTCAAGTTTTAAATTAGGGTTAAAAAATTTGTTTAATCTCTTTATTCGTATTTTATATTTTCACATTAACTCATTTTAAAAAAACATACTGAAGTACATATATTGTGTTGTTTTACTTATAATCCAGTCTCTTAAAAATTATATAACTTTCAATGCTGATCTTTTTCTCATATATTTGTCTTAATAATTTTTATTAACTTCATGGATTTCCATTCTAACATACTTCTCATATTTTGTTACCTATTTGTTAAAATGCAATTACACATATATGTACATATTAAACTTTTTCTTTTGCATGAAAATCTGTACTCTTAAATAATATTAAACCAACTAGCGTTATGAAAACAAGTAATTCAAATCTTGTGGAAAAAATAACTTATTTATAATGATTTATGATTACAGGAGCTGATTCCTTAGCATACCTCTCAGTAGAAGGTCTAATTAAAGCTGTGAGGTGGAAGATCAAAAAGGGTAAAAATGATATAGGTCATTGTACCGCTTGCCTTACTGGTGAGTATCCAGAACTTCCAGATTGGTGAAAAAAAAAATTACTATTCATTTTAAGAAATTTTCACAATTTTTGAGTTACCTTTATATTTTCTTAAAAACAAAAACATGTAGGTTATAGTAACTGAAAAAATTTCATCAGTATTAACACTATGTGTTAATTAGTGTGCAACAGCGTATTCCTGGGTTAATATACATGAGAAAATATGTATAATTATTATTCCTGTTATACTTAAGTGTAAATAATCTTAGATCTGATTTATAAAGACACGATTGAATTTATTTAGTTTTTGTAAGTTCTTTAAAATATTTATCTTAGATTTTTTTTATACCTATAAATAAAATAATTAAAGATATGTAGAATTTTTTTGTTTATTTGTGGTGTCTTCTCCTTAAGTCATATTTTATTTTCAAAATATTGAATTCCTTTTTAGATTTTGTAATACCATACTTATTTGTTTTATTTACGTATACAAATTGATATTTTGTAATATTTGTAAAAGCTGATTCAGGCATAAGTTGAATAGATAAATATACTTTTTGATTTGTACTTAACTCTATGAAAATAGAAAGTAATAATGGAAACACCAAATATACCAGATAACAAATATGATAAACATTCCAACATTATTATTAAATAAAACTAGCATGCCCGCACAATATATTGTTCAGTGATGAAATGATAAATTAATAAAAAAATAAAATAATGCAATGCATCATAAGAAAGAGAAATCAATTGTTACTTTCTCTATATAAAATCGACAAACGAAATAAAATTAATTTAAAATTGCATTAATGTTTGGAACCAACATGTCTACGAATTTCAATAAGCTGTATTTTCGCTAATAATATTCCGATTTCGAAGATTTCTTTTCCTTTCGTAGAGAATTTAATAATCTTTTATATAATCATGGACATAAGAGAAATGTGTGTAATTTTTTAGTTATTTGCAAATAAAGTTTCTTTTCTTGCATAACTTTTTTGCCTGAATGTTCGGGGTGATTGGGCTATTTCTCCTGCCTGAAAGAGAAGGAAACCTTCAAAATTGGTGGATCAAACTTGGGATTTGATAAAGAATTAATGGTGATATGGCTTACTGACAAAAAAACACCTTTGATAAACAATATAAACTCCTCCTCTCTCGATCATAGGGACCTCAAGTCGACGAAATGAGACATGTATTCCATGGCAGTACTACAATTAACGTAAGATAGTGTGGATGCGAACCCTTTGCCTTGCATTATCTCAAAAATAGTACATTTTTGGGCTTAAAAACGCAGGATCTGATAGTTCTGAAGGAACTATCAGGGTGTTGGTGTACGTATTAAAATCTTCAAAGCTCAATTTGTCCCGTATTAATCTACAGACTTACCACCGTTCCAGTATTGAAGCCTAGCAAAATTGTTGTATTGAATTTATTTATTTTAGAAAGAAAGAAAAAGTGGAGAGTACAATTCGCTAACCCCCCATGAAATTCTGAATCCAACGGTACCGTATTCATGATATTTGAGCAAGACAGGAGCTTATATTTGGTACAAAACCGATTTCGAGCCTTTCTATATAATAATAATATAATATATGTGGGGATAAATAAAAGAAGCTCACAACAGGCCATGAAGGTATTGGAAGGACATTTAAAGCACTAAGCCATTTAATGCTTCTGATAGACAGTGGTGTATTAAAACTATTTGAGGCCCAGAAAAGGTTTATTTTTGAGGACCCCTAATAAAAAAAAAATATCTTACATTTAAAATTAAAAAAGTATTGTTTCATCACGTTCAATTTATTTCTATAAGAATGTTCATCGTTTCTGATGTCCAGTTGAATATTTAGTCAACCAATTTTAATAGAATATGAGGCATTTCCAAAATTAAATCAAGTAAATAAAAATATTTATTCTTTCATGTCTTATGCTTAGTTTTAATATTAGTAAATTGTTATTCTTTAGTTAAAGTGTATTAATGTGTTTAATTGAATAAATCTATAACGAGAAGAAAATTGCTACTAAAACAAAACTATATTCATGTGATTAAAGAAAAATTATTATACTTTTTATTGCAATGAAATTATCATCAAATAAAAAAGAAAATCCCAAGCTGGGCAGCCTGGGATGAATCCTAAGCACATCAATCCATAAAGGGAAGGAAATTACTTCCAAAAACAAAACCATATTCATCTGTTTAAAGAAAAAGTATTGTACTTGTAATGATGAAATTATTATAAAATAAAAAATTCCCATGCTGTGCATTCTCCTTCCAGCCACCCTTAAGTACACCACTGCTGATAAAACTCTTCAAGATCTGAACATTTTATACATTAAGCAGACATTTTAAGAGATACCAGTGTAGATGAAACAACGCATGTGTAGTAATGAAGTTGTGTTTAATATTAAAGGAATCTTGCTTGAAATCAAAGTAAGAGTTCAAGTAAGTAGGAGAAGGGTGGGTATCAACCAGAACACATTAGGAATTCACAAGTGCCCTCTTTTTGCTGATAAATTAAAATTTTGTAAAAGTATGATTGGTAGTCAAAATCATTGATAGACTTATAGGATCAAAATGACCAGTAGAGCTCATACTGTTCATCTAAATATATGTAATTTTTTGGTCATTAAGAACTTCTCAGCATATATTTTACTTTGATAAGTTTTCTAAAATTTTTCACTGGTGGAAAAATATGACTGTTCGTTTATTACAAATTATTGCTTTTTTTGAAAATCCATTCTGAATCACTTTTTTTTATATTTTATAACTGACCATAAAATTAATGTTTCGCTGTGACACGAGTCTCATGTCTAAAGAAAAGTAGTAAATTCAGATGACTCATATAATGCCTCCAGAAAAGCTAATATTTTTCTGTAAAATGATTATGATAGTAATCTTTTAGACGATCAGATGATGGTCTGTATTTCCTCCCACAATACTTAATCAATATTTTTCTTAATACCTGCCATATTGAAATTTTATGGATTGTTGTGGAAGTCATTTATTTTTTGTACAAATAAAATTGAGAATAAATAACATTTATTTATAACAATATATTAATAAGTATGTTTTTAAAAAGATATTTACAAATGTTTATTTTCCACTATTACACATTTTCTCAATGTCAGTGGGAGTCTTGACAGCATTAGAAATCACTTCTGCACCCGAACCCTTAATTAATACATCATCTTCAATTCTAATTCCCATATCATGGAACTCAGGCCTAAGCAGTGCACAACCAGCTTTCACATAAATACCTAGAAACGAATCAATGAAAATTCAAGAAATTTTAAATTGATATGCATATATTAATAATATTATAATATCTGAATAAAACTTTAATGATTTATGATAATTAACACATGAAATTTTACTGTAAAAGTGCCTATGATAGAAATAATTCAATTTCATTGACAAATAGATTTGCAGACAGGTAAAAACTTGGTGGAGGTGAGATTTTTTTAGTTCAAAACTAAAAGTAGATTCTGTTTAAACTAACTAATTACAGATATCTAAAAAGACATCTACTTATTGTGTTCCTTTATTTAGTAAGGTGTTTCATTGAGCTTTTCATGCTAGGCTATGAAAATCTATATCTACTGAAACTTATAAAAACACATAAATCATGAAGAATTTACACTTAAATTATTTTATACCAGGTAACATTAAAGTAGTATCAAAATATTAAAAGCATTGTATTAACAGCTAAGAATATACAAATCAGGCATGCGTGCACATTAGGGATGTGTTATAAGGTAGGGAAAGCTCAATCAAGAAAAATCTGTTTACATATATTTTAAATTTTCACATTAGGTGAAGGAGGTTTCATTTAAGTCCTGATACAAGTTTCTATTATAATTATTAGCCCTATTATTAAATACCCCAAAATGATCATATTAACAAAAGTTGTTGACCAATTAAAATTGTCCAGTGCTCTTCTTTTTCTAATAGCTATTAACTATTATTTGTATTCCAAAGAAATCCTTTTTTCATTGATTAAAGGATTTAAAATGAGAAAAACACATTTTTGGGCAGCCTTATGGATTTTTTTTACAAGGTTGCTACAGACTGATTTTTTTTTTCTGTAAGTACAATTTGTTTCTACTTTTTTCTTTTAACCATCACAATGAGAAAGTCTATTGAGGATTTATTTCATAAACTATCACACCTGGACTATCAAGAAGTAATAAATGAATTATAGTAGTCAAGATGGGAAATTTACTGGGTTAGATGGTGAGAGAGGGCATGGCCAATGGCTTCTGTCCAGGGTTGCCTCATCTAAGTTTGTGATTCTAGGATTTGCTACATACTAATTCTCTTTGGTATCGGTTAGATTGATACATTAATCTTAAAAATATTTTTCAGAGTTTAGTTTAATAATATTTTTTAAATAGATTTTATAGTTTTTTTTTTATATTTAGTTGTCATAGATAGTTTTAATAGCTGTTACAATTTCGGGAAACATTATTCATATATAAAGCTTCCGAGTGTTCGAAATTACTTTAAGAAATACAAATTAAAAGGATTATTATAGGCAAAAGAAAAAAGTATATTTTGTATTTCTCATTTTGATATATCTACAACTGACGATGCACATGTCTATGAACTCAGGTAGCTGCGAAGGGAACAATAGTGAAGTGCTGTCTGGTCGGATTATAGGTATGCCAAAACTGGTCACCCACCATATTCTGACCACTGGACTTTCACGTTCCCAACTTACGACTACTATAGATTGAAATTTATTTTGAATTCTAATTTCCTAACAAGACTGTTGCTATTAATGACAGGAATATTTAATGATGAGTATGAAAGGTTTTATAAGTACATTACCTGGTTCTATAGTTATTAACATTCCTTCCTTTAGGGGAATATCACGGTTTATTGTTGCAGTATCATGAACATCCATACCTAGATAATGTCCAACATGATGGGGGCATAATTCGAACCCCAACTAAAACAATTTCAAAGTCATTTATATATATGTATGTATATTGAATGGATCATCATTTCAAATATATATCTATTATTAAAATATCATTAGGTATATAATGTTGCAAAGGGCTTAGGGGTACTCATGTGCTATGCTGTCTGCCAATGTTTATAACCTGAACATTGATAATTCTGATAAGGCACTGATAATCCCTATATTCATATTCATATTTATGGAAATTGGAATAGACAAAAACAAATGTAATAATAACAAAACACTTATATTTTACAACATATATATGTATAAAATAATTTTATTTTACATTTTATACAAAATACAACATAAAACACTTAATGCATACAACACATATACATTCATACTTTATATAAACAACATATATACATATAAAACACTTTTATTTTGGCAGACAAATTAGCTTAATGCTATTTAAAATAATGAGGAACGGATCCTCTTCTCTGTGAGCCCATAGACATAATAATTCACTTTACTATGAATCCAGGTGTTGCCTCGCAGTTCCACAATGTTTTTTATTTCTCCACTTAGTTGAGTCCCATAATCGTTCTATGTGTTGAGTATGGACCCCACTTGATAGATCAAAAATGTTATACCGGTAATTCACCTGGAAATGTTTATAGTTTGCTTCATTCAGTTGTAGGGTGTTGTATCCTTTCCAGCAATCAGAATAAATTGTGCTTCTCTCTTCTATATTATTTTTAATACATTCTAATAAACTTGTTGCCTTTCTGTCCTTTATTTTTACCATGAAACCGTTTTCTGTTCCTCAGCAAATTCTGCAAAACATCCATTGTTCAGGGAGAAATCTTCCTACATGATTTTTTTCTTTCACAAAAAAGAATCTCCTCTACTTCGACTTTTCCAGGCCCTCCAATTTTTTAGTTGACCTGCATAACATATTATGGGCACAAACCTCTCTTAAAAACTTGTTCCACATTACCAAGCTTTTGTTCGATAGTTTCAGTTGCTCTTAGCACCACTGTATTGTTGTTAAATTATGAGACCACCCATAAATAAATTTTAAAGCCCATGAAAAGGAAATCTTTGGCCTCTCTAACCACGTTCCTTTTCTTATACATTTTTACAACTGCTACGAAAACATCTCCATTTCGTCTTCCTGTCAAACTTCATTTTATGACCTTCTCAGAATTTCACCTTTGGAATTATCCCGATCTTTTGAAAATATTTGATAGCTTCTTCTTCTGAAGACGGCAATTCCCACAGTGTAATAATGTTCATTTGAACATATGAAAAAATTAAACAATGGAATAACTCACACATAACAGAAGAATAACAACAGCTTACAATAGATAAGAACAAAGGTTATGTGATGTAAGATAAGATGAGAGGGAAGGTTCCGTCTCAGCCGTGTAGTACACAAGTACCGGATTAGAATATTATCCTCCCAGCTACAACTCATCTATTTAGTTTTATTTCATAATTAAAACTAGAAACCAACTGTCAGTTTGATCAATATGGATAATTTATTAATAATTCTTTATTCACCTAAGGAAATTATCTACATGTTTACAGAATAGATGTTAAATTTAGTCAATTATATAGCGCTTATGGCAATGGCTTATGTCAATTATATGGCGCTTAAGTTGATGACTATGAATATTGAAACTAATGTAGTCAGGTGTCTTCCACCTACAAATAAAACTCAATAGACTTTTGACAATATATCCATTTACTTTATATATGACTACATTCAGAGATGCTAGGATCTTTCTCTAAGTAGCCTAGGAATGTAGAGATTGGTACCCAAATTAGTACTTGGGTTACTGTTGGTACTTTTTGGGCTTTATAAAAGCCACCATTACTACACCAAGTTTCAATATTCATAGATATCAAATTCATTAACAACTTAATAATGTGCTTAAGTAGTTATAAAAGTACGTATGTTGTCTGTTAGAATTAATAGGGTTATTTCCATTGATGGAATTTATCAAAAATTTTTTGATAAAAATAAAAAGGTTACATTAAACATATTTTTAAATTCATAAATTTCAATATTTCTTTTATATAAATATGGAATAATGAACATTTACTTCATTAGGTTTTAAACCTTCAGCATTTTTTCTCAGAACATGAGCTTCCTTCAATCTTTTCCCTAACAAATTACACATATCCTTGAAAAGCTCATCTAATGTTACTTGCTTTTTTAGACATTTGTCAATTAACTCTAACTGAATGCTCAAAACTACATCATAAAGTGTTTTTTGAGGATCTGTAAATTTTCCATTTGCTGGCCATGTTCTTGTGATATCACTACAGTATCCATGAAGTTCACATCCTGTACAACATTAATGAAATATTAAAGATGGCATTTAAAAAAAATAAAAGCTTCATATATTTTTAATTTAATTCTAGTTATGATGACATTTCTATTTACCAGAGTCCATTAATATCATTTCTCCTTCTTTGACCTGCTGAATATTATCAATATAATGAATAGTATTTGCATTGGTACCAGTAGCAACAACAGGTGGATAAGCCAGATGCTCAGCACCATTTATACGGCAAAAATAGTCAACAGTTGCAAACAAGTGATGTTCTGTCAAACCTGGTTTCGTGACAGCCATAGCGCTTTCGATACCTCTGGATGCTATTTCTGCTGATTCTTTTAGGACAATTTGTTCAGCGGGAGACTTAATTAATCTCATTTCATGTATTTTAGATTTTACTGAAACCAATGCCTGTAATTGAACACTAATATATTTCTATAAATAAAATATAAAGTAATGGTAGCTTATCTCCAGTACAGCTATTATGATGACTATCCAAAAAATTAGTTAAACCCAAGACATTTAAAAAGAAAAGTTTTATATCACAATAACTACCTCAAATTTTGTATCTCCTACAAATTTTGCAACTGTTTGTTGAACATAGGAATTAACAGGTGCTGAATAATCATACCACAATATGAATTTATCAAGGGCCTTTTTAAGTTCATAAAGTTCTTCTAGAAGTTTAGAGTTAGGTTTTGCCCTATCAACTCCAAAAAATTGAGGTGCATTATCAACACCTGAAAACAAACATAAATAAATATACCAAATCAAACAACTAAACAAAATTTAAATGTTTGAGTTAGTAAATAACCTGTTCTTGGACCTTCCCAAAGTTCTGAATGTACACTTTTTTGTCGAACAAACAAGGTAGACTCACATAATTTATCATGAGATATTAACATCAATAACACACTCTCTGGCTCTAAGCATCCAGTAAGATACCTAAAATCTGAGTTTTGCCTAAAAACATAAGGTATTTTTTCTGTCATGTACTGAGTGCATGAAGAAGGAATAATGATCACATGATGGCTGTTGTGATCCACATTCAAAACTTTCTGGGCTAGACTCTCTCTCCTATCTTTAAATTCTTTCAATAGGAATCCTGGAACAAGCTTTAAACAACTGAATTTACTTTTTGACAAATTATAATAAAGTAATCAAGTGACAACTTAATATACTTACTTCTCCAGGTTTCAGCAAATGTGGGTGCGATTCAGGTGTTGGCTGACCAAATGTTTTTTTTCTCTGTAATGTATTTTCAAGAGAAGCAATCTGAGTGAATTGACGGCCAATTTCTACTTTTGCTGCAGAATGAGATGTGCTACTAAAGAATGAAGTTTCTAGAAAATAAATTAAATAATACACAAGATTTAAAATGGCAGACACTTTATTGGATAATTGATTAGCCAATGCATATAGATAATTTATTTAAAGTTTCACCATTTCGTAAAAACTTCATTCGTAAAAATTTTGTGCTTAACTTCATCTTGACTCTTGAACCTGAACTGTAACCTCTTAAAAAATAAATAACCTCCCTTTGCCGCAACATGTGATTGTTTATTTTCCGTTGGGTTTCTTTCAGGTCCAAAGTGTAAGGCTAATTCAATGAACTTTCAACTGATTCCCGCCAGTCTTTACCTGTAGAGTGAAGTTGATCTTTGCAGACGTATTTTTATCAATCCGAGCTAGGATTCATTTAGTTTTTTACTTTCGATCTTTATTTAGTTTTTACTATATAAATTACGATGTGTGAAATCACAATTCCATCATCCCCAAGTTGGTATTTTAGTAATATTCTTGCTTGTAATGACGAAGGAACTGCTTTAGCCTATGGTGCTAAACATGAGGTCGTAATTCTTCGTCAAATTTCTAATAATTTAAAACCATGCGATGCTCAACCAATATTTATTCCTATGGCTCACAAAGACAAAGTCTCAGCATTAGCTTTTTCACCTTCAATTAGCGAAAATTTCAAAGATCATTTAGTTTCTTGTAGTGAAGATGGTACAGTACATGTATGGAACTGGCCATCTCAGTTTCTAATACTTGCACATTCAGGACATCCTGTAAGATTAATTTTTTTTTTACATAAATTATTTTATTCTACAATTTTTTTATGCTTGGGTTTGTTTAGGATAGCCAGAAGTTGATAGGGGTTGACTGGTCAAGGGCAGATCCAAACTTGATTGTATCTGTAAGTGAATTTTGTTCAATTGTTTGTTGGGATTTACCAAGTAATACTATTCGAAGATTGAGTATCAACACAAAAATTTCCCCAGTTTGCATGTCTTGTTGCCCGCATAACAAAGAACTGATTGCAGTTGGTGCCAAAGCGGGCCTAATTGTTATTTACAATATTAAAGGTAATTTTTAATTAATAACTATTAGTTTTTAAATAAAGTTCCAAAATTTAGTTGTTATGATTTTATGTTTTGTTATAAACTTGAATTTTTAATTCAATATTATTTCAGCTTCTTGAATTCATTAGAGATGATTATGAAAATTAGTTATAGTTGTTTAAAAATAATTTTGACTTTTAAATGTTAATTTTATGCCTCATTTGGAGACCATTATTTATCAGACTTAATTGCATAAATATAGTAAAACTCCTTTGACATTAAAGTCAAACTGAAGTTTGAATGTTTCAGGCGATGGTTTTGTTACTTTTCGATTAAGAGCTCATGAAACTGATGTTGTTTCTTTAGCTTGGTGTCCAGCACCTAATAACATTTTTCAAAAGGATGGCAGGTGAGATGGAATTATTTGTTTTTTAGCCTATTGAAATTGAATTATTAATCATTTTTTAGATGGAGATGGTCCAGGAGTATAACATAAAGTAAATGAAGCAGAAATAACATCAAATAAGTGTTAATTATTTAATGCTGGCTCTGGACCTGTTAATATTTATATTGTATTTCAGCCCTGATGATGCCCTACAATGTGGGTTGAAATGTCTGAATTGAATAAATGGTTAAATAATTTGATGTTATTTCTGACTCTTGGAACATCTGCTTCTTTTACATTTTTTTTTCTCCAGTAAAAAAAAAAAAAAATGTAGCACTTACAACCCATGAAGAGTCTTGGGTTCAGAACAAGTACTGTTACAAGGCCAACGGTTGTGCAGAGCGGAGTTCGGGCCAAGATCACGCTCAAGCGCCAAGTTCCCCCTCAATCAATTATTTTAATTAAGGGTACCTACTTTGTAAAGGCTGTATGTGCCCCAGGAGGATCTCGTTACCCAAGGTCGCTCCACGACTGTATGGTTAACTTAAATTGATACTATGAAGTAGTTGAAAAAAAAAAATAGGCTCGTTGTTCCGTTTTACTATCCCAAAATAGCGACCAATTTCAAGACCTCAGAAATTTCTACTCTAATTCCTGATTTCCAATTAATACCAAAAGTTGCAGAGTAATGACAATCCTCATTACATCCGACTGAGCTATCTTAACTTATACGTGTTGTTTAGGTTAGGTTCTATTCCTACCTTTCTAGTATTTAAGTATGGCAAATAAGAAATTATGTAATAAGGAGAAAGTATCTTCTGCTTAGAAATAAGTTGATATAGCTCATTTGCCTCTGACAGAAATTTTAAAAATATATAAGTAAAATTATTGAAGGAAGTTAGTTGAATACTCAACAGATCGTGGGTGATAAATAGTCTGGATGCAGTCGTTTTAAGACTTTTATTGTTGCCGACGTTTCAACCCAAGTATATGGGGCATCATCAGGGAATGTTACCAGTACTGAAGGTGTCCTTTTTTTTTTTCTTTTGAAAAATTATGAATATAGGGAAAAGTAAGAATAGTAACAAAATATTTATCGTAAAAGTATTTTGATTACAAAATATGCCTATTAGAATTAAATTGAAGTTCTTCTCCACACTTACATATATGTAACAATGAATAATGGGAAAATATATTTAATTATAAAATAATTACTAATACTACTCAGTGGCACTACTGGTCCTCGGCCTCCTCAATGAGGCTTCGCCAGGTCAGTCTCTCTTCAGTTGTGTGTGCTCTGGAGCTCCTGGGTCCCTCGCTATTTCATCCTCCCATCTTATTGAGATCTGCCTCTTCCTCTGGTCCCATACAATCTTCCGTCCAGCAACTTCCTTGAGATCTCTTCTGATGGCATCCGCACAACATGGCCAGCATAACGTAGTGCTACGTCCCCTTTGGGGTTTTGACTTTTTTATCAGGATGCCACTGGATAATTATTGATGATAATTATTCAGAATTATTTAATAAGAATTAATTAAAAAATATTTGTTAAATAAATTATGTTCTTTAACATATTGGTCCAAGATCAATCAATTGGACTTCTTTTCTCAAAGGCTTGTTGTGTGTTTATCATGCTTTCTAATTACCAAACATTACCTTTGATTATAATGAAATAAATAGGCGGCTTGATTAAAATAACTTTTATTTACAAACTTCTTTTATTCTATATTTAATAAAGAACACATATTTACAAGAATTAATGATCTATGCTTAGTAATTGGTTGTGAAGGCATGATGCAGATGGACAGAATAGAAAATTATTTTGCCATGAAATATTTTAACATCTTTAAAATGAATTGTTGAAAATCAAAACTTATCTATTATGGTATGAAGTGGTGTATTTGGTGGATGTCATGGCTGCATCTGCGAAGTCGAGATCATCATTGTTCAGGTAGGGCTTCAGGAGAAAACAGTCCTCCAGCCAGAAGAAAACATCAGACTCCAAGCCGGCTCTCCATATCAGCCTTCTTCTATCAGGCCGGGCAGCTACATCAGACCTCTCGTCTAGGTAGGGCAGTGGCCTAAGACCTAAGACCTCTCCTCTATGCTGGGCAGTGGCATAAGACATAAGACCTCTCTTCTATGCCGGGCAGTGGCATAAGACCAAAAGACTTCTCCTTCATCCATCTCAGTGGATTTTATTCCAATATCCAGGGTGGGGCAAGAATGGTTCCCATTGGTTGAACTTTTGTAGCAGAAGGGATGATGATAATACCCCCAGTGTTATGTTGAACACACGCCTTTTAGCAAGTACACGACTCTTTCTCGAAGATGCCCTTTTTTTTTTTCTCTCTCTTGCTTAGACTTAAAAGCTTTCTGATCCTCTTTAAACATAGCACTGGTCCTTTGGTGTTTTTGGCTGACCTTTTTTTTTTTTTGGGTCCTCGCCTTTAAGGCTATAGGGGTTTCCCGGGCCAGAGAGTGTGGGCAGGGATTTAAAAGACTCCTCCAGCGCCGGGATGCGAACTCGTGATTATTTTTTATCACTTTTTCTTATATCAGGTTGCCGGGCAACGGTGGTGCTGTGCACACGCGTTAGCCCATTTGGCCGACCTGTGTCCTCAAGTGTTCTATTGCCCCTGCTAAAAGGTTGCTAGGGGGTCTCAGGTATCCCGACCACTATCTAAGTAACCACTTTCCAACGTAATTATGTTGATGGTCCTTTGGGGTTCTTAAGTGTTTTCTTGCCATTTACAAAAGGTTGCTAGGGGGTCTCAGGTACCGCCCAGGCGTTAGCAATTATCTTTAGATTATATTTATTCATTTGAAATGATTGAATATAAGGACAACATGTGATCCTTAAAATACATAGCAGTAGTCTGCCCAATCTTATAAAGCCATTAGATCTGCTCTTCTGTATAACCCATAAACCTCTGCATTGGTTCTCGTTCTCCAATTGTTACCCTCCTTCACAGCTCCAAATATTCAGCTAAGGATTTTCCTTTCGAATATAAGAAGGACTTTTTCCTCTGAACTTGTGAGAGTCCAGGACTCCGAGCTGTAAGTTAGGACAGATCTGATGAGAGTCCTTGACAACTGACATTTGGTAGAGCAAGATAAAGATGCGATTTGAAGATGTCTGTTAAGATCAAGATACATATATTAAATAATTAGAAATTATTATTATATGTAGTTAATAATGTGATTATCAAGTAAGAATAGACCAAAATATATTTATGTCAATATTTTAACTATCATTAATACAACTAAGTATAAATTTTCCTCTTAAAATGGTGGGCAATTCACTATAAAGCATTGGTTATTGTTGTGCTGAGTCTTCTGTTGGGCACATTTAGGGGAACTATGCTTATGCCCTACAGGACTCTCGTCTTTAGTAAACTTGATTATGGTAGTATAGTTTACAATTCAGCCAGTAAAAATTCCAAAACAATGTTAGTCCCCATCCAAAACACCGTACTCAGATCAGTCTTAGGTGCTTTTTAAGCCTTCACGCGGAAGCTGGAGTTATCCCTTTGAATTTTAGAAGTAAGGCACTTTCTTTTTCCTACTTTCTAAAAGTGATTTTTTGCTCTCTGCTCTCTGAATCGTCAGTTTTCTGAAAACATAATCTTACTTCAAAACATAAAAACATAATGATATTTATGATTTGTTAGCTGTAAATTTTTAGTTTTAGCTCCGTTAAAAATGCAATTCAAAAATTTTATAATAGACCAACATGGTTAGAAAATAACTTTCTATTCAAAGTTAAACGGCAAGTCAAAGTTGTGTGTTGCGCGCACCAGATTTTTAATATTTAAATTGAACTTTTTAACTTTTCTTCTTTTAATATTAATGTTTAGTTTTTAAAATGTATTTTTAGATTATATTCTTGAAATCGTTAACTTATCTTTTTTCAATATTTTTTAATGTTTAAACTGTTCTCTTTAACTTTTCTTCTTTTAATGTTTATTTTCAGCTTTTATTCTTAAAATCATTAACCTTTATTTTAATTGTCTTTAATACTCTTCTTCTTTTAATCTTAAACTTTCAATTTTTATAACTTTAATTCAATTATACCATCATATTCAACTGTAACTATTTTTAACTTTCTAAACTTTAATTTGTATTTGTTAGCTGTTGTTTTGTTATGTATGCCTATGTAGTAGTTGATCCAATTGTAATACAGAGCGAAAATGACCCAGGTGGTTGAAGAGCCCAAAACATTTATAGATAAATAAAATAAAATTTAGAGGAACCTAGGAGTAGCATGCTTCACTGAGTGATCTTGAAATTGGCTGCCGTCTTGGAGAAGACTAACGGAGCTAGTACCAAAGACAATGTTTAAAACATGTTTTATGGGTGATAAATATTCAGGACGCAGTCATAATGTTTTTATTAGTGCCGAGGTTACAACCCAAACATGTGGGTCATCATCAGGGTATGGTTCGAGCACTGAAAGTATTCAAGTACTGAATACCTGAAGTACTGAAAACGTCAGCACTAACGAAAACATTATAATGACTGTGTCCTGAATATTTATCACCCATGATATGTAGAACAGTCGATTAACTTCCTTCAATAAAACATGTTTTAATATATTTTCAAATATTATTATTAACAATATATTTTAAATTTTTAGACAAACAAATGATAAATTAATAAATAAACAATAAATGTACCTACAGTAGATAGATATTTTTTCATTAATCTCTCAGGATGCTAATAAAAAAACCATTATTATCTTAATTAGAAGAGAAAACTGTTGAAGATAAAGGCCAATAAATTTAGTAATTTTGTGATCTTTCTGAAATGATTTGTACTAGGATCATCCAATGGTCGAAATTTGACCAAAATAACCATTTTATTTCATTTTTGGGTTTATTTGTACAATCAAAATAAGTATAAAACATTTTGTTTTGTTTGAGTTTAAAAACAAAACAAAAAAACTTCCTATTTACCTTGCTATTTACATAGATAAGAGTAATCAATAAAAAATAAAAAAAAGTACTTAATCAAGTTCCTAACCTTTTCAGTGGAATTTAGCTTGTTTCTTTAATTATCGATTGAATCACCGATGGCGCAGTGATCCATTGGCTTTTGAGTTGATGGATCTGATGAATATAACCTCAGTGTTGTTATTTTTTCTGCTTACTTTTCATATTTATGTCCTGTTTACTGCTTATTTAGCTTATTATTAGTGCTGAGTTTAGGAACTTGCGATTTGCCTATTAATAGGTAGATTTGAATTACTAAATTTCAGTTACTATTTTCCATTTACAGAAATTACTTATATATTTAATAAAAACAAATGTTTTTTTTCTTTATTTGGATATTAGTGTTTTCCTGCTTTAGATTATTTTTTTGCCTATGTACTTGTTTATTTTTTAATTGGTTCCGTTTATTTCCAAAACCTATATTAATATTAATGTATTTATTATTATATTGATATTCATATTTATTTACTTTATTTTTTTTTTAGTGAGAATACTTACCTATTGGCATCTGGTGCAAAGGATCGTAATATTTATTTTTGGCGAGCTGGAACAGATGGTAGATATGAAACATTTATACAGTTGCCTCCTACACCTCTTGCTACTACAGGCTACAGGTAATATACATAACAATTAACTTTCATAAATTAATTTTAACTAATACTTTTTAAGTGTTAATAAATACAATATTGTGTTTTTCAGGTCCAAAAATGGCGTTGGTGGACAGGGTAGCCATTGGATTTGTGTTAGATGGCCTGATGCTAACACACTTGTTTCAAGTTCATTGTTTGGAGAACTTATTTGTTATGATTTAGAGCAGATATCAAATTCGCCAGTTTCTGATAAGTAAATATTGATAGAAATCCTCTTAAATATCAATCATAATATTTCTTTATGAGCAATCAGTTAAAAATTCTTTTTTTAACTTAAATAACGATGATTTATTGATAATCAGCTATGGAATGCTCTTGTGAACTATATTTTGGGCTTGGAGTTATGTAGAAATATATTTCTTCACTTGTATGTATGGGTAACATTCTTAAGAAGTTCTGAAAGATACTTTGTTTGTTCTAGCGAGGATCTGGTCAATATAAAACATATTTATTTAATTAATTACATGTTGAAAAATCCTAAATGAGGAATACATTATTATGATATGACCAAACAATATTAATTGCGAATAATCAGCAAAACAATAGCACCCTTTGTTGAATGCTAGATATAGGAATATACATAAAGAAATGACATACATCCTAATCATGATAAAAGTAGAAATAAATAAAATACATGACCAGAATGTTAGTTATCATTCTGCATGGTTTTAGCTTGTTAGAATTTTATGTAATAATTATTTAAATCTGAAAAACAAACAAAACATTTATGGTTTAGTTTGTTTTCTAAAGGCAATAATTTAGTGCTTCTCGCCTGTAAATTGTATTTATAACTGCTTCATACAGACAGTGATAAAATAACATTTTATAACATAACATAACATAAAATGTAGATTAACTTATTAGAAATATAGTTTATGTTTTTAACAGTTATTGTATTCAATTATTAGGGGACTAAGCGTCTTTTCTGTAAGATTTTTTCATAAAGAAAAATTAATTTTAAATTAAAAGGCTAATGCAGGAATTAATTTTAGGTGATTAACTAGTTTACACGTTCTCGCTCAAGAATTTCATGAGTACATTTAGTCTTAAAAATAATATTCTTGAATTATTTGATTTCTGCCTTTTGCAGATGCAAATGCAGTGACACAGAACATCGTGGGTCTGTTGGCTCTATCAAGGGCCCTAAAGAAAAATTTACAAATATTTTGTAAAGAGAAATTTACAAAATTGATATATCATTTTTCCAATAATGCGACTTATTAACATATTTAAAAGATTTACTCTTAAAAATGCCAATGAGTTATGCAGATAATACTCATTTCATTGATATACATAATTTGCCTGTGCTAACCTATTATGAAGGAGTCCTTATGATTGGGTCTAGTTTTAATTACAATAGAGAAAAGAGCCTAATGTAATACATAATGATTTATATTATGTTAATTAATGATATGATTATCTAATTTGTTACAGAAATGTCCCTAAAGACAAAAGAGGCAAAATTAAAGCAGTAAGATTAATCCATGGCAATCACTCCAAAGGTCTATTTAGCATTGCAATTCCATATGGTCTCAAGTATGTAAATAAGAAGAACATGCTTATAACAATAGAATCCATAAATAAAAATGATAAACTTTAAATTTCTTATATATTTTTAAAGGAAAGAAGGTGATGATCGCATGGTGTGGACCTATGCTCTAGATAAGCGCCTGATTGCTAGTAAATTGGACTCTTCCAAAGTATTGTGCAGCATGGCGACGATTGGTGGTATTGTTTACTGCATGGCTGTTTGTCCTCTTGATCCAAACAGGTAAGAATATTGATATTTTCAAAGCAATGGTTTTAACGCTATTTTATATTAAAAATTAAATTGCTAGCAAGTACTACTGTTATCCAATCAAATTTTAATGATATCTAAACAGCTATTAGCTAAAATAAGTCGCTATTATAGTAATGGAAAGTTTTAAACCTGAAAAGATATCAATTGTTAAGCAATATTAATATAGTAAAATTTATCTGTTAGTATTCTTTTCATTTTACTAAGAAGCAATAAATTAACACAATGGTTGTTTGTATATATTTCAGGATAGCCATTGGTACTGGTGATAATAGAATTTTAGTTTGGAATATGAGTAATGATTCATGCGATAATATTATATGCCTTTGGAACAAAATAAACAACAAAGTGATGGCTGTAAGTACAGCATTTTTTTTTTTTATCTCATTTTTCTATTTAAAAATTCAAGAGAGTTATTTGCCAAAAGTTTAATTTTGTGAATGGTTTTTCTGTCTAAGTCAATTTAATAAATATTTATCAACTTGTGTTAGTCACTAAATAAACTACATCTTGTTTTATAATTCTAGATGACATGGAGATACTTTTGTATACAATGAAACTTTCACTAACTGACACTTTGAACAGATATTTTTTATGAAATTACAATTTTACTTTTCCTGCCCACATGTTATGGGTTTTAATACATTTGATACTTTTAATAACCAAACACAGACTCTGATTCAAAACTTGCTTCTTTAAGTGAAACCTCTATAAAATGGAGAGCAGTCATAAAACAGCAGAGAGGGATTTGCTTGTTTATTTATAATCTGTATGTTATATTGTTTTTACCTCTGGCTAATATTTTGTTCAGAACTGAAATGTTATTTAGTTGAGCAATTTATTTTTATTATTGAATATCATGACCAGAGAGAAACAAATTCTATTATAAAAGAAAATTTATTATAAAATTATAATTATAAAAAATTATATGTATAAGTATGTGGAAAAGGTTATGTGTATGTGACATTGTAGAATGATTCCAAGTCAGAAAATTAGATGCTGAATATTTTAAAAAAATAATAAGTTACAAAAATTTGTGAACGGCCTAATTCTTTTTGAGTTAATCTACCAAAATCAAACCGATAACAGGTCCATCATTAAGATAAGGGATTTTAAAATTTGGGGCATAATTATTTTAAAGTAAGAGTCACCTCATAGGTGGAATGTTGTGCATATTTATAATTTTATCATCTACATGAATTACAATTATTTGTAATTCTAAGGAGGTTACAAATTTTACTACTCATTGCTCAAATTGTATAACTGTAATTTTTATTCTGTAGTTCAGATTGTATTAATTTTTATAAACTTGAAATAAACAGAACGAAACCATAGTCCGTTCAAATTTTTAATTTATTTAAAAATCTATATTTCACATCAAGCCTCATTGCAAATGTATATTATTATATAATTCTAATTATTTTTATTGCCAATTTTGTAACCATAATAAGGGAGAAATAATTCTGGGAATAAGAAGTGTCGTGTCTTCGTTACGGTCTGTCCCACTGGTGTCTCTGTTACGGTACATCCCGCTTTGTATATATATAAGATATGATATTGTCACTAAAAACTTGTTTATATAATTGAGAGATTATCTTATGTAAATGCAAACTTTTTTTTATTTTCATACCTTTTATTCATTACAATTCTTATTAGCCAGCAGACTCCTTTAACTAATGAATAAAATTTGCATTGCCAACGCACTGTTGTCTGGTTCAGGTAAATTTCTTTACATTTCTCTTTTAACAAATCTAACTATAAATGTTTTGCCTTGCGTATATTTTAAAAACAAATTTGACCGGATCTCAATTTCATAAGATCTACCAGTTTTTATACAATCAAAAGAAAATTTGGTATCATATTTGCATGAAATTATTTATATTTTGTTTTATGTTTAATAATTATGTAATTTCATGTATGTATCCTCATTATCATGTGTATACATAAACTTAAATTTTGCTGTTCCAATATTTTTCTTTTGTTGTAGGTCGCTTGGCATCCCACTTTAGAATCAGTTTTAGCTTTTGGAACTGGAGAAGGAAGGATTGGCTTAGTCGATGTGGACAATACAACAAAGCCTACAACTTTGCTAAGGCTTTATCATAGGAAAAGTGTTTATTCTCTCATCTGGGGTCCACCAATTATTGATGGTACACACATTTATTTTTATGTTACTCCTTAACACATTTAGGACACAGGGAGCTCAGGAACTACGTACATTTTTAGCAACTGCCGCAGGTAGTTCCAGAACTACTGCACCTCTTGCCATTCCGCCAACGTTTGGGCTATTTTCATTTGATGATTGCCAATCTGTAATGTATTATTCCAAGTTAACTTTTTCTCACTAATCTATTATTTTCAGAAAGTTAATTTTTCCTCGTCCTCCCCTATTTATGCATATCTGTTATCTATTGAGAATGCTTGCTTATTCAAATAATAGTTGATAGATCGACTTCATATTTTCTAAAAATCTAACTAAACTAAATAAAATGAACGATCCTTAGCATTGATAGTTGGGATTGGTGATTACTGGGAGTTAGACTCATTGATAACAACGAGACACTGTTCTGTGCGAAAAGAGATATTAATGTGTTACAAGAAAACAAATAAATTGAATTTATTTAGTTTAGTTTTTTTAAGTTCTGTATGCATATGTGCACAATAATTGAATTGGTAATGTTAATATTACTGTCAACTGTCGATATAACCTAAATGGCTTTGTTTTAGTGTTGTTGTTGTTTTACTTTTTAAATAGCTTAATAACAAATTATGTTGTTAATTATTATAATGCATGGGGTTAACCAACCTTCCAGCCTCAAAGACTTTTAATTTATTCAACCATTACTTTCACTATCCGATCATATATGTACATCATATGGATCTTTTTTGTGTTTTCAGAAATATTCGTCAAAGGTAAAAAAGCTCTTTCCTTATTTTCGGTTGGAGATGGAGACATTTTACAATATAATCCAGACACACCAGACAAAGGTAAGCAGTTATTTATTATTGTAATATCAAATAATTTTTGTGGTGTTTTATTCTATTGTATGTTCACATGCTTCTTGGTCACCAATTTGCTGGTGGAATTCATATTTTTTATTTAGACTTGTATCAATGTGTTGAAGGATCTTTCTTGTTAATTCCAAGAAATTCTTGGAATTCAAAGCAGTTGATTAGTTTTGATTTTACTTTATTTTTAGTCGCTGTTTTCTTTTTCTATTTAATTTTCCTCTAATACCAACAAGCTGATAATTTCCTGAGGATATACTAAAAGAAGTTGAAACAAATGTAAAACAGTTTGAGGAGACAGTGGAAGCAAGTGAAATTTGTGTTCCTTGGTTTTGGTTTTTGTATTTGATTTTAAAGAAAAACTGTTCTTTGCAACTTAAGCACAAATCCTTGAAAATATGTATCTTATTTTCTTTAAATTTTTCTGTTATATTGTTTAATGTGTCAAGTTGTAGGTTTAATATGATCTCCTAAACATCTATAATTAAAGTCATTATAATGAGCCATAGAACACAGATTGATTTCTTTGATGTAATTAAACTATATCCCTTGCCCATAAAAATATGACCAATATGGTTAAAGTTGTTTTTGAAATAATTTATTTTTCATACCAACTTCATATTAATAAATTTTTGTTCTTATCCTATTGATCACTAAAATAAGTTCACTTATGAATACCATATTTCAGAGCATTCCAGATGTTGCATGATTTCTCAAGTAGAAAAACACACATATTTCGTCTTTTATTTGCTATTGACTGATTACATTGCTCTATTTATTACATTCTTACCTCCTAATGAAAGATTTTAAAATTTTGTTTATTTTTAGATCCTGTTAGTTTGAATCCACTTTTTAAAGCTTGTGACAGCATAGCAAAGGTTAGCAAATCCTTAGGTCGCACTGACTTGGCTTGGAACAGCAGTAGGTCTTTGGCTGCAATTGGAAATGACAATGGGTAAATTATTTATTTTGAACAATTAACGATATTATTAAGTAAACCACGATTACATTTAATTAGTATTCACATGCTATTCTGTAAGTTAAAAAAAAAATCCAATGTCCATCCTGTTAACTGTCTGTAATTTAGCTTTATCCACGAGTTAATAGTCATGATTATTAATTTTTATATGAATACTTTTGAGCATAAATTCTTCATTTATTTCAGGAGACTTCCCTTTAGAATAGATTTAGTGTTTGATCTTTTTCTACATGCTCTGTTTTTGCCTTAAGCTTTGTAATGAAGTTTTATTAATTTTTTTTAACTGAAGCGTTATATTACACTATTCCTTTTTTTTTTTAATTGGAAGATAAGAACTTAAGAAGTGCTATTAAATGCTGATTCTTCAATAATATCTCATGCTATTGATAAGTAACTATCTGCCTGATGACAACCGATTTAATAATTCAGTTAAATAATTCATATAACTTTGAATTGAATAATTTGTTGATATAAGATTGGATAAATCTTGATTCTTTGATATAAGGAATGATTTTTAACAATTTCCAAAAAAGTTTTGTATTCAGTGCATTGCACATATACTTATTTTTTTAAAGCAAAATATGTTTAATTTTAATTCAATGAGGAGGAAAAAAAGAATTTTCTCATAATTCATTAAAGTATTAAACAGACCTTTAATATAAACAAATTTTATGTCTTATATATAATAGATGATTGGCTGAGAAATGTAACTATTATTGCAGCTATTTTATTTCTAATGTACAGAATAAAAAATTATATTACCTTACAATTAAGTAACTACATCTATAAATATTCTGTTCTGTATATAATATTTCCCAATCTTACTCATATTAATACAGATTAACATTAAATAGTAAATAATGTTCAGAGGAAACTTAAAATGGTAAAAAAGGATCAATTTCAAAATTTAGTCCTCATATTTCTTCATTTCCAGGAAACAATATTCTTATTTTAATCATTTTTCAAATGATTTGATACAGAAGAAAAATACAGCACTCAAATGAAAGCCAGTTTGTCATGGTTAGTTTCCGAATGCCGATTCAAGTTTGTTATTCACTTCCTGTTTGATCATTTCCTTTCTACCATTTTATTTCAGCTTAACTTATCTAATATTAAATCAACTTACCTAATCAAATCTTAATTTAAATTACCATTTGGATGTTCCTCTGTTCTGGTTTTATGTGATCACCTATTTTGTTCTCATCTTTCAATTTAAACTTACTAGCCCACCCATGAGCGTATGTATCATCCCTGATCCTGTTATGAATTGAATTATCAATCCTATTTATATTGCCAGGGTTCTATATATTGTGGATGGAAAAGATTTGTCGCATGTTCACACAATATTTGCACACAAAAAACTTGTTCAGTGTATTGTGTGGCACCCAGCTACAGTTACGTCTGAATCTACTCCTTCACCTTATGCTTCATGGCTTGCATCTGCCTCTGATAATATACAGATAGTCAATGTTACTACAGCTGGTATGTCATTTAATTTTTTTTTTTTTTTTAATTCTAATCATTATTTTTTTATGATAACCTGTTATCTTTATTCAAAAATTTAAGTAACAAATCTATTTTTCTCTCAATATTTGTTATTTAGTATAGTGAATCCTTTCTACATTGAACAGTCATGGGTCTGATATTTATTTATTTATTAATTTATTTAATCAACATAAATTATTTTTAAAATTGACAAATTAGACTGTTTTTTAAGAAATAATTATTTTATGTTTTGTCATTTTCTGCAAATTGATGTATTTTTCAAATTAAACCATCACTTTGTGAAATAACTTTTACTTTTCCGTTTCGTGTTTTCTGTACAAAAGTATTACAGTTTTTTTATATCATGTAAGATAATAGTTATATTTATTAAAAGGAATGACTTCATGATATCAAAATTATTTTTCTATATTTTGTAAATGTGCAATCAGAAGGGTAAATTTATATCTCGGTAAAATATATTTCATAGCATATGTCCGTTGCTCTGCCACGCAGGCACATTTGCATTATAGAGGTTTCACTATATCATCTTCAAAATGAAATGAAAATTTAAAAAACAAAATGTGTAATATCATGATGGCTGAACTTCATCAAATTTGTCATATTGTGAAACGTATCTCATTAAGTAAATTATGTATTTAGGTGTAGAAGTCGTAGCATGCTTAAGTACTCACAGTGAAAAAGTTGTCAGTTTGGCATGGAGTCCTCATTTCAATTCCCGCCTTGTTTCTGCTTCCTATGACTACACATCACAGGTATTATTCAAATTTTCCTTAATTATGACTGTAAATTTTTCTATTATGTATTTAATATTAATTAATATATTTTTTGCATAACATAGTTCAGTGTTTTATTGTTATTATAAATGTGTTTTGAGGTAGCTTTCCGTTTTCAATAAAAATTGATAAAACCCGGTGGTTTTGATTTGTTTGTGTTCTGGTAATATCATATGACCTTGCAGTTTATTCTAGAGATTTCGATAACTTCAGTAATTAATATGATGCTATATATTTCTACTTTTAATTATTTATGATTCCTTATTTATTCGAGTAAAATGAGAATTATGATTAGCAATTTTTTTTTTTTTTTTGTTAATAAGGTGTGGGATGTGGCATCAGGAAGTGTTTTGGCTTGCTTTGATGGTCATCATAGCGCTGTAATGTGTTGTCTTCCCAGTATGCTTCATCCAGATTGTGTTATTACTGGCTCTGCAGATTCTACTGTTCGATTGTGGAATGTCAACAAATATAAACTTACAAAAACTAAAACAAGTAAGATAGGTTTTATTTATGTCAACATAATAATGTTTAAACAATGAATTATTATTTTATTTTTTTATCTGAGAGCTTAATACTTTATTTAAAGTAGTGCTGCCCTACTACATGGGTTACTTAATACACAAAAGCACAACTATCAATCCTTTTTGGACATAACACTAGTATATATAATATTTTATTACTATATTTTCCTGTTTTTTTTTCATTCACCCTTTTCGTATTACTAATCTTAAGCAGTTGCAGACTACAAAATGTCACCTTTAGCACAAACGGATTAAACATGTAAAATTGTTACATATGATCTTTTGCTCTAGTAGCGATATTTAAGTGAAATTAATATAACCTCAAAAATTTATGTGTTAAAATTACAAGATTAAAACACACACATATCAACTATTATGGATTTATGAATGTAGACTAATGAGCATGACTAAATAAGTATTGGAGAACTATATTGAATATAAAATAAAATGAAAACAATTCTCTTATCTCACTTATTATCGTCTTATTTTGAACTTGATTGTTTTATGTTATGGAAAATAGTATTTAATGAGGACATCCACATTTATTGAGCTCTAATCATTATATTATAGTAAACAAAATAAAGAAATAGTGCAAATTATGACATGATTTATTACATATTTCTTCTTAGCTACGTATAATTTTTTTTTTAAGGAGCGATTTCATGGTTCCAAAATACTTAATATACATTTTCATGTCTTTATAAATTACCCAGAGAAATTTTTTATCTGCCATTTGGTATCGATGATAAGGTACATTCTGATATGTAACAATGATATCAAATCTAAAAAAAAAATTGAATCCATTAACCTCAGAGAAAAGCTGCAGTGGATTTTTTTCTTAATTTGATCTTTAGCATTATTATATGAAATTGAAATGTAAAACTTTGATATTTTAGTAATGGTTAATTTTTTTTTTTTTTTTAACTTTCTGAATTTATTAACGTGTAGATAAAGTTACTATTTTCATTAAACTTTTATTTTAAGTTTTTTCTGAGCATTGTAATATAATATTTTACCATGAACCTTTAATGAAATTAATAAATAGATATCAAAATAGTATTGATAAAGAAAAAAAATATTTAAGAGCTTTCGGAATGAGTCCCTTAAGATCGGCCTTAATGCAATCCTCCCACCTTCGCTTCGGTCTACCCCTCGGACGTTTACCATTCGATACAGCAAATATTAACCTTTTAGGAATTCTCTCGTTACTAAGCCCAACAATTTTACCAGCCCATTTGATTCGCCGTGATGAAATTACCTCAGTTATATTACCTGAATACAGTTCACGCAATTCGTCGTTGTGTAACTGTCTGAACTCTCCGGATAGCTCATCCTTCTTCGGTCCGAATATTCTACGCAATACTTTATTTTCAAAAACCTCAAGATGCTGCTTGTCCCTTAATGTAAGCGGCCAAGTTTCACATCTATAAAGAACTGTAGGTAAGATAATGGTTTTACAGATTCTAATTTTTAAGTTCCAGGACAAGAGGCACGAGCTAAGTAGTTTTGTCACAGAAAAATAACAAGCATTTCCCACCTTCAGTCTAACCTTAATCTCTTCTTCAATTTTGTTTTTTCTAGTAATTGTAGAATCTAGATAGCTAAATTTCTCTACCTGTTCAAACATATTACCATCTATATCACCTGTAGTATCACCATTTTTATAGCTAACCATATATTTTGTTTTATCCGCATTTATTTCGAGCCCTAGTTCTTTACCAACTTTCCATTAATGTTGTCGTATTTAGTTTTATAGTGTCCACGTCTTCGCTTAACAGTACTAGATCATCAGCATAACCCAGCACGGATGTTGTCCCACCCAGATCCAACCCTTTTTTGGTACATATTACCTCCCTAATGGCACGTCTAATGCCAGATTGAACAGGACAGGCGAAAGGGAATTCCTCTGTTTTAAAACCGAACGAAGCTCAAATTTTTCCAATAGATTATTAAGTTACAAATATATACTTAGTTAAATTAATATTTACATATGTATTATAAATAAACTTTTGGTCAGAAAAAAATTTTAACTAATCCTCATTAATTTTGTTCTTAGAAAAACAGCGTCTCTTTAAGATTATTAAGTTACGAATATATACTTAGTTAAATTAATTATTTACATATGTATTATAAATAAACTTTTGGTCAGAAAAAAATCTTAACTAATCCTCATTAATTTTGTTCTTAGAAAAACAGCGTCTCAGTGGTGTTTTGAAGAAATTTGCTGGTGTTCAAGAAGCTAAAGATGCTAAAAATTTGCTTGACCTTAGAGTTCCTCCTACCACCAATGGATTTAGTAAGTTAATATTCAAAAAGTATTTATGTCTGTTAAAAATTCTCTTGTCCATCCTACCAATAATTACTTAAGTAAGTTGATGTCAGTAAAGCATTTTATTTCTAATGTGCGTTTTTTTATTAATTTTCACTTTTAGAAAATGACCTAAAAGAAGAAGAAGGGCCTCATATTACAGCGAGTATACCGAATGTGGATCAGGTTAATAAGCACAAGAAGAACAAATCAATGTTTCCTGTTACTAGTGGTGGAACTTCTCAAGCAAAATATCTAAATGTTTTATGGTCACGTATTAGGGGTGAACCGCCTTCAACTCCAGAAGAGAGTGATTATGGATATCTAGATTTTTTTGGTGACACTAATTCTATACGTCGCCTCCTTAACGTAGAAGGTAATATTTTTATTATTTTTTCTTTATATCTCTAATATTTATATAAATGTAAGTTAACTATTCACAATTTTTGTTTATCTTTCTCCTACTCAATCACAAAACTTTTATAAAAACTCCTTTGTTTAATAAACTTTTGAGACCATATTAATTAAGTTGAGGTTTGTTACAGAATAAACTGTATCTACTCCAGTTTGTAAAAATTAAAAAAAAAAAAAGTATTTCAACAAAAATAATTACATTTATTTCTTTTCTTCTGTTACTTGAGATGTATTGTAATAATATAATTACTAAAAACATACACTATTAAAAATATGTAAACAAAAAATTATGCTTGACGTATATTATGAGAATTGATCCTTAAAAAAGTTGTCTGGTTTATAGTGTTTTACTTTGTGTTGACCTAAATAATTTCTTCATCATTGCTTCCTATTAAACAAAAAACGTGAAACTTAAATTCGCTGCTTTTCTGTAGATAAACTGTAGACTTATTTTCCAATCCGGTATATAATTTACAATAAAATATTTTGTACTTACTGATGACTTATTAATAAATTCTTTTTTTTTTTTGTTTAAGGAAATCATCATAAAACTACAGGCAATGTAGCTTATACTCGCTATTTATCTTTGTGGTCTGGTAATATATCTGAAACAATAAAGGATGCTATCTGGAAGAAGGAACTAAATGACCATCTTGTTAGCCTTGCTCCAATGGTCTCGCACAAGTAAATGATTTTGATATTTATTTTTTTTTTAATGTCATGAATTGTAATATATCTGTCATATAGACTGTTATTTTGAAAGTGGTGTAAGTCCATTTTAAAAAAAAAAAATGAGATATCACGTAATTTATGCGTAATTTAGTGTAAACTTTTTATTTGTAACCAATTAGTATTTAATATTTTTACAAATGCCCATGCTTTGTCCAATTTAAAATTGGTCGGTAAAAGAAATTGCGTAACCATCGGTTATGAAAGTGATGAAGTCCAATTTCCATGTACAATAGTTTCATCCATAATGCTTGGGATGAAACTACTGCTTCCAGGAGACTGCAAGAAGTAGCTTCTTGCTGTTTGAGACATTTAAAATATGCAACGACTCAATGTCATGTTATTGCACATAATGATTGGTATATGTACAGGGCAAAATTGAAATTTACAAATAGCATTGATGTTGTTGAGGGTTGTCCAGTCGTTGGAAAAATAACATTCAAGTAGTTGTGTCACAAATTTTTACTCTCCAGGCATTCATACCTTCCAAACAATGCAGATTTTGGTATCATAGAAATGGCATTACGAAAAAGCAGTTATTACCCTAAATACTTCCTATGCATCACGAATATTTAAAAACATTGCCATAAAAGTAAATACCACCAATAACTTATGTTAATTTTAACAATATAATACACGTTTAAAATTAAAAATACTGCTTCTATTTTTTATCTTGTTATTATTTGTTAGCAAAATTGGATTAAAATGAAATATATTTTAAGTGATATTTGATTTTTCAAAATTAAAATTAAACGATCTTTACAATTGACTAATTTTGAAAGTGGTGTAAGTCCATTTGCAGCCCGTAAATATACATTATTTTAATTAAATTTGCCTAAAACAAATTTATATAATCAAATTACATATTGATAAATCAGTTGAAACATTTCCAGACTTGATATAATTTAGCTATTTTTTTTAATTAACAGAAATGCTAACCTTTAATTATCTCAAAACCAGATAAAATGGACTTACATCACTTTCAAAATAACGATCCATATGTTACAAGTACCTCTTATTTTATTTATTTACTATTTGTTTGATTCTTGATCTATAAAATCTATTTCAGATTGTGGGTTGACTGCTGTAGAAGTTATGCCACACAGCTTGCTGAAAGTGGAGACATTTATAAAGCTGTCAGTTACTTATTAGCAATACACCAGGTTTGTTGTTTTAAGTTCATTTTATAAAAAAATGTTTCACAATAAAATAATAATCCTTTCCAAAATGTTTTATGGTGATGATATACAAAATCAATTTATTCATTCATATATATATATATAGTGCTAATTTTACCAAAGAAAATTCCATTTGGTTTATTCAGTTCATCATTGGAACTTAATGCAATGTTGATATTTTAAAACAGGTAGAAGAAGCCATTGAACTTTTAATGGAAAGTAAATATTTCCGCGAAGCTGTAGTCCTTGCTAAGTCAAGATTTCCTACTTTTGATCCAATTGTAAAAAAGGTGCTAGATGCTTGGGCTGCTCATTGTATTTCTACTGGAATGCTAAGTCTTGCAGCTCACTGGTTAGTAAATTATATATTTTTATTGATTATTGATCATTTAATAAATGTATATTTATTTATTGGCGTTACAGTCCATCAAGATCCTTGCCCTCTCTTCTTCCACTCTATCCAATCTAATCCAAATAATCACCATTTTCTAATTTCCATCCTCTTCAGGAATACTCTATTATTTTGTTCTCTTACATTTTACCTCGAATCCAATTGCCTTAGTCTTGTTCTTACTACTTAAAACAAGAATGGATTCATATAAATTATTATAATTAAGTACGTGGACATCAAGACTCGTTTAGATGTTTAGATTATTTCCATTAATTCCATTATTTAGATTACTTCAAAGCCTGAAAATGTACCTTTTTTGAAATAGGCTGTAATTCTTGCTAAAAGCCTGCCACTTGTCAAAGTTGCTATGGGATACTTCTGAGTTCCTTTTAGCACCTTGGTTAATTTAGAAAGAAACTTTTTGATATGTTTAGTAAAAATAACTTATTTTCGGTACATATTTTAATTTTCATGGTTGTTAATATTACCATAGTGGTGAAGAAATTCTTATCCAGGTCAATGGATTCTATACTTCTCTATTAATAAGTGAGAGAACCAGAAACTAAGGATCCTGCTTTTTTGCTATAATACAATAGGCCTCAACGAGTTCAATTAACGAACTACTTGTGTTAACAAAAATGAACTAAAACAAATACTGAAATTAGTTTTTCCTCTTTTATCTATTGAAAGAATGGTCGATATATTGTAGTTAAAACGATTTATATTATGGTTATTTTACGATTTTTCATTCGGACTTTCTTTTTTCAATACTGAACGGGTTATTGGGTTTTCAAAGTTCATACATTTTTTCAACTTTTCCTCTGCTTTTCATCATTTATCTAGTGAACGGATGATCAGTATTTCACAGTTCAAGCTATTTTCTAACTGTTTAGAGGAAGTCTAAAAAATGTACAAGTGTGATAATTTTTCGACTTTACCTCCGCTTTTCCTCTTCTATCTTGTGGGTGATAAGTATTTGATCCTTAATTTATTTATTTTTTTCAATCAATAGTATTTTATAAAACTATGCCTTTGATAGCAGAATAATGAAGCCATTGATCTAAGAAATCTAAAGGTGATTAGCCATTCTTGAAATTTGTAGTATTTTCGAAAACTAAGTCTTCTATATTATAACAATGGAAATATGGAATATCGAATAATAATAATATCGAAAAAATATGGAAATATTTGAAAAATGATGTGAATTGTTAAAACTGTGGCCACTTGTTCACAACAACGAAAAAGCTTATAAGAATTCAGAAAATTCCTCAAATGAAAATATATCACTATCTGAACAAAATTAAATACTTATCATCCATTTAGGAGATAAAATAGGAAACTTGAATCAAAATTCGGGTATTTTCCACTCTCATATATCTTTTAGATTACCTCCAAACAGTCAGAAAATTGCTTGAACGATAAAAAAAATGAATACTCCTTCAAGATAAATGAAAGGAAAATTTAATGAAAATTCGACAATCCACTCGTTATTCAGCAACTACATATAAAACTAAAGATTAGTTTTTAATCACAAGCGGCATTTTATTTTTTACAAATAAAAATATTGATTGTCCACCACAACTATCTATAACTAAGTTATTTGTCAAGGAATTAATTCCATATGACAACTAATAGTTAAATTAGTTGTGGTTTATTTGTAAATAATTTAACTACAGCTTGCTATTTAGTTCAAAATTTATCTAGTTAAACAATTATCTAACTAATGCCCAACTCTGCTACAGCTAGTATACTTATTTTTATTTATCTATAATTTATTTTTTCTTGTGCCACAATCATGTTTAAGGTATTATAAGGATTTTATTATAGGCCCTTGTTTTTATTTGACATTATATAAAAACCTTTGAGTTTTAATATATTTCTAAATTGGTATGGATCAGTTATGTTTGAGTATTTTGTCTTTATATTTATCCAGTCTAGTGTCTTTCTCTTACTTCATCATTCCACTAATAAGTATAGATAATCATTTGCCTTCTTGATATTTGAAATCACATTGCCTAATTTATTCTAGATAAGTTCATTAACTCCTTGTTCAAAACTTTTTTGAGATAATATATTTTGGAAATGTACAGCCTTTTTTCTTTTATACTTACATTCTTCTCATTTGGTTAATGAATACTCATTGTTATTTATTTGTTAATGTAGTTCAAATTTTATCAATACTAGCTTCCATAATGCTTTAATATTTTTCTAGTGTCCTGAGTAATGGATCTAACATTGAGGCAGTAGAAATACTTTCTCGTAGCAAAGATAATGCTTTTATTTCTCTTGCTGCCGAGATAGCTAGTAAGTCAGATGCTCAAGAGATGGCTGTTAGCCTTGCTCTAAGAGCTATAAATGGTTCTCTAGAAAAACTCGATTTTGAACTGGCAAGGAAAACATCATTACAACATCCCCAACTGAAGGTATTTTCATTTTGGTTTATTAAAAAAATTAATATATGTTTATTGACCTAAGTCTTCCTCATTCTAATAAATAAAACTTAAATATCTATATTATTAGGCACACTATCCTAGTGGTTTTTCTTTTTTAAAAGAAAATGTTGTTTATAATAATGCAGTTAATTTTGTTTTATATGTATGAAATGAAATGACAAATTATTTTATTATGGACTAAAGGGCCTTAAAATAATAGCAGAGTTTAAAAAAATATATACATCAGTCTGGCATGTAGAAATAATAAATAATTAAAAATAAAATTATTCTTATCAATTAATTGTTGGTGAGCAATTGTGATTACAAACCTAGAAATTCTTACAAGGTTGCAGAAGTTTGAATGTGTAGTAGTTGGTGGAATAGGAGTTGTTTGCAGAAATTTGTGGAGGAGGTATAACGTATGGAGATAGTATGATATTCATCTCATGTAAGGAGGTAGCACGAATGACGAAGGATTCACTGAAAGAAGTGGTTTTATGGGAGGGATATATAGGTCTATAGGTTGAGTTCTGGTATTAAGATATTGGATATAGGAACATAGTGTAAGGAGTTCTAGTATGTCTGGAGGATTTTTGGTTCTGAGGACTTGTAAAAACAAAATACCAAGAAGGAATTGCCGTCGGGAAGTAGGATAGAGTCACTTAAACTCAGTGTATAACCTGGCAACATGGAAATGCCTGGGAATCCCACAGATGAATCTTATAATGATATTCATGAGTCTCTTCAGTCCCACCTCCAGTTCTGTGGACAGCTCTACATACAGCAAGCAACCGTAGTCGAAGTGGGGAAAAACAAGGGATGCTACAAGGAGCTGTCTGGTTTTTTCAGGAATAGAATCATGAAATCGTAGAAATTGTTTGAGGATAGTTATGGATTTTCAGATAATCTGGGAAATGTGATTAATCCAGGAGAGGTTCTGATCAAAGATTACAGAGGTTTTTGACTGTCAGAAAGAAATAGATGGGGCAGTTATTGAGGTAAAGTACAGGAGATAAAGGAAGCGAACTAATGAGGTGACTAGAACCGATGAGGATTGCCTTGGTTTTGTTTTATCTGTTTTCCGCTTTAGTTCATTTTTTTCTGCCCATCTGTGGATACAGTCAATATGCTCTTGCAGTTTTTGGGTAGCCTCAAGCATCTCAGAAAGTTGGAACTATAGGTAAATTTGAAATTAATCATCTGCATATAAATGATAACAGGAGTGATGTATAAAATCAGGAAGGTTGTTAATATAAATAGAGAAAAGGGTCGGAGAGAGTGAGGAACCCTGAGGTGGATCATCTCGTGATAATTTAAGGGATGAAAAAGAGGATTTATTAGGAATAACAACTTTCTGGGAGCGATTAGATAAAAAGGAGAGAAACCATTTTAGGCAGACTTTAGAGTTTGGAATGAAGGATATCATGATTGACAGAATCCAAGACTTTTGAAAAGTTGAAAAGGACTAGGATAGAAATTTTATGTTTATCTATAGATAATTGAAGGTCTTGAGTAATCTTTAACAAGGCAGATAGGGTGGAGTATTGGGAACGAAAACCGGACTGTAAAGGATTGAGGAGATGGTTTTTTTCGAGAAAATTATTCAACCGAGAGTGAACTAATGTTTATGGAGGCTTGAATAAATTTAAAATGGATCTGAAGTAGGAAGCCGATGAAGGAGCAGGCACTTACGATTACTTTTTTCCAAGCTTTAGGAAAACTGGAATTTTGGAGGGAAAAATTGTAGATCTGTAAAAGTACAGGAAATAAGGTTGGGTGGTAGAGTTTGTTGATTTTCATAGGTATTTGGTCAGGACCATAGTCATTGGTTTTGGTTTCAAGGATAGTAGAGAGTTGGTCAATTGGAGAAATATCAAGAAAGTAAAACTGATCTGGATCAAAGGAGGTTTTATATATATATATATATATATATATATATATATATATATATATATATATATATATATATATATATATATATATATATATATATGGAGGCTGGGGTAGCCGTACGGGCTAAGGCGCTTGCAATAGGTAATCAAAGTTAATAAGCAATGTCGAGTGTGGTTAGTACTTGAATGACTGACCGTCCACCAGGGAAAGCCATGCTGCCCAAGTCTGTCCCCCTTCTCCGGGTAAGTGAGGCCCGTCAGCCTTCTGGAGGTAACTCACACCGACAGGGAGTAGGACTGATGAGCCTACCCCCTGTACTTAAATCAAGAATCGGGATGTGGCTTACCAGGATGTTAGTAGCCTCCCTGACGGTCTGTTTTGGGAAAAGAAATATAGGTCCTCGTGCACCTGCTGACTCCGAGCAGCCATAATCCATAGATCTAGACCGATTTGTCACTATCCTTGAACCCAAATGAGTCGGTGGGAAGGACACCCACCAGATTGGCCCCAAAGGGATCGCCTATGGAGCTACGGATGACCTGCCGCTGCACCATGGAGACCATGGTTCGTAGCAATGTGAGGTTGGGTGACCACCTCCACCCTATCTGAACTCCCACAAGCAAGATACATCTGTAAGGAGACAAAATCTCATCATTTGGTTTATAATGAATTTTTTTTGAACATATGGATTAAAATATCTTAGAAACTAAAAATGGGACCTGTATACTGTAAGGAAAGAAGATTTTCAGGATTTCATCCTCTTTGTTATGAGATATAAATCAAAATTGTATTGTGACGTTATGCCAAGTTAGAGGCTGAAAGAGAAAAACATAGCACCAAAAAACCAAATTATAAAAACTGTTTTGAACCTTCGGAATAAAATATCTCAAAATTTATACTCCATGGAGAATTCAGAAACCAATTAGTGGAAGTTAACATAGATATTTTTTTTTTTAATTGGCCATAAAAATAAATAAGAAATTATGTGTTTCTATTCGATTTTCTTTTGCGCTCTATAGTTTTGACAAAATACTGACCTATGATCTAACAAATTATGGGTTTTTTGTTAAATGTTTATCAAATAAATTTCAATCTAAAAATAAATTCCATATTTTAGGTATCATAAACCTATTGTATCATTTTTAGAGTATGGTACACATGACGATCAGTCACAGCAAAGTTTACTAGAGTAATTAATACATAATTATAATTGTAAATGTTATTATTTGTGAATATAAAACAAGAACAAAATTGTATATTTCATGTTATTAATCTCGCCTTTTTGATGTTTTCACTTCTATCGTGTGGTCTAAAGCACAAACTATAGTTTTTTTCTATATTTTGATACGTTATACATTCTTTTAATTGCATGCACTAATTGTTGGGCTGATTCATAGTTTTATATTAAAAGGTTATATGAGCACTAAAATGGTCTTCCTTTTGTTTATCTACTGCTGGAAGTTGGGCAATTTTTATTTTTAGGAGATAGTATTTCATTTGTATAAAAATGATCAACTATCAACCATAGCAGTAATAATGCGTATTATTCATTCTGTATTATTGTGACTAAATATTTCTAAGATTTTTTTTTCATTAATTGTTTCTTTTTGGTTTTAGGAAGCTGTATGTTGGATTGAAATATGTTCGCTCATCACAGTGTGGAAACCACTTTCTTCACCTGAGGCTATTTCTTGGATTTGTAGTGAGCCTGACTTAAAGCACTCCAGTATCTTAGAGAAAGCATGGAAACTCACCGAGGGTGTTTCATATAATAAATTGAATCGATTCATGCCTAATAAACCAACAGATGAATCTGAAAACAAGGTATTTTGATTTGTATTTTAAAGTCATTTTTTCTGTTTTATAACGGAATCTTTGTACATGCTTTTAATTCTTTTTTAAACGTTCATTCCCTCCAAGTCTGGTTTAAAGTTTATTTGTTCACAGATTTTTAATTTAAGGTCATACCATTTAGATTAAAATATATATTTTACAATTTTAAGAAATTTGAATAATCAGTATACTCTTGTCGTAAGTTAATTTGGTTACATTTAATTGTCACTTCTCTCTTTTTTTTTAAATTTTAATATCATATGCTAATTTAGCAAACTGCTGTACATCATTTTACTTTGGCTAATGCCTATTTTCTCTTATCCACATATTTTTTCCATGGTTTATATACACATGTACAGGGTGAGTTAGGAGGAATGGGCCAAACTCCAGGAGTAGGTTACTCATAACAAAAATTCAAATGTTATTATCCAATTTTCATTTGTTTAAATTTTATTTTCTGATTACAAACAACCGATATTTCATATGCTAATTAGCATTTCGGAATCGAAGAATTATTTTTTATAAGTGTTCGAAAATATCTTCATTGACTTCTATATATTTTCAGCTTCGTCTTAAGAGGGTAACAGTTTTTTTATATGTTGGATTAGTGCACCCCAAGTGTCTAATTTATAATTTGTTTCCTATCTGTTGTAAACAAAATTATAATGTTAATGTATAAAGAAAATATTGTTTATTTGTAATCAGTCATTAAAATTTAAATGAATGAAAATTGGGCAAGAACTTATTATTTTATTATGTGCATCCCACTTCAGGAGACCGTCCCATTCCTCCGAACTCACCCTTTATATATTTATATTTTATTTTTCTTTCCCTCGCTACATTATCACACTTGCAGATGTTTCTTTAGATATAAAAAAGAAAGCTGAAATTTGGTATGTAAGGTTGTTTTCTAGCCAGAACAGTACTACAGAATTTTGGGTGAATTTCACAATGTTCCAGAGTTTTTTAAATTTTGTTTATTTTGTATCCTCTACAGCTCCTTCTAATTGATTTAGAGGGTTAGAAATTTGTTAATTGAATTGGAGATCTAAAAGTGTATCTTTGTGTTCTCAATTTTTTTTTTTCAGTTCTGCCTTTTTCTTTTATTTTCTCTGTGGCTTTACACAATCTTTAGGTTTTGCACGCTTTTACAATTCTCTCCTAATTGAGTCAAAGGATTGGGTATTTGTTTGTGAACTGAGTTTATGTTGGGTATTTTGGGTAAGTGGCTGTTGGGTATCTCAACTTCTTTTCCCCAGTCCCACTATTTAGATAAATTAAATTCGGGGGAAAAATTATAAAATGTTCAAAAACAGAACATGAGGAATTCTGCAATTCAATTTTCTGAGCTAAGCATTAAGGAAACAATTAAATCATTTTTTATTTGATTTCCAAATAAGGAGGTCATATGACTTTAATAATGGATCTCTACATCACACATTAAAAAAAAAAATGTAATTGTTTAGTTCCTTGCCAGAATAATCTAGTACATTATTTATCATCTCTGCTTTAAGTAAAATTGTTCCACAGCAATAAAGTTTTGATTTGTTCGATTATTGTGTTAAAAATAATTTTTATTTTTTATTTTACTCTTCAAAACCATTCTTTTAATGATATTATTGTTATACTCTCATTATAATAATTATTTTTTGATCAGGTTTGGGTTTACATCAGTGGTCAATTAAGCTTGGCTGGCTGTAGCGAAGATGAAAATATTTCATTGAGGCATGTTGTATTAGCTGTTTCAGCTGCTTATAGATATCATGTTCAAAACCCAACCAGCTCAGCACGCATCTTTTTACAGTTGTGTCCTTGGCTTTCGCCTTCAGGTAATTTTTTTAAAATATATTTTAATATATAAGTGAATTAAAAGTTATCAAGCATCTACAATACGGTTAATTTGTTCCTATTTGCATATTTTTGTCGATGACTAATGAAATAGTGATATCTATACCAAATCCTCAAAAAGAAGCTTTTCCAAGTATATTTGTGAAAGTCAAGTTTATAATAATTTTCTGTTTGAAAATTTTAACTATTAAAATTAAACTTTAGACAAATTTCTTCATTATAAAGGCATGTAGATTTACATCAAATCATGACTTAGTTTAACTCATGAGAAATGGATTATTTCAACTTAATTAAGTTTGGTTATTGATTTAATAATTTTTCTTTTCTTTTTAGGTCCACTTGGTGATATAAAAGTTTTTGAAAAATGTGATAAATCTCTTAAAGACAGTCTACACACATTTTTTGCAAGTTGTGTTGTTTATTGGCTCGAAGAATTAATCAGAAAATCTGAAATTAATTTTAATGAATCTACGGTCATTAACAAGATTAATGATATGGTTAAAGAGTGTGCAAAACTTGTATTTCATAAGAACATTTTGAACTATTATAAGTATGATGTTGAGCTCAAGAAACTTGAGAGTTCCATAGCTGTGAATAAATTAAAATTGTTAAAATCAATGAAATATTGTAAAGAAATTGAGGCCAAGCTTCAAGGAGAACCGAATGCAACGACAAATTGCTCTATCTCTTCTGATACAAGTGGAAGCTTAGAAACTCAAGACTTGGCTGCTAGCAAATCATCAGAAGAAACTTCTACTGAAAAAACAGAAGATGATGCAGAGAAATATAATAAGTTGAAATCTCTTAAATCAAAATTTGAGGATGAACGAATCGATTCTCCTAATCCTTTTATTTTGTATTGTACAATGAGGAGTTTTATGCAAAAATTAATGGATCACAATGAAAATAGTCGAGAAACTATGGAGATAATTTCTAATGAAATAGTTGGTAAAAGTTTTGAGTGATATCTAAATCCTGTATACCGGCAGAGTGCATAGTGCCTTTTTGATCTCTTCTCTGAATAACAGAGATTAAGTTTAAGATCCTAATTTAAGTTTGTATTTTTTTAAATTTCAAGTGAGATTTATTTTTATATTTGTACATCTCTTTAAGAGCTATTAGTTCCTATTTCATTGCCAGTATTATGTAATTTATTTAATTACCTTGTTTATTTTCAGTGTTAGTATTAGCCCGTTTTTTAACTCATTACTTACTTAAATACATGTAAATTGGTTACCAAAATGTGTTTTTCTCTTCCCATTGTTTATCATTTTAAGTTTAATTACGCTAACTATAGATTATTTATTAACGAGTTTTACAGAGTATGAAGTTAATGATGGTCTACTATTGTTTGATTGAAGAAACAATATCAGTTTAGAAAGATCATTAAAACAATGTTTACATTAAATGTGTAGAATTTCTGAAACATAATGTCAAAAACTTTCTTTCATTATAATGAACTACAAAATTCAAATAATCACAAATTAAAAGAAAATATTACTTAAGACATTGTTTATAGTAGGGCATTATGTTTAAATAATAGTAAAACAATTGTTGAAACATCTTTTAATGTGAAAATATATATAAAGAAAATTGTCATAACATTAATATAAAAATTATTAAAATAAAAAGCTCCTCTTCGACATTCAATAGTTACTCTGCTGCTGATTTTCATCTTCTTATGGAAAAGGTCCATGTTGGATTCTGTAGTATGTTTCAGAGATCACAAACATGTTTTCCAAGAATACTAAATTTGTTTGAATATGATAATAACATCAGAGGACCATGTAGACCATTAGAGCTAGAATACCTACCTTTTTAAAGGAATACATATTCTATAATAAAAGTATCATGGATTTTTTTCATTGTATCTCCATTATTACAGATCCTTCTCTGCCGGTTGGACCTAAAAAAATATATATATATTTTAAATAACTTAGCAATAATTATGAAGTAAAATTAAAAAAATGAAAAACAAATTTAAATATTCTATAATAGCTTTTCTATCTGCAGTGGGCAGCAAGTTTTTATAAACTTCTGTTTTTACTTTAATGCTTACATTTAAATTCAATACCAATCATCAATTTTCATAAAATTGACTATTCATCAAATTAAAAGATACAAGCGTCAATAATTGGTGCCTTCACCGTATATTTTTAATAAAAATTAAAGTATAAAATAAGAATTTTATAACAGCAAAAGTTTTCATAAGTTATAATTCATATTCATAAAGCCAGTTCTAATATATGGCTGTGAGACATGGACACTAACCAGGACCCTAGAAAAAAGTGTTGAAAGATTTGAGAGGAAAATCCTCCGCACGATAACCAGAGCGATCTGGAATCAGAGTTCTAACACATGGAGAAGAAAGACCAATAAAGAACTACTAACAGAAACTGGTCAAGAGATATTTCGTAATATAAAGGCACGGAAGTTAAGATGGGTCCCTGCTGCTCGTAGTTTAATGTAGCTTGTAACAGTCCGTTTGGAAGCCTCTATGTAACAATGAATGCCTCAATAGAAGGTAAAAAACAGGAAGGCCAAAAAGGAAATGGATAGAATCAACAAAGACACAATAGAACTGCGTGCAGATAAATGGAAAGAAATAGCCAAAAAAAAAAAAAATGAGCATTAATTTATTTATTTATTTTACTCAAACATTTTAAATTAACATTTTGCATGCAGTCCTCAATTTTCAAAAAATTCAGTTTTAAGATACTTGAAGTTATATTTTGAATTTTGTGCTGAAAATCGACAAAAGCCCATAAATATTTGATAAGATTTAAATTTGGACTCTGGAGAGAACTTTTATGTACATTTAGATAATTATATAGCAGCTCCATTGTTGTGAGGGGAGAGTTAGGGCTAAGATAATTAACATGATAAAATTTATATGTTAGTTATATACCCATTTTTATCATAACCAGCCCTGAAATTTCTTTTTAATTAATTTAAATTTATACTCTTCCATTATCTATTGATAAAAAACAAATGCCCGACTCCTAAGCAGACAAATGTACCCTCACAAGAACATTCCTTGATCCTCTTAACATTACAGCTCACGAATTTAGTAGCTCAAATTCCTTTCCAATTTTTTTCCATACTATGAATATTAAATTTGTTCTCATCTGAATGAATTATATCATTCCCGTAATTTATTGGGTTTTTTTTTTTTTATAAGTTAACTTTTTTCTATTTCTTTAAATTCATGAGGTATTTTTATAAGTATGTTAACTTTAAAACCGTATTGTTTTAATATTCTCCCAGCCGTATTTAATCCGGCATGTTTTCTTGCCTGCTTCATTGAATGGCTGCATTAATTGTATAATTATCCAAATGAACATGAAACTTCTCTCCAGATTTAAACCCTATTGAAAATTTATGGGCTGATGTTGATTTTCAGCTTGGAAATGAAAATATAATGTCAATGAAATATCTTAAAACTACATTATTTGAAAAATGAGGAAAAACATCCTCACAATCGACTTAAAATTTGATCTAATCAATGTCTAAATGGCACTAAAATCAAAGGAAAGCATTAAAAATATTAATATAAAATATCTGAGTAAAATAATAAAATAATCATTCAAAAAAATTATTCTTGATACTACTAGACTGGTATGCGGAGAGAAAAGGGCAGGATCTGGGTTTAAAAGAAGTCCTTGGTGGACCAATGATGTCAAAAAGATAGTTCAGGAAAAGAATAAAGCATGGAGGGACTTCCTTAGCCAGAGAACATCTGCAGCCTATGAAAAGTACAAGGAATGAGGCCAAGATAAAAGTTCATCAATCCAAACAAAAATCATGGGAAGAGTTTGGTCACAAAATGGAGACAAATGCAAAAGAGAACCAAAAGATCTTCTACAAAGTCATAAAAGGAATGAGGAAGGAAAGGCCGAATTCTCTCAAAAAAATCAAGGATAAAGAAGGAAGGATTTTATGGCAGGAAGAAGATATAATGGAAAGACGGAGAGAGTACTTCAAGGAGCTGCTAGAAGGGAGAAACGTTGATCTGGATGAGATCCACAATGCGGAGATGGAGTATTCGGAAGAAGATGATTTTATCAGCGAGGAAGAACTGCAGGAAGCTATCTGTAAGATGAACCTCGGCAAGTCTGCAGGGCTTGATGAAATAACTCCCTGAAATGATGCGATATATGGGCAGTAAAGGTGAAGAAATGTTTCTCCATCTCTTAAATTTGATTTGGCATAAGAAAAGGATACCGAAGGACTGGGCAATTGCTGTGGTAGTGTCAAGAAGGGAGATAATAGAGAATGCAATAATCATCGAGGCATATCTCTGCTCAGTGTGCCAAGTAAGCTCTATTCAAGAATCCTTGAAGCAAGGATAAGAAGAGTAGTCGAATGCCAGATTGGAGAGGAGCAGTATGGATTCAGAAACTCAAGGAGTACACAGGACCTGATATTCACTTTGAGGCAGGTCATAGAGAAGTCAATCGAGAAAGGGAAAGAACTTTCTGTCTGCTTCGTGGATCTAGAAAAGGCATTTGACAGAGCTAAAAAGGAGGATATAGAGCGAGCTATCTGAAAGACAAGTTGACATTGGCATGATCTTGAATATTATAAGGACTGGTAATCACACATCCAAGGAGTTTGAAACGACGCAGGGAATACGGCAGGGGTGCAGCCTAAGTCCCCTACTTTTCATACTGGTGCTGGATCAAGCGTTGAGGAGAGCTGAATCCAGACTGCACCGTTTTCAACTGGGATATAGCAGTCTACAGCCTACTTTCTACAGAGTTCTCGCTTTTGCCGATGACCTCGTTATATTTGCTGCGGATGACCGGGATCTACAATACAACATAAATATCATGCAAGAAGAGCTATCTAGCATTAACATAGATATTAATCCACAGAAGACTAAATACATGAGAAAAGGTAGATGTCCCCGCAGAGTTATGAGAATATTGAGGTTGAAAGGACAGATCCTGGAACAGGTGCAGGAGTTCAAATATCTGGGTGCAAGCATCAATGAAAGTGGCTATATTGATGGGAGAGGTGTCGCGAAGGCTGGGAGCAGCTGGAAGAATCTTCCACTCGATCCAGAAAGGTTTCCTTAACAAAAGAGAAGTGACGAAGAAAACAAAGATATCCGTTTACAAGTCAACGTTCCTGCCCATCCTCTCTTACTCCTCTGAATCATGGGCCCTTACCTCAAAATACAAGCGGCAGATCCAGACAATGGAGATGAGGTACCAAAGAAAGATTGAGGGAAACACCAGGAGATATAGGATCCGTAACACGACAATTAGATCAAACCTCAAGGTACAGCCGATAGAAACCACTCTGGAAGAGAATAAACTTAGGTGGTTCAGGCACCTCCTAAGGATGAACACGGAAAGAACGGCCAGGATAACATATGAGACAAGAGTAGACAGTAGAAGACCAAGAGGAAGACCACGGATCACTTGGGAAGAAGCCGTGCGGGAGGCGTTCAGGAAGCAAGGGCTGGACTGGAGCAGGAGAAGGAGGGACACATGGGGCTGGAGGGGAGGGACACATGGTTCAAGCACTATAGAGGACATCCCTACACTGCGCAGGGGCAGAGAGGGAAAGGATTATGATGATGATGAGTAAAATAATAAATAAATTATTGTTTCATATCAGTTCCAGCCTTACATGTTAGATACCCCCAGGCAATAACATCATCTCCCTCCCCAATTAAATTGAATTTATTTCTTAAAGCTGTTATTCAATATTTCTCAAATACAGTTGTTTTAGTAGGATAAACATAATTAATTTTAATACATATTGTATTTTTCTTCTTAATTTCTAACAAGCAACGAGCACTGTTGCTGATGATCGGTGCCCCCTATAGGCTCCACTGCCCTAAGGCCGATACTCTTTAATATAACTATGTATAAAAACTTTTGCTGCTATTAAATTCTCTTTTTATATTTAACTTTGTACTAAAAACAGATGTATTTATATTTAAGCGTTCAAATAAAAAAGAAATATACAAAAGAATCATTTTTATTGATTTTTTAAATTTGTATCAGTCCGTGTATGAAAACTTTTACTGCTATTAAGTACAATGGCACACCAAACAAATATCACAGATACAAAATTACTGTAAAACAGAGTATAAAATTTAACACGATAAATAAAATGTTACAATTTAAAAAATAAAACTATCTTCACAATGAGAAACAGACAACAATCATATTAAATGAAGAAAAGTATATGAGCGGTCTCATATCAAAGTCAGACGTCATTTTCTGAAACTGGAATAAAAGTCAATTTTCGTTTTCTTGGTTCAACTCAAACGGTTTCAGATTATTTTATTTAAGAATTTTCAAGTTGAATTATGAATAAAAAATCATTGAAGGAAGTTAGTCGACTGTTCTAGATATCATGGGAGATAAATATGATAAAAATCTTAAAATGACTGTGTCCTTACTAATGAAAAAAAATAACTCGCTTTTTTTTTCTTCAACTTTTTAAAAAGGACCTGTCCGTCCGTCTTCGATATGAGGTCACTCATATATAGCTTAAAATAGAGTGGCATTTAATAAATATATATATATATATTTTTTTTTTTTTTAAATAACAACATGTATCATATATAATTAACCTTACCATTTAGCTGCCTAACTCTAATTTGTAGAATTCCAATGGCAGCTAACTATGGTTGATGGAAATGTTTTCTATTCTCAGAACCATCTGGAATTTACGCAGCCTGATGATAACTGATTAGTCATTTCAATAAAGAAGCAATATAGCATATTTGTTGATCAAAACAATTTAAAAAATTTATATCATATTATGCATCATATTACATATAATTGACTTGATTTGTTTGTATAGCATTTTACACAATTGAAAGTACAAGTAAAATATATTAATGACTGGTTTTAGTACCTCACTTTGTCTACGATCAAATAGTAATATATTTTTCCAAATACATTTTGGCTAGTTCATAAGATTCTGACTGACAGTAAATAAGATGTAAATTAAAGGCTGCTTCTCTAGACAAATCAAAAATTGGATCCTTCATAACTAATCCTTCTTTCAACTCTAAAACTTTTTTATAATGAAAAATAGCCTGTGTTAATAAACCTAAATGATGAAAACCTCTTCCTAAGTTATAATGTACTTCTTGAAGTCCTTCATGACCCCTTAAGTCCCTATATTGAGTAAGTAAACCTAATGCTTGAACTACTAAATGATGCTTTTTAGAGGTGAACTTTTGAGCAGCCATCTGAAGGTACGTTAAACCTAGCAATAATGCACCCAGAGCAGTCGGATTTTTAACTTGGGCTGAGCTGTATTCATGCATTGCATATTTATAAGTCCCAGAGACTAAACAATTATTGCCATGCAATAGCCCAAGAGCAGGATGGTCACAGTTTCGAGCAAGTTGTCTCATGATAAATCTATGGTGTCGCGAATCGTCTGATTTAGTTATGATCAAGTTGAATAAATGCCAAAGTCTAACATTATCAGGCTCTTTTGCAACTAATGTTCTTATAATGTTGTATCCATTAAATGAATCTTTATTAAAATATGCTGCTAAAACACTTAAAAGATCGATTTCATATTTATAAACATGAAAAATTGTGGATAATTGAGCTGTGAATGTTAACCTCTGAAATGCATTATACCTCTTGGTCTCAATACACATGTTACAAACATATTTAAACAACTCCCATTCTTCCTCTACACTTGGTCCATGGTTTTCTTTTTTGAATGATGGATTATCTATGTCTTCTTCAGGTTCTTTTCTAGTTTTTCTAACTTGTTTTACAGCATTTCTTTTTTTATCATAACGTTGAATTATCGATATGCATGAAAGCTCATCCTTGTTCCTAATGTATGTCGAATGCCTCGAGAAGAATACCTGACTAACCATTATTAATTCATCTGACCTATTCTTATCATGTTTTAACAGTAAACATCTCTCATAAAATAAACCAACATCAAGATAGTCATATTCCTCATTTTGAGTTAAGACTACTATTGCTTCATCGTTTCTCCCAAGTTGGACAAGTAAGGAAGACAATGTCATCCTAGCTTCTGTATGTTGAGGAGCTTGTTCTAGCACTACGTAAAATGCTTTCACTGATTCTTCTAATCGGGATAATACCTTAAGATTTTCAGCATATTTTAACCAAACAGCTGGTAAACTATATTCAGCACAATGTACAAGAACAGAAAGCAATTTGTCAGCTTTTTCGTTATAATGTTGCTCAACAAAAGCATCAATAATATCCAAATATAAATCACCAACTTCAGCTGGATTTAAATCTGCTATTCGGTTTAAAAATTGTTCAGCAAATAGTATCGACCGTAAATGAATCAAAACAATTATTAACTTAGCTAAGATATCAATAGGCGAGTCGAGAGGAATGGTGCAATCTAAAACTTCACCTACATCATTCATAACAACGCTCAAGCTACAAAACCTTACCATAAGATCAAGACATCGTTGAAATTGTTTTAGTTGTATCAATAGCTCTAATTGTAAATTAATAAATTCTAAGTTTATTAAATTGGGACATTTCTCTATGGCCACATCTAATGCACCACTAGCCTTTACAAAATCACTTTCTTTATGACACAATTCAGCAATAAACTTAGAAGTGACAAGAATTAATTCTCCTTGTTCTGGTTTCAATGCAGAAAGAAGACGTAAGTAACCTCTAACAGCGGTCTTTTTATCGCCCAATTTTTCAAGAAGTGTTGCTCTCCTCTTATGTAAATCCATATTAAAAATGTCTAAGTTAATTGCTTTAGAATAACAAGTTACAGCTTGTCTAACATGTCCTAACTTTTCTGATAGTTCAGCGAGATGGATCCATTCAAAAGGATCTGATGATGATAGATGAGCTGCCACTAGTGACATTTGTAAAAATTTTTCCTGATCACCCATCTCATCATAAATCCCAGCTAATGTAAGAAATGGTTCAGGAGCTGTAGGAACTTGCCTTATAATTTCTAGACAAATTTTAACAGCAGTTTCTTTATCACCCCTAGCAAATCTCAAATTTGCTTCACCCATTAGTCCTTTTAAAGCAGGAGGTAATTTTTGAGGTTTCTTAGATCTACTGGGTAAACTAGATTTTTCTACTTTATTGGTAGTATCAGCAACTGCTTCCTGAGCTTCATTTGATCCAACATCAACTTCGTCTACATTTTCTTCAATACCCACATTTTCAATGTACTCTGCAAAGTTCATTTCACCATCCAAAAACTTGTTAACCAAAATCTGTTCATTTTGTGTACTTGAAAAATAATAAGAGCTAGCTCCATCAGTTTCTGAGGGCTTAACAGTAAGTGTAGGTTCACTACTTGTTGATGGTTTTGATATGTCAAGAATAGATTGGAATTCCTCTATATTTTCGTCCTTATCCATGTTATAAAAAAACAATTATTCACTACAAATGTACACAAAAAAATTGCAGTCGACTGAAATCTGCAAACACTTATCTTAAAACTATAAAAAGGAAATCAAAAACAACACGGCAGTAGGTTCAACAACTGTAACCAATGAATAGGTTTTATTATAGGTTATGCTACAAATTTAAGTTTATTATTATTTATTTTTCCAGTGAAAAATTATGTTTTTAAAATAAAAAATAACCATTATGTTATTTAAACGAGATATTTTGACAAACCCATGTAATTAAATTTTCGTATCTAAATGTAGTGATAATAATAGTTAACAATTCGATTTATATACCAGCAGGTGTATAATCTAACCTGGAAGGTTACTTTGTTATTTGTTATGAAGGAAGCTGGTGTCAAATTTTAATAGAATATCCTTGCTCTGTGTTTTCAAGACTACATCTTTTATGCTGTAGTGATTATTCTATGTTTAAGAATTATAAATCAGTGATTTAAGAAAATTGCTGCACCATGGTGTCAAGGGTTGCTGTTGAATCTCTAAAGTAATAATACTACATTCCACTACTAGCTATTCAGTGACAAAACATATTAGTATTGTTTATATTTTATTGAGTTATCACAGGTTATCATGTTATATACATTTTAATTAATGTATATTTTACATTTTTCATTATAATCAGATCTATCTGTTGAATTTTGTATTCTTAATCTATGAATGGCCCTGTTTTTTTATTTTTCATAAATATTTTTAGAAAAGCTGAAGATTTAAAAGAGATAACATCAAATCTGCAAAAAATGGATTACAATTGCAATATTTGGCCTGCTCAACAACAACTTCAGGTAGTGATTTTTACCAATATACGATTATCTAAGAAATTTTATTTTGTTTATATATATATTTATTTATTTTGTCACAATTGTTTTACAGAAAATATATCATGATGTATTGATTCTCGACCTTGAATACGCTTTAGATAAAAAAGTTGAACAAGATTTATGGAACTACTGCTTTAAGAATTATATAGCTTCTTTACAAAGTTCTGCTAAAGACAAAAAGGTAATTGTTTGTAAATCATAAGCTAAAAAAAAATATTTAAGGAATTAACTAATTTTTTTTTCAAAAAATTTTAGGCTAATGGTATTCATGTACAGAACAGATTATCCTGGTTCCTTGACTGTGCAAGTGGATTTTATTTATCTTTGTTACAAGAGATTTGTTCTGTCTTCAATTTAGATTTACCATTTATGAGGTAACTATCATTTGTCTCTTGGATAGAGGTGATGTATTTAATATGTTTACAGTATTTTAAGTTAAGGACAGACTAAACACAGGGAGTGTACAGATAGGGAAAACCAGGAAAGGTAATAAATATTTCTTTATTTTGTCCCAAAGTTAGATAATTTATTGCCAACAAAAAAATTAAAAGTTGGTTCCAAACAATTTTGTTTTCTTATTGTTTACTATCCTCCCTCGTGGCATGTTGTATATTTAAGGTTCTACTTCACTAATGCTGTTCCACTTTGGATGGGCACAAGACTTCATGATCACACTATAAATGGGTTTCGGAGAATGGCCCACAATTAACAAGGTGTTCACTAGTATAACCTCCTTTTTTCATGATTAGAGTGTTTGTCAATCATGGTGGAACAATAGTTAGATGCATTACTGTATTTGAATCCACTGGCAAATCGTCGCATGTGTTTTAGGCTTTAGGATTCCTTTTGTTAAGTGTTTTTCTTCCTTTTTTTTTTTTTTCTTTTTTTCAATTTGTATCCAGAAATAAAATATAAAAAGTATTTATTTGAAGCCCGAAACATTGTTTTGAATACGAAACAAATGTTTACTGGCATATTTAGAAGTAATCAATGAGCTGTACTTATTTGTTATGGATGTTTTCTACTACAAAGGCATGATATTGAAATAGACTAAAATAAAGATTTAATTCAATATGTTGATTTATTTTCTTTGCAATTTCCCCTATGTATAATATGTTTAATAATGATACAATTTCGGATTAATTTTGTTTTCACAAAATTTCCCAATGAATTTTTCTTAAATCCCTTTTGCCACTTCCCCATCTTCAATTGGTATGTTAGAGCTTCTGCTGGACATTAATATTTTTTGATGCTGGAATGTTTTTTTGACATAAATGTTATGACATAAATATTTGGATCATAGTGAAGTTTGGTTTGATTTGTAATATTATGATTTCTTTGTAATAGTTTATCAGTTGATAAATATTTTTTAATATTGTGACAAACATTTTTTGATCACTTTTGCGTCTTCTAATTTCCTTAGTTTGAAGAGAAGGGAGGTAGGAAATTTTCTTCAAGATAGGAAAAAGTCAGATAATTTGACTAACAGACTCTTGTTGAGACCCTGTAAATATTGTGTTGTTTTATCTTGTCTTTTATTGATGGCTTATTAAAGTATTTACCAATTATTGAGCTAAGCATGATTTTATAAATGATTTTAAATACTATTCTGTTTTCTACTCCTTTTTTTTTTTCTTTCTACATAATTGAGATCGGTTTGAAACATTTTTCCAAGTCCTTATTTCATATATTTGCTGAATTGCAGCTCCTCTACCATTCTGTAATGAAATAAAGTGTATTTTATATCGATGTTAAATGTTTAAATTTTGATGAGTAATATGGATAAAGGACAAAAAGAATTTGTATATATATAAATGTGTGATTCAAGTATAATTAAGTGCTTTGTCCAAAAAAAGATAGATAAATATGCTATTTATCGAGCTACATAATATATAGTAGGGCAGCACTGCTTTAAATAAAGTATTTCTCTCTTTCTACTTACCTATTTATTATTTTAGTCTTGTGTTAAAATTTTAATAAGTTTTGTTTTTACATGTAATCCTTATTATTAAGGGATTTTATGTTATGTGAATTACTAATCATGCACAGAAAGCATGATAATTAGCATTGTAAGAATTTGTTCTTAATTGTTAAACTAATCTTGTTTTTTCAGACATGATACTCTATTTGGATTTAAACGTTATGTAAATGAAAATGTTGTAATTAATCGTCCAGAAAGAAGCTCTTGTTACTATATTTGTCAACATTGTTTGGTTCATCTGGGTGATGTTGCAAGGTATCGAAATCAAATGATACAAGCAGAATCATTTTACAGGTAATAAATTTAATTCTAGTCTGATATAGTTACTTTTATTAAAATATATATACGTAAAAGTATGTCTTTTTAGGAATTTAGTTGTTTTTTGTTTTGTTATTATGGCTTTATGTCAAACACTTGATAATTTCCTTATTTCAAACAGGTTGACTAGGCACCATAATCCTTCTCTGGTGTTTATTTATTATCACTATAGTTATATTATTTTCTATTAATGATTTGAATTTTAGGCATGCCGTTGAACTTGGATCAAGCAGTGGTCATCCATACAATCAACTTGCACTTCTGGAAGCAAGTCGTGATAGATTGAGTACCGTATTCTTTTACACCAGAAGTATTGCTGTGGCACATAAATTTCCAGCAGCTATAACAAACCTTGCCAATACTTTAATGAAGTCTTCGAAATTTGAGTATGTTCATTTTGAAATTTTTCAAGAATAATATTTATTTTTGTTTATCTTTTACTTTTCAAATAATCTTTAACTATTTATCAAAAAAATTACTGAAACATTATATATTAACATTACCCAACATTAAAAAAAAAAGTAGATTGAGCCTGAAGATACAGTTTCTCATTTCAATCTTTATATTTTATGGGCAATAGCAAACAAATTGTCATTGCCTCTAGTCCTCTACAATATTTAAGATAAGTAGAAGTGTAAAAGGATCTCCAAAGTCCAAAAAACAATTGATTTTGTTATTTAAGTTAGTAAAGTTGTATGTATTTATTGAGTTTCAATATTTTATTGTAAGTAATTTTCCTGATCACTCGGTAATCCAAACATTTCTATTCTCAACATTGAGTGTTATATATATCATAACATTTAGTTTTAAGTTGATATTAATGAAAACTATTATTTTCACATGAACTGTTTTTTCAAGAGTGCCTGGTGATGGTGGGAAAATGTCTGTTGCTGAATATGAAGCAGCATTTCTTCATCTTCATTCACTATTGTACTTAACACAAGATACTGCTTCAGCTTTAAGAATTCTTTATTGTCTAAATCAGTCACTGACTCCTCTCATCGCTACTCAAGAGTTCACTCCATGGAAATTAATCCAGGTGAGATTAGATCATCAATTTTCTAGTTCTTAACAGTTATTAAGTTCAGAAATTGTATGCAAACAATATTGACTATAATAGATGCCTTGACATATTAAAACTTAAGATTTTTTTATTTATTTATGTTCTCCCCTTCCTCTCCTTTTAGGCTAAATGAGGTGTTCCTGGGCATCGGGATGTGAACTCATAATATTATTTTATTTAATTATCTTTGATCTGGGTTAACGTACAGTGTTGTGCACACACATTAGCCCACTCGGCCACCCCGCCCCCTAAACTTTAGAATTTATTATTACTTCTTCACTATCTTATAGAAACTAAAGGTTTGATGTCCTGGTACTGCCTGCATAGCCCTATCCACCAATCCCTGTCAAGACATAAATCAGAAAGTTTAGTCTTTATCACAATCCTCCTACTAATGTTTCGGTCACCTATGTCCCAAGTGCTTTCAGTTATAAGTAGCGACTTTAAGTACATTATTTTTATTTTTGTTTATCATATTTAAGGAGTCCATGTTACTAATTGGCATTAGTGAAAATGCATAAATTGATAAATTACAACTGTGAATTATTTTTTGACTAAATTGTATAAATCTATTGATCATTATTTTTTCTATAGATGGCTGTGATTACAATATTCATGTATACCCAGATGGATGGAAATAAAGAGGTTTCAAAGGTTCTTGCAGATCATCTAGTTGGTTTCTTGAATGCACTACTGGTTCCTTTGTATACCATGTCTCCTGAATCAGTTCTTGATTATTTTGCTCTCCCACCTGGTAAGTAGAACATACTCATTTAATGATTAGATGGTATGGACTGGTAGATATTGAAGTAACTGTTTCTTTCTGTCATATATGTTATTATTTTTCTACAATAATCAATGCTGATACTAAGTATGATATAAAGTATATTTAAATGTTTTTGAATTTAGATTTGAAAAAAAAATTTTTTGTCCTCATTCTTCTTAAAAACCTATTGTTAGTCTGTGTAGTTTTGTCTCTATCCATAGGTGGGAAACTTATTTATCATTAGAGGCCACAATAATTTTCATTTTACTGTCGCTCTTTTTATTTATAAGTAAATACAAATTACTCTCACCCATTTACATACTTTTAACTAAATTTCCATAACTTGAATAATTAAATTTTAATTTATTTTAAGGCGAAATAATAAAACTTTAACAGACTCCATATGCCCCAAGTGTGCCCTTGTGGCTTTCCCACCTGTGGTTTATTCGTTACTCTTTTTCAAGTGTTACTAATATATTTCACCAAAATTCTATTATACATTTATACATATTGTGTAATTAACATTTTGAATACTTATTTAATGTAAAAATATTGAATTTCAGTGAAAGTTGTCTTGTGCTGGCTTAAGGCAGAACCCAGTGCTGTTGTGGCTTTGAATAGACAACATCTTTGGAGAGGTCTCACAAAATTGTTAAACTTACTCCGATCATCCCACGCTACTACTCCAGTTAATTGTTAGTTATTTTCTTTAATATGTTAGTCATTTATTTTATACAATCAATCCATGTTTTATAATAAGATAAGGTTGTCCTAAAGAATATCTTTATATGTAATATTGCTTCAGACAGCTAGTTATTTGAGTACTTCGTCTGCATTTTACAATGTATTGCTCATTATTTGTATATGTATTATACAACTACATAAAGTCTCTCCGAAAAGTTTTTATGATGAATCTCACAGCTTTCATTTACTTATCAAACTACTTTAAGTAGAAATTAATTATAAATAGAAACTTGAGACTTCTAATATAAATTATGGTGGTTCTTTGTACTATGTATTTTACGCTTAACAATCTGAAAAAAAATATGATGCACACATCACACAACTTTCATTTACCACTCTACTTTGAACTGAGATTATTGTTTAACAAAATTGGGGTACTACAAAAAGTTTTTGCTTCGCATAATTTTAATGTTACATTTTCAGGAAGAATACATAAACATTTTATAAATATTTATAAGCAAGGATTACCATACAAACGACAGACCGTTAAGATCTAGGACATAAGTTTAGAAAAGGTTGCACATCTCTAAGCCGTCCATCACATTTTAAAAGTCATCAATTTATTAGTCTTATTTATTGTCAGTTTAGTGTTTTTTTAAACTTTTTTTTCATGATAATAGGATTTAATTTATGATGATGAAAACGGATATCTGTAAGTGATTCGGCAACAGTAGTGGAAATTGTTTACATTTATTTATAAGGGTAATGACAACTTTATTATTATTCAGTATTTATTCGAATGATTTTTAATCCAATTGAAATTTTAGTCGTAAATAAATGACTAAAAATTAATTCGGATAAAATTTCAGTTGTTTTTAACATATGTTTATTCGTAATTAAATATTTCGAATAAAAATTTAGCTGTTTTTTTATGTGAATAAATTTTCATTTGACTAACGCATTACTCTGCTCTCCGTTATCTTATAAAAAATGTATGTTTGATATTATTTTTATTATTCTTTTTTTTCATTTAAGCCCCAGCAGACTATATCAGGTAGGATAGGACCTAACTGGTATTTAAGACCATTCAAGTTTAAAAATGAAGAATTTAACCAAAACTTTTGGAGCCATTTTAAAAGAAAATTAAATTTGTAATTTTAGTGTTGTATTATCTTCTTCTTTTTGAGCTATGTTATTCCGAAACATTTGGCTTAAGTTTTCTTTGTTGATTTTGTTTTTTTTTGGTTATTATCAATTCTTTAATAATGGACTTGTGAATTTTTATATTGTGATGAAAAAAATCATAAGGTTGAAATAAGTGGAAAATCAGAAATATATTAATAGAAAAAGACTAATATATAATACTCTGTTCATAATATTGTCAATAGAAGTTAGTTTAATATGCATATGTTTAAGTTCAATGAAGTATTTATTGAAATCCCTTTTTTTAGTTATTAATGCTGCCTTACCAGAAGACACTGATCTGCAAGGATTCCTTCCCCTGGAACCAGAATTTTCTTCTCTTACGTAAGTCATTTTTTAGCCTCACCATGGATTGTAGATTAGTTTTTGTTGTAAACAGTTTGCTAATTGTATCATTACTATTTTATAATTAATTTAAATAGTGCCCTGTAGTATTAATTATAAATTGATAGGTGTTTTTTTTTTTAAATAGATATATTAACTTGTGTTTCTATAAAGTTTTTAATCGGAGATCAGTTAAAGTGATTAAAGTTTTGATTTACTTAACCCTTTAACAATGGTGGATTCACATATGAGTTGAGAAGAAACCGGGCTCAGGCAATGGTGGACTCATATGAGTTGAGACGGGACCGTAACCTGGTGACAAGAGATTCACATGAGTTAGGGGCTTGTCTGGCATTTTCTCGCTAAACGATGTAGTGCTCAGTCGTGAATTCTACTTTTTTTTTCATGGTCTTCCCTTGAAGCAGTAGGTAATTTTTCTGTGGCTGGAGATCACAGGCATTTTGAAACGATACCCTAAATAAAAATCCTGAAGTGACCAGTAGAGGTGATAAAACATATTCTATTATAGGGGCACAGAGAAGTGTCCGTCAGTATTGTCCTGAAGGCCACTACAACAATTAAGTGCACCATTAAAAATCTTGGCCAAAATAATTAATTAAATAAAACAATATTTTATTTTATACAGGTTATTTATATCCTTGACTGATTCCCAATTAATACGTTCGCTACCAAGCAAAATTTTCAAAAACGCTTCCACCACGCTCATCTCCAAAGCTAGATATCTTCAAATAACATGAAAACACTACGAGCTTGGCTTACGTAAAATAAAAACGTTCTTCGAATTAACTTTTATATGATGCCCACAAGATAACATTGATCTATAAAATAACTCGTTGGCAGCAAAAAATAAATTAATAAATAAATAAATAAAAATAATTTATAAAATCTTCTATCACAGCCAGCCATCACTCAACATTTAAAAATTCAACAGTAAGATCTTTTCTCTTATTTAGTTATTAATACCATGTAAAAATTTAATACTGAAATGATGAGTAAACTCTATGTTATATGCGCTTAACTCCCGGGTCCAGGTTCAATTCCCGCTGTTACAAATAATTGTTAATTCTGTTACCTCATCTGTGGATCGAACCTGGGATCAGGAGATCCTCTTAGAATGCTCCTGGAATATACCATATATATTTGAAGTGTTAAAAATCTAAATTAATAATTTTATTTTATAAATTTTAGTTTTAGTGGTGAACCTTTGCAAGAAGATGTTGCTAAAAAGTTAAGAGCCTTCCGTCTCATAAAATATGGAGAATGGCTCTCGATGAAACCAGATTTAAAACCAATTTTTATCAGGTATTAACTTTTAATGGTTTTTATTTTTGTTTTGTATTCACAATTTTACGGACATGTGCATATGTATTGTTAAATATTATTTTTTTTTTACTCTACAACTTTCAATTTTAGTAGCATTAAACAAGAAATACTTTTATTTTTATTTTCTCCCTATATTTCTATTTTCTTTTTATAAAGGAAACAACATAAATAATACTTTTATTAATTTATTTTAGTGAAAATGGCCAGTTTGAAGTTTCTCGATTTCCAACTAATGCATCAACACCACCTGATAATAACCAAAAACTGTCACCTCTTAACTCAGGTACAACTTATTTTATTCTGTTTAATACTATTACTATTAGTTAGTATGGATACTGAAAGAGTCTGACTGCTAGACAAAAAAATTGTGCTAAATAAAAATTAAGTTTTTATGATGGTAACTTTTTGTTTAATGATTCCTCCCATTATTTAATAATATAATTAGTAAGAACTGCATGAAGTCTCAAAACTACATTTTAAAGGAAAGAATTGTCTGCCTGTGGGAAAACACAGGTTTAAGCATAGTATTTGTTTTAATATTTCATGTTTATGTTTCTCATAGGAAATGTGCAAGACAATTGGAAATCAAGAAGTCGTCAAAATGTTGCATTACAATCATTTTTGAAGAAATCAAAACCTCAGGTAAGAAACAATGTATATTATTAAATCGATTGGAGGGTATAGAAGAAAATGGAAGGGGAACAATTTTTGACTTTGGGATATTGGACCAGTAAGGGGGTTAACGATCTCTCCAGTAGATATGAGACGGTCAATCCAACCAGCCTACTAAAATAACTTTTTGATTAAACGAATAACTGAAATTGGCGCACAATGGACCCAATAGGGGTCGATGTGCCTTGAGCCAACACTATAAAAATAAAAAAAATAAAAGGAGGTAAACATACTTAAAGTCCCCCCTCCTAGGTAGTGAACCAGATGTGGGGGAAGGGGGCACCTAGGTGAATATATATATATAGTATGTGTGTGTATATATATAAACGAGTTATATGTTTTATATAATACATTATCAGGTACATTTGTAGTTCTTGAATGTTTGTATATGTTTGAATGCTTTATGAGGGGGAACTCAGCATCATATTTTCTTTATTTCTTAATATTTTTACACCAAATTTTGATCACCTTCAAAGTATTCTCCTTTGATCTCAGCGCACCTCACCAAATGATCCTTCAATTGTTCAGAATAATTTTTAAATTCACATACTGGGATGTTCTTTAGGCTTTCCAGCGATTTTTGTTTTACCTCCTCCAAAGTGGCAAAACGCATTCCTCTAGTATCCTTTTTGAATCTGGGGAACAAAAAGAAATCGCAGGAAGCTAGAGCAGAGAGGGTGGACAATTGGTGTCATGCCGTTTTTGCACAAAAACTGCTTTACAAAGAGAGCGGTGTGGGCCAGCGCGTTGTCATGATGGAAGAACCAGTCGCCTGAACTCCAAAGATCTGCCCTTTTCTTCCGGATTCTCTCCCTCAATCTTTTCATAACCACCAAGTAGAACTTCTGGTTAACAGTTTGACCCGGAGGAACGAACTCCACGTGCACAATACCTCTGCATTCGAAGAAACAAATGACCATTGTCTTGATGTTTGACTTCACTTGGTGAGCTTTTATGGGACGAGGAGAGCCAGATGTTTTCCACTAGCTGGATTGCTGCTTTGTTTTGGGGTTGAATCCATAGCATCAAAGGAATCGAATATAGTATTCGATCACAATACCAATTACAAATCGATTATGTAATAGTTAAACTAATTGCACAGTGTTCTGATTTCACGGATAGAAAATTCATTCAAGTTATTAGTGTATTAAGGTTATGAAATGTCATTTTTGACTTTTCACAATAAATCTAAGACATAGTTATTCTTGAAAGTAAACATTGAGTATCTTTCTTCCTTATTTTGTAAGATCTGTTATGTCTTTGTTTATTACCTTCAGCAACTTGTTGATTCATTTCTTTGAAGTTTCTTATTAAATTTGTTTTCTGTATGTATATTTTCATTATATTATCAGGTCATAAGATATTAAACAAACTATTTTTTTAATTATGATTAATATTAAAAATGTGAAGTATTGCAGTATTCATTTCTGAAATTGGTACAATGACTCCCAAAAAATAACTTCATTAATTAAAATGATTTATTCTTTTTTCTGGGAAGTTGTATGTTGTTCTTTGTTTTTGGCAAAAATTTATTAAATAAATCAATTAACAGAGGTTACTCTTCATTGTTATCTAATCTCTAACTGCATTGTTTAAGTTAATTGGTACATTTATATATAAGTATATATATTTATTTATTGTTTTTATTTTAATAAAATAGGTGAATGAAAAATCCTTGGAGATTAATTCGGTTCTTGAATGGCAGGACAAAAATCAACTGAGCGCACCATGGTGGCCTCAGGGGTAAGTAAAGACACTTAACTTTTTTTATTTAATTTATAATTTTTTTTTTTAAATAATAAAATTTTATTAAGATATAAAAGTTTTTATATCAAAATTAATGTTAAAGCTAATTAACTAAACTGAGAGAGTAATTGGTTAAATTTATTTAGTAAACTCAAACAACTAGAGTGGAATTATGTTTGTTTATTTCATAGGACTTTAGTGCATAAAACAACTTTTTTTATCAACATCTGTTGTTTTTATAATTTAATAATAGAAATGGGAAATCTCAAGGCTGTATTTAGAACCTTAAAAAATATAGAATTGCTTGTCTAGAGAGAATTGTCAAAACTTTCCAGGTAGGAAGAAGCCCTCACTGTTGGGAATAATATATATTTTTATTCCTTTTTCAAATCTCACAAATGTTCCCTTTTTAAAATATGCAACTCCTCGATGGGAAGCAGGGTTATCGCTCAACTTTTAGAGAACTATTAGTTGTTCTGAATTCTCTGTGTGTATTATAGACATCTATAAAAATAGATATAGTTTTATTTATTTATAAATTCTCACTGAATTGTTTTTGTTAAAGTTCTACAGCCACCTTATATAGCGTTTTTACTTGATGTAAAGTGACATATATCAACTTTATTCATTGTACAAAAAATATTGTTTAGCCTCATCACTGATCATTTTAATATGAACGTATGTATTCATAGAGTGAAAAAGTGTTTATTAGGGATGTATTTTTCATACCATACTCATGTCCAAAGGATCCTTTTTTGGATTCCAAATATATTTTAATTTTTGATAAGCAATATTTTAACAATGATTTTCCTTTATTTAGTGGATCTCAAAAAGATGAAACTCCAGCATGGGTTAACCAAGATATCTTATTGATGTCCAACCAACTTTCCAACTACAACATCAAAACGGTATAGTATTTCTTATGAATTCTCATGTCTTGAAAATGTATGAATTTTTTTCTGATGTGTCCTCAAGAATGAATGATAATCAATAATAATAAGCAAGGAAATGTGATCAATCGATGAACTTTTGGTTTACATTGCTGATCACCTAAAGCAATCTTTTAGGTATACCTCTATTGTTTGGCTTTCTTCTACCCTTTCGTTCTTTTCTTCAGAACATCGAAATCGGACAAATATCAGCAGTAATACAGCTTATGGAAATTTGCTAACTGTTGGTTCAGAACATTACTTATGTTTTAAATTAATTTTCATTTCCTTTTTACATTATAATTAGCAAGAAAGTAACAATTGATTTCTCTATCTCGTGATTAGTTCAATTTTTTTTCTTATTAATTTGTCGTTTGATCACTGAACAATATACTGCGTGAATTATCCGCACGGGCCAACTAGTAGATTTTAATTCATTACTGTCAGGAATTTTATTGCTCAAGTTAAGAGATCTTGTAATTTTTGTGTCTGGGCACTTAGAGAAGGCCTTTGCTTTCTTGGTATTAAGTTTAGTTTCTTGATCATGAATTTCAATTATTTAACTTTTTTTCTTTTTTTATTACAGGAAGGAACCTATACTCTGTTCAGTGGTACATCAGAAAACCCTTCCATGATTACCAATAATTTACTTCAGTCAAACTCGACTGTCCCATTAGCCAACCATCAGGTAAAATTTTATGAGCTTCTTGTTAATATTAATATGAATCCTTTAGAATTCAGTATAAGAATTTTTTAATTAGCAAAAGTATATTATATTTATCGTAAGAGAAGTGGGTTGAGGGTTACAGTAAGTTAACTACACAAAAAAATTACTATTTGTATACTTAACCCACTGAAACCCAATTTCACTTTCTATAAGCATCTACAGTCAATCAATTCTCGTGGGCGGGGTGGCCGAATGGGCTAACGCGTGTGCACAGTACCACCGTTACCCGGCAACCTGATATAAGATAAAGTGATAAAAAAATAGTAACGAGTTCGCATCCCCGCCCCCACCTCCTGGCCCGAGAAAATCCCGTATAGCCATAAAGGCGAGAACTAAAAAAAAAAAAGTCATCTCCACCATTATGTGATATTTAAATATCTAAAATTTAGTGATGTTTGAAAGTATCTCTGTTTTGACAGATAGTAATTAAATTATCAATAATATATAAATAATTCTCTAAGATTTTTGTGTTTACAAAAATAATCAATTGTGAAATGGCTCAGGATGACTCGAGTCTCCAACACTAGAATTAAATAGAAACGTTTGTATAATCTCTTAAATTTGATTCTAATAATTAAATAAATTAAGATCCAATAGAGCTGAATTCAGATAACTGAAAGGAAATAACCCAAGATAGGCAGAAATAGAGAAGGCTGGTTAAGGTGCCAAAAAATCTATGTCAACAGAAATAAATTACTAAGTAAACTTAGTAACTAACAAAGTAAATTAGTGATTGGTTATTGCTTGAGACCTGGTTAATTAAGCCCAAGTTAAAAAAATAGATTAGCATTTTTAAATAAATAAGGATGCTTGGACTTTTTTAAATGCTAGCATATTTCCAATATTAAGATTCATATTTACTGTTCAGTTATTCATGGATTAAAATGGGAACTTAATTATTAATGGCTGAATTTTTTTTTTTTTTTTTTGTTGATCTTAAACTTCGTTCACATCGTATTTTTAGAATAATATTTACTTATTTGGAGAGTGGAGTAGCTCAGTGGTAGAGCACTAAGCTTCCGGTGCTCAAAGTCCTATGTTCGAATCCCGGTTCATGGCAGAAAAATTATTTATTCTGTTTCATTGGCCATGGGGCGACCCTGGGATAGCGGGACCCTCCTGAAGCACATCTAGCTTCTATAAAGTGGGTGCCCTTAATTTAATAATTGATTAAGGGGAAAAAGCTGGCGGTTGAGCGTGATCCTGGACCGATCTCCTCCCTGCACAACCGTAGGCCTTGAAATAGTACTTTCCATAAATAGTACCGAACCCAAGACCCTTCATGGGTTGTAGTGTTACAGGCATTCTTTTTTTTTATGTACTGATTTATCAGCTACCTTTCAAAACAATAGAGTATGTATTTCTAATAAAACAAGTTCTGTTGCTGGCATGCTGAATGATCTTTGATAGATAAAGAGTCAAGGAGTCAGTTTACAGGTTCTCCACTCGTCTGAATCTGGCAGTATTGTCCAAATCAGCCCTTTAATCTCAATCTTGATTTTACATTAAGTGGACTGCAGTTGGTGTGAATTTTTCATTACTTGGTTTTCCGAGAAAATCAATAATTTTTTTTTACATATCTGGACATAATATATTTTTAAATTTTGTAATTGAAGGTCTTGATAAGTAGCTTTGAAAATTAAAATTTTTAAATTACCATTTAAACAGATTCTGATGCTAAATTGTTTATTGTTATTCTTGATTACCATTAATGTTACTAATATTATTAATAAATACTTGTAAAGCAAGTGAGGAGATAAAATTGAGTTATGCATTGATAATTTTGTTGGGTGTTTTTTCTTTTTTTCATTATAAGTAAAGTGGATAGTAAGTGGATTGATTTTTCTGGCTCTCAGGTGCCTAACATTGGCAATGATTATTTGGGTTTTCAACATCCATTATCTATCCAAATGTCCCATGGAAAAGTATAGTATAATTACTTAAATAGATAAATGCAACATCATGGTGTGTTCAATAAATAAATAAAGATTATAAAACTATTTAATTTTGTTTTGCTTGTTTCTGCAGTCACTTTGGTCAGGTCCCGGGCCATCACCATTGGAGCGTTTATTAGAGCAACAGAAACAGATGAGGAGTGCTTCTGAGTATGATACATGATCTAAATCTCAGTCATGTTATACCTTCTTTGAATCAGCCTTTACTCTAAAATTCTTTTTCGTACCTCTTTTTTGAGTTAGTACGATGGGAGATCATTTTTAAATTTAATGAGAATTTTTGGAGCAGCAGATATTGAGATGTGAAGCATTTTCAAGATCATCAGCAACGCTTCTGTGTTGAATTTGACACGGCATGGTTTGGACGGAGCATTGAAGAATGTAGTTTCTACAGCAGTTATGTTTATTATTAAACCTAACTATTTTCAGACATGCTATTTAATTGTATAAGAGATGTACATTCCCAATTTTGTTTTGCAAATAATTATAGTTTGATTGCAAGAAAATAATTTTTTGCATAAACAAGTTCTTTGTTCTCTAGTTTCAACTTGCATGATTGCAGTTAATACAAGCATTTATGTAACATTATAAATAATCAACTTACTGTTATTCCGTGTAATGTAGCTAACAGTATGAAGAATTCATTAAATGCACAAGTATATAGTTTATAATAAGATGAAATGTTATGAATTATTTTGGGAACATAGGTTTCTTTTTTTGTTCTAGTTTGTGTTTTTTTTGTTTGTTTTTTTAGTTTTTCTTAAGATTTAACAGTCTATATTTATAAATCAGCATTGATACATAATTTTACACAATGTAATAGATGACGTTTCTTCATGAATAGTTCAAATAAATATGATTGATGATCTAACAGTGTTTTTATTGTATTACTTAATATAACAAATTAAAATTTACCATAATGTATGCTCTGAGCATTCAATATATATCACAAACTAAAAAATAAAGAATGACCATTACTCCCTAAAGTGTATTTTTTGTTTTCCTTCTGAGATACGAGAGGACGAGATGGAAAAGTTATCGATAATAATAAATATACAAAATGAGGAATGTTGCATCAACGTTTGCCATTGTTGTAACTCATTGCTCTCAGCGGGGCTTTGAAATTTGCAGCTGCTTGTTGCTGGATCTGGTAAGCTAAGGGATGAATCTTGAATCCATATAACCTGGAAAAAAAAAAAGGGGGGGTTAAATAAGTTTAATGATATTTGTTTTTAAATGAGTATATAGCATAACTTAAACATAGTAAATATAAAGTAATATGAAAAAGAGCTATTATTACAGATGTTTTGTAAAATTTACTTAGAAAATTCTTAATTATAAAAAAAATATTTTAATAAAAAAAAAAGACTACAGAGATTGGGAAATTCTATTCCAAAGGAATGTATTTTCATACATACTGAAACATTTTGGTAGATTAATAGAGAAATTGACATCTACGAATATTTAAACTTGGTGTAATGGGAGGGTTCCTCTCACTAGACATTACAGCTCTAGGCAAATATATTTTGTCCCATTAATCAGTGCATGTCAACATCCGAACGTCTTGAGGTGCGATAGGAGCCCGACTGCTACACCAAGTTTAAATATTCCTAGATGTCAATTTCCCTACTAATCTACCAAGAAGTTTCAGTAGACAAGGAAGTTCATTTTCTCAGGGTGTTTAAAATTTCCCAAATACTGTAGTAATTTTTTTTATTATTATTACTTTTTTAGGTTTTAAAATATTAACAATTCATTTTCATAACATATGATCAAATGATATTTCAAATAAATTAATAATCGAGATACTTAAACTATAATAATTATTTTTTCAGTATTTTGAGCTTAAATTGTTTCAAAACATTCACGGTATCTAACTGAGTGATCACAGCCATCAAAGTTAAAAATTAATCATGTAATCTGCTTAAAAAATCTTTACATACCTTTTAGCAGATTGATTAAACACACTTAACACAACAATTTGACAGAATTTTGAGCTCAAATTGTTTTGAAACACTCATGGAATCTCACCGAATAATTTAAGCCATCAAACATAAGAATTGATACAGCTGTTCTTTTAAAACAGCGTTACATAGCTTTTAGTGAACATCCCGAACACATTACGCATGTGTTGTTTTGCTTTCTAAACATTCACGGGACTTCGCCGAATAAAATAATATATCAAACTAAAAATCGATTAGCCTTCAATCAAACTAGCCTTTCGCTCAAAACACTAGGAGGATCTTCCTCAATAATTTGAGCCATCAAACTTAAAAAATGATCCAGTGATTCACTCCAAATGTTACAAAGATTTTTAAAAATTGATAAAATATATTTTATTTAATTAAACTAGAAATACATTTCATTATATTAAACTTAAAAATTGATCCATCCATTTGCTCAAAACAGCGTTACAAAGCTTTTTGCAAATTGGTTAAACAAATCTTATATAACAGGCCAGTATTTTTGGCTCAAATTGTTTCAAAACACTCAGATCATACTGAATAATTTGAGCCTTTAAACTTAAAAAACGATCCAGCAATTCGCTCTAAAAATCATTACACAGCTTTTAGTGGATGACTCAAACACATAACCCTAATTTCACTTTGCTTAGTCGGATAAAAAGACATCCATTTTCTACTGTTCATTCATGTAATATCTCATAAGTTTTTTATCAAGATTATTTGATATTTATATACATTATCTTAAACTTCACGGTACAGACCCCTCCCTTTCTGTTTTATTATTTTCGATACTGAACCATAGTAATCGTTCAAAAATTTAACCTCCCGTTCAAAATTTTGGATTTTACATTTAACAATAAGTAGAATTCGAAAATCAAATAGAAAAAATTTGGTCTGTCCGTCGTACGTCAGAGACTACTGGACCGATTTTTCTTCAAATTCAGAATCAAAGTCAGAGGTTACCCAGGGATAATCCTCTTAACTCGACATTACTACCCGCCCTTTGCTTCTAAGATGGGGACCGAAAAACCAGTGTTGGTATAGAATGTAGTGCCTTAACGAATGTACTAATTTCAATGACTTGGGTAATTACTTCATGAGCCAGGTTTCGAACCTGGGACCTTTAGCATTGGAAGCTCAGTACCCTCCCACTGAGCTACCCCACTCCCTGTAATCTATAATAACATGAAAAATAAATAACATATATTAGTCCAGGGTACGGAACTCTTTTTATTGAATTATTAACATCCGTTTAAAACTTCATGAATGGTCTAGTAGTAATCTACATCTTTTTTATTTACTAGAATTCTCGGACTTTTCAATCTGGAGATCGGCCAACATTTTCTTCTATTTAATGAGGTATTAAAAAACTCTTAAAACACCCTGTTTGCTTTCCACTTAAGTGGTGAGATAATTTTATCACAAAATTGAAAAAAAAGGTGGACTAAAAAAATATTGGACCATTTGGTGTGACCACCTCCCCAACATGTCAAAATAAGGACGTTATATAGGCCACCCTTTTTCTTAATTTTGTGATCAAATTATCTTGATTCATGTGGAAAGTAAATGAGTATTCTTTAGTTTTTAGTACCTCATTAAATTAATTATTTTAATGAGAAAACGTCCCATTTCTGAGAATTTTCATGGATTAAAAAGTTATAGATTAGGATAAGATTAATTCATTCACCAAGTTTTAGAAGGATGTTAATAATTTGATAAAAAGGGATCTGTACCGCAGACTATATTCATAGGTTGAAAATATTTATATTAAGCTAAATTATCCTAAGACAGAGTTAAGAAATTGTAAATGATTAAAATAAATAGGTCCTAAACCCTTTTACAATCAAATAGATATAAACAAACCTATGTTTAATGTTCAAAGAAAAATAATTAAAAGCAATATGTGTATGTTTATCCACACACAATAAATAGCACAGACTCGTACTTACCTGGGGACAAATTGATTAGAAGGTCTTTTGGGTCTATATTCGGGATGCACCATGAATAACATGTGTGGGAAACCTGTACCAAAATAGGCACCGTCAGTATGATGGTGTCTAGATGATTTAGGAGTATAAACATCCATACATTTAGGGCAGTAAGATTTAACCATCGCTTCACCAGGCACATCTGAGAGGCCTAAAATATGAAAAAGTAAAATAAATATAATGTTTACTTTGAACGTTGGTTTTCAATAAAATAGTTTTGCCACTATTTATGACCGCCACCCCGCACCATCTCCTTTCTTTTTAAATATAATGTTTACATTAATCCTTTTTAACATGTCAGTTAAATGTTTCATTACATTGGCAGATGAAATTGCAGAACCTATGAAGCACTGTGAATAATGCAGAATTCCAAAAATTACTTAACAATTTCTAAACACAGCCTAACAATAAATATTAATCAGATAACGATTGGAAGGACAGTCAATAAATAAATATTTTTTTTACTATTTAAAGTGTGACCACACCCTAATGACCCTAAGACATTCTACAGTAAAAAACATGTGAGGCTCTTACTCCGAGATAAATTTAAGTCTATTTATAGTAGTTTAGTTCAATTATGTATACTGGTAAAATACCATTGGCAGTAAGGATTACTGTTTTCTTGTTTTGTTCTTAGTTCTCACGTGGAATTTAATGAAAATCAGTCAACTTACATCCATTAAACTTTAAAATGAAAAATGATTTGATATGTATACATGATTGTGATTATAAAAACTTAGTATTCAGGTTATTGCTGATTGATACAGAATAGGAAAAACACAGGTATAAATTCAATATTTTAAAAATGAATTCTCTAACATAACTGATTAGTAATATATCAACTCATGCCTGTTCAATTTAAAAGAAAAAAATCTGTTGTGATGTGCGCATCCCACAACTTTCACTCACCACCCTTTTAGCAGAAATAATTATTTTCAGACAAAGGGAAGAGAAAGTAAAAATTATAGACATATGAAACATTATTTAAAACAATTAATTACCATATGTTCTTCATAGGCGTCTAATGTATTATATTTATTTTGTTTGACACTATCTATTTCCATTAACAACTGTACATTTCAATCATTTATTTGATTATAATAAATAAGTCAGTGCCACTGATAAAGAAGGTCGCTAATATTTCTTTATGTTTCATTGTGGGTATTTTTTTTTTATTATGTACCGGTACACAAATACAAATTTAGAAGTCAACTTTTTTTTTTTTTTTTTTTTACTATTATGGAGAAGTTTTAAGTTCTCAAGAAGTTTTAAGTCAAGAAGTTCATTTTGACGAACATTATCATATTATTTCTTGTGATATTTTTTATCCTATCTTAATAATAATAATAGATTTTAAGAGGAGTTATGTGAACTAGATTAGTTATTGTAGTCGTACAGAAAGACAGAGTAAAAAAGTAAGTAAAACGAGAAGACTGGATAATGAGGATTAACTCTAGAGAAATAAGAGCAGTGTTTCTTTCAGGAATCAACCAGACAAGAGAAGGAAAGAATAAATAAAAAATCAGTGGTTCGGTGTCTATCAATAATCTAAAGATATATTAAGAGCCATAGAAGAGCTGATTATTCCAGTTTCAGGGTGGATCTATACTTATACCTCTGCTGTCTTAAAATGTTAGTGTGAAGTGTCACTACAAGGGATTTTTGCACAGAGATCCTGAATCTAGTTTTGTTATTCGTATGGTATTATAATACATCAATGTTTATATGAAAAGTATAAATTACAGTGATTTTTCTCAAGAGAGAATCACTTTATTATCATAAAAGGGTGCTGCCCAATTACATTGGGTTGCTTTAAACACAGCATACTTATTAATCGCTACAGACAATTTTCCAAAACTAATATACATAATAATAAATCAGTACATCAAATGTTGGAAATAGTTTAGTAAATGTCATAGATGCTGCTCCACACAACCTTGCTGAACTGTTCTTAATTCTCATTAGACAAGCCATTCTTAATACTTATTAGATGTCAACAGTTACTGAACGAGTAATATCCCAGCATGCTTTGGGATCATACCTATCATCGCATGATTCCTTGCATGCCTTTCATATTTTTAACAGGATAGAATGATTTTTAAGTTTTTCAAATTGCAATAAGATAAAGAACAAATCAAAATATCTAATAAAATCTGTAGTTTATACTCACACTTCCACATTACAACAATGGCACATGTAAATTTTCATTTATTTAAAATCTTAAAACGAAAGTTTCAACTGAAATTCCTCGAAAAGCTACATAAGTTAATGTGGCAGTTCGCATGCGACCCATAGGCTGGCCAGGCATGCTATAGACGTTAGGCAATCAGATCCTTCTTAAGAGTAACTTTATGTTTTATATGAGATACGGAATCAAATTCTGGTCAATAATCCACCAACCTTGATCACCTTATTTTTTTTAAAAAGCATGAGAGGAATAGGTGGTTGAGACAAGAGCTGATGTCATAACATCCAGCAGCACCAGAAAATGTTTTCAGGATTCCATGAACAACTATGACCAATATGATTGTGAACCATGCTTAATCCATGTGGAACTCTCGTGAACCAGTACCGAAAAGTCTATAACTATGTGCTCTATTAAGAGGTTTCCTACACATTTAAAGGTATTATTTCCCTGGCGCTGCCCACGGCTGCGACCGCTACTTCAAGCTGCCAAACGCTGTTGCCTAGCTATTTCGCTGAAACTGCTCACTGAGGTTGTTATAAGCTGCCTATAACTTTCGAACATTTCATTTTACCTTAAAAGATAAAAAATATACTTCGTATCTCTTACTGGAGTTTTTTTATATTTATATTTTAATTTTTTTATTTATTTAATATCGTTTGGATTTGTGTATATTTGAATTTCGCTGTAAAATACTGTTGGTGGAATAAATAATCTTGTTATTTCAACCAAAAAAAATAATTTACTATTGCATTGTTTAAGTTTTAAACAATATTTTTTTTAATTTTGCCAGACTTGAAAGAAAAATAGGAAATAAAACGTATCAACGTGGCTGCTTTCATCAAAACAATGCTCTGATATAATAACATAACCTATAACTGCCGAACTGCCAACAGCTCCAGTGCTTCAGTAGCGATCAGATAGGAGCAGCTTAGATATGACGTCATACCTAGACTACCGAGCAGCGCCAATGAAATAGGTTCCTTTCTATTTCACTAAAGCAGTGGTCAACAGAAAGCGGTCGCTACCATGGGCAGCCCCAGCGAGATAGTACATTAAGAGGGAGAAACAAGTTAAGGTTATAATCTGTCAGATTTAAAATATGAATCTGAAAAAGAGCTTAAAAAATAGCCATTTGACTTTGTGATATTTAAATCACCAGTAATAACCAATGGCATATTAGAGGTCAGGTTGGTAATAATTTTAAGTAACAAGTTATTAACATACAAAGAGTTTAAGTCTATATGATAAAGCTAGAAAAGACAAATAGCTTCCTTCTAAGAAAAGTCTGTCAATATTATCAAAGGATCTACATTATACATCAATAACAGCTAAATTAATTGTTGCTTAGCGACTTTTAAAGAGGGCCATCAACTTATAATAATTTCAAAGGTAAAATAAAAATTTAACACTATATTCTATATTAGTTCCGAAGAGATTATATGAATTTAACTAACATGAAAAAACATGTACAATAAGAAACTTCATCTACTTACCAATCGGTAGCATCAGCTGAGACTCACAATACACCCGAGGGCAACATCCAAAATCACCAGCTTGGTATTTTTCTATCATTTGTGCTATTCCTCTATTAGTAAGAATGTATCTAGCATGTATAAGTCCATATAACATCTCAGCAGCTTGTTCAATAAGATCAGACTGTGTAGGGTTATCTTCGAGTTCATCATCTGTAGCAAGTATCACATATAGAAAGAATGGAAAATTGTTAACTTCAAGATTGTGAGTTTAACTTACCAGGTTCTAGGTCCAATATCATATCTAGGGCTTGTCTATAATGGGGAACTTGTTCATTTAACCCTGTTAAATTAAATTTATCTTGAATATAATCCTCATCAACCTAAAATAAATAAAAATTACCAACTTCAAGGAAATGGAGTAACTCATAATTATATCAGATAAATATATGTGGGCAGGTTAAATAAAATTATAAAAATGAACTAATAAAACTCACTTCACAGAAAAATTCATTTCCCCTGAGACCACAAAACCATGATATCCAAGAAACCTCTTCTGAACTGCTCATCTTTCTGCAGTAAAATAATTATAACTTTTTAGAAAAAATAAACACAGAACTCCTATAACCTCTAATTCTTTAACAGGGACAGTTTATAAAACATAAGCTATGGAAATAAACAATATTTCCATAACAGTCCCCAAAAACTAACAAAATTTTACAGAAAATAAGGGCTAACAATTAACCATCTTGAACGCGGAATAAATGCTGTAAATAGTTTTGAGAGACGAACCTCTTGATGCTTTGATTAGCCACGCTTGAGTACTATATGAAGAAGATAAGTAAAATAATAATTAGTGAGTCAAACATTTATCCATACCATAATAAAACAATTATCTTTCAAATAGAAATTAATATTTACTAACTCCTGAAGAAATATGCAAACAAACATTAAAGGAAAATCTTTTTTATTAACATTCAAATAATAAATACAATAATAAGTGAAAATAAATCCAAATATTATAAATTAAATCTGGATTGTACAATTTATTCTAATAAATTAAATATTAGAAACAAAAAAATTATTTTTTATTTTTGAATTTTGCGTGATTAAGTGTTCATAGGTAGTCCTCGTGGTACTTCTGTTTTGAGGGCGCGATGTACAAAAGGGTAGATAGTGACAGTTTTTAAAAAAGTTAGAAATTTTTCGTTGTATGTTTGGAAAACTATTTGGAGAATATTTATTGTAAAATACATTTAGTTTCAACACCCGTGTGAGGTAATAATATTTTGTCTATGCATCACGTAGTAACCACTTATGTCAACATGTAACTCAGTTATTGTTTTTGTATGATATGAAGGAAAATTCTTAAATTTTGAATATATTGGATGTGTATATTAAAAGTTCTATAGTACCGAAGTGTTGTTGATACTTGATATAATTTTATTCATTTGTATCTTCATTTTCTTTTCTGTCTTAGTAAAAAATGGTGACAATTGAAGGTCTTAATATTTCATTTGATAAACCATTTGATGAATGCAAAAATGATATATCCAATGCCTTGGAAAAATTTATAGTAAGTTTTATTTTTTTAGTTGAATAAATAATTGGTGGTATATTTTTTATATTTTTCATTTATCACTTCTTATTCTAGAAATCAAGTACTGTGAGTGTCTTATCTATTGAGGCTGTTGGTGATTTACTCTCTAATTATTTAAAAGAAATTGAATGTTCACTAGAAAAAGGAGAAGAATATGGTAAAATAATTGTCCACAAATTATTAGTCATCTCAGTTCTGTCGTTATTTATTTTATTTTTTTTATTTTTTTAGATTTCACTGAGTGGGTTCTAAAGTGGCATGATGATGTTGTTTCAAGATTGAAAGAACTTTGTTATCATGGAAATGAAGAACAGATTCAGACTGCTTTCAAAACACTGGTTCAATTGTTGCCTTCACAAATTGTTTTGGGCAGTAAAGGAATAACTTTCCCTATCCAGCAATTTGCAGTAATATTTCTTGATAGTACTTGCCTTTACTGTTAAATTAGTACTAGTTCTGAAACGCTACCCTAAGAAGGCTGTTGATCCAAGATCATACTTTAAATAAAACCCCAAAAGTAGTACACCATTGAAAATCTGTTCAAATACAATATTTATATATTATAAGATACTACTGTACAATTTTACTCCACTTTCATCAGTGGCACAAGATATGATCACATCTTAAATGGAATCCCAAGGAAGGCCGAGTATGCTCAAAAGTAGACTGAACTGTTTGGTACAGCCCCGACCCGATATGGGTTTTGTTTATCCCTTTAGAACAAGCAGAAATCGAAAGCAGCTATGTAATAAACGTTCTGATTTTAATTGAAATGGACTATTTTGGAGTTTGCTGAAGTTGTAAAACGAGAAATACCTAAAGGAGGGCTATACTGTTAACATATTAGTCCTCAGTTATTCTTAGAATCCCATTTATTCAATCAATATGAGGTCTTGGTCTAATAGACCAAGTGGAGTGACATCTCTTCAGTGGTACCTATTGAAATACATAGAAGATACAAGTTCACAGGCTCTCCAAACAGATCAGACTTGATGAACAATCAGTTCGGTCATACATGATCATGGAATGTCGAATATTGCTAATTGTTATGGTGTTAGCTCTTGCCCCACCATTCATTTTTGAAAAATATGCCTGTCCTTTTCATGGAGCTTACTGGAAATTGGGATACATCCATTCAAGAGATATAAAGTATTTTTTCTTTGTACTCTGAAGACGGGGGCTAATAATGCAGTCCATCATCAACAAAAATAATTATTTTATTTGGATATTATTTCCAAGAAATAAATCAATGTAGTGGACATTACAGCTAATGAAGATTATCAGAAAATTCCATGATACTGAATAATGGAAGTTAACAAGAAGAAAAAATAAACCAATATACAATGTGAAATAGTATTTAGCGACCTAATAGTTAAAAGTTTTTGTCTATTGCTATTTAATTTTTATAATATTTGTATAAGTTTCATTCAGAACATGTGAAGTAACATAAACACCATGTATAAGTCTTTTCACCATGTATTACTAAATCATTAAGCACATACAACTACTTAAATGGCACTAAGATAACTGACTCAAGAGATCGGTTGCTTGCTTATTTATTCAGATAAATCCCAGTATTTTCAACCTTCTATGAATAAATTTCACTGAAGTGATTCTGAACCACAACTCATCCTTGCAGAGCACTTTTGTACTGTTATCAAAAGTAGTCAAGCTAAGTGCAAATTGCTTTGATTTCACAGAGAGAAAATTGATCAAATTACTCGATATTTCATTTTTAAACATTTTACTTAATGACTTCCCATTTAATTCATTTCTAGCAGGCCTATCCCAATTTAAACATTATTAATAAGGCAGGATATATTTTCCTGCTTAAAATGGGTGATAATTTGTTTATTACTATAGGGTTAGCGTTCAATAGTTTCCATCTACTTTTAAAGATACTTGATGAATTTAGTGATTTCATCTACAATGCGATCTGAAACCAACTACCACCTGGAGTAGAGCCTTGGAACTAGTACCTCAGTATTAATTTATGCTAGATAATTGTTCTATTCTGTTTTTAGGATATAATCAAAATAGTGGTTTCCTTGGAAGATAATATATCATTTTTCCTGTCTACTATTAAGAATATATTAATTTTTGAAGACATCGGTAAAAATATTTGGAAGGCACTTAACATAGCAATCTGTGAATTAGGTGATGCTCTTTCAGCCAAAGTAGTAATGAATGTATTGCAAATCATTAATTGTATTGAAAAACAAAAAGTTAAGGATAATGTTGATTTTGGTCCTTCCCCCTCTTATTGTAAAATCAAAGGTAAGTAACTGAGCTTAAATTTATTTAGGCTTTTACTATTAAAAATTTCAACTCTTATTATATTTTAGATATGAAGGAACAAATTTGGTTCCATATCTGTCTGTAGTCAAATCTTTATGACTGACATATCACTATCGCTAATCATGTTTCGTATAAGTACTTTCAGGGCTAAGTTCATGGAATGGTGTATATTCTTAATATATTTACGATTACTTCTATACTACAATTGTCAATTTGCAGTGTAGTTGTTTTTTTATTTTTTTATGTTTATCTGGGAATTAGTAGGGTATAAAACAGCCAAATATCACCAAATCATTAAGACCAATTGGTTTATGTGAGCTTGGTTGAGGTTGCTGGATATCCACTAATCTAAACTCAACAGAGCATTAAATAGGAGACGTTTCAGAAGATGCCAAAGTTCCATATGTCAGAAGGTGGCTTGTAGGTATTGGGGACACGAAGATTTATCAAAGGATGTGGATAAAAACCATGTAAGCCACGTTAAGTGCATTAGTACATTCCACTAATGTTTACAATTATATAAATTTGAAAAAGTCCTCCTCGGAAATAACATGCTCTTTGGGACTCGCAGTGCCTCCATAGCCCCTACGGACCCAAGACACCTTCTATAGCACCTTTTATATATATATATATATATATATATATATATATATTATATATATATATATATATATATATATATATATATATATATATATATCATCTTTTATGTTCATAGATTTTTGCCATTACAATACCTTTACTTTTATTTTATTTTAGAAGGCGTTATAAGTGATAAAGAGATCGAACTCAATATTAAAAAATTCTGGAATAAAATTATTGCTGTCCATGACTTGAATGCCAAACAGCAGCAAATGTTACTGCTTGTACTTTATGAACAACTAATGCCAAGAATGACAAAGGCAATATTTTTAACAGACTATTTTATGACATCTCTTAATAAAGGTATGTTAACTGTTTTAAGTATCAATATTTTTTTTTTAATGTACATTAATTTTGCACAGATAATGTTTTACTTGCTTTAAATTACAAATTTGATTCCAGGTGGACCAGTGGGACTTCTCGCTTTACAAGGAATGTTTACTCTAATCCAGAAGTACAATATGTAAATATTTATTTATTCCCCTAGTTATATGCTGACTGATTTGACTAAATTAAAATTTTAATCAAAAACAATAAATGAGTAGATTTTTAAGTTTTTTTAATTGTTTAGAAATAATTGACTGTAATTCTAATTTGGGGAATGAAGTCAATAGACATACACCATATATGTTAATAGTGTTCATTTTAATTGCCGACGTAGATCAAAATGTTGGTAATTAAAGTAAATGCTTCAATAGGTGGGCGGGGTGGCCGAATGGGCAAACGCGTGTGCACAGCACCGCCATTGTCTGGCAACCTGATATATCAATCAAATGATATATAGTCACGAGTTGGCGTCCCGGCGCTGAGAGTCTTTTAAATCCCCGCCCACACTCCCAGGCCCGGGAAAATCCCATATAGCCTTAACGGCGAGGAAGGGGAGGACCCAAAAAAAAAAAAAGTAAATGCTTCAATAATATATAGTATGTGTCTGTTGACCCCACCTCCTACCAACTTCTCAAATCAAATTTTTGTTTTTGTTATAAAATTAAATTAGCAATTTTTTTAAATTGATATGGTCTCGTATGAACCTATAATAGATTTCATGAGTGGCGATATCGATTGATTCTAATTTTAGACTATTCTTAACAATTCATTTGATATAGAAATTGACTTTTTGTAGGAACTATCCTGATGTTTACAAGAAAATATACTCGATGCTTGATGGATATGTGTTTGATACCCAGTATAAATCAAGGTTTTATTATCTAACAGACATGTTCTTATCATCTTCGTAAGTATTAAAATAACTTAAATAATAAATTAATTAAATGAACTAGTAAACTAGATTATTTTGGCATAAGTCTTGTCTAGTATATTACAAAATCTAAAAATAGATTCCTTTCAAAGGTCATTGAATCTTGATGTTTCTACCCTTTGCCTCAAACTTTTACAAGGCATAAAATTCATTATCATTTTTTTTTTCCATATTATGTCTTGGTTTGAGAAATATTCAATTCCTCGGACATTATTAAGACATCTAAACTTAATGCAATCTTAAATGACTTAAGAATTCCTTTAAAACTTGTCAATGCCATAAATTTTTTACATATTCAATCAAATGTCTGATGTGTTTCATAAATATAGTTATGTATTTTATTTTAGGCATTTGCCTGAGGCTTTAGTAGCAGGTTATATTAAAAAGTTTGCAAGACTTTCTCTAATAGCGCCTCCTGTTGATATAATAATAATGATGACATTTATTGTGAACTTACTGATTCGACATCCAGGGCTCAAAATACTTATGCATAGAGTTACAGAAACAACAGGTAATTTTTTATTTCATTTTTCTTTTCAAAAATGATTTTAGTATTATGGTTTTACATTTAGTTTTCATTTTTAATTGCGATTTTATACTAAAATGAATTTATATATTTTAAATTTACTTTTAACTATTCCCTCTCTACTTTAAATTAAAAAATCTGGTGTGTGGATCACACAACTTTCACTTACCGCTCTACTTCAAACAGAAATTATTGTCTGGCAAAATTGGGCTATTACAAAAAGTTTTTAAAGTAAATTTTTAATGAAGCTAAATGTTATAAACACATTTGTGAATTTCAATCATATTCGTCATTGCAAACAGTTTTAAAGACAAGCTTAAAAACACAAACCCTATTTATTATATTTATGTCAGACAATAAAATTCTTGTAACTTCATTTCCTCTGTTTAAACCACACAACTCCACTCTATGATCTCTATATATGAAGAGAAATTTGAAAGTACATATATTTAATCTATAAATAAGTAGCAATTGTACTTCAGATAAAAATTAAAATTACTTAATTATATTATTGGATCTAGAGTTTTAAACAATTCCATTGGATCATACATATTTTTAACAAATTTAAAAATAATTTTAAAAATTTACATTTAGTTAAGGAATTTCATGTTGTTTTCATGAAAACATTTCTTTTTCATTATATTAATAATTTTCAGAAATTATCATTTATAATTTTATCATTACTCTCCATTATCTTCTACGACTTTGTGTGTTAGATATTGTTTTTTCAAAAATTCTGAATTTTCCAATGTTATATTGTGCGTATACATCCTGACGATTATTTCTGAAAATTCATTTTCTTCCTAAACAAAAAAAAAGTATTCCAAATTCTTCCATAGTTTATACTGTGCCTTTTTTCGGTACTTTTCTGATAGCTGGTCCTGACAAAACTCCTTGTTATCTAATGTTACATCACATAACCTCCTTTCTTATCTCATGTAAGCTGTGAGTTATTCCATTGTTATTTTTGTTCCATTTTTGTGATTTTCTCCAAATTATGGATCTTATTACATTCTGGGAATTGCCTTCTTCAGAAGAAGAGACTATTGAATATTTTCAAAACGCTGTGATAATTCCAAATGTGAAATTGTGTGAAGAAGGTCATCAAATAAAGTTAGACAGGAAGACGAAATGGAGATTAATTCGTACCACTTGTAACTAAAACGTTTCTATAAGGAAAGGAACGTGGTTAGAGGGGTCGAGGATTTCGTTTTAAGTGGCTGTAAAATTAATTTATGGGTGGTCCCATGATTTAACAACGATACAGTGGGGCGAATAGCAGCTGAAACTATCCAAGGCTACCATAATAATGTGGAAACAATTTTAAGAGAGGTTTGTGGCCATAACATGTTATACAGGTCAAGCAAAAACATTTGAGGGCCTGGCAAAGTCGTTGAAGTAGAAGAGAGTCTTTTTTCTAAAAGAAAACATCATGTAGGGAGAGTTCTACCTGAGCAATGGATGTTTGTAGGAGTTTGCCGAGTAACAGACGAGTGTTTTATTGTCAAAATAAATTACAGAAAGGCAACAACTTTATTACAAGGTATTAAAAACAATATACAAGAGGGAAGCACCATTTATTCCGACTGTTGGAAAAAATACAACACTCATCAGAATTATCAGTGTACAGGTTATAAACATTGGCAGATAGCAGTTGGTTTTTTTCAAGATATGTAGGTTGTAAAAATCAAATAAATAAAAACAATATCAAGCAAACCTTATTGTGGTTATAAAATTGGAATACGTTAAACTAGGAAAAGATTATTGAAAACAAAAGTTCTTTAAATTTGTCTAATTCATTGGCTTTCAACCAAATAGAAAATCCAGTTCTGTTTAGAAATATTGTTTCTTCAGTGTGAAGATATTAAATATCCTACATAGATGAAGCAACCAAACCATTACAGTATGCATGATTAGATATTATACTTGTCAATTCAGATATTTTTCATAATTAATTATCCAGAATGTGTTGATTTGATTCCAGGTTTAAAAGAAGATCCTTATATTATTGAAGAAGTTGATCCTTCAATGAGTCATGCAATCGAAAGCTCATTATGGGAAGTGAAAATTTTACAGCACCATGTTCTACCATCAGTTTCTTCATCAGCAATGTTTATTCAAAATCCACTTCCATCAGTAGAGCGTGATCTCTCTGTACTCCTCGATCTGAGGGATGACGAGGTAATTAATCGTATTTTTTATCTTTGAATACATAATCCACCTATAGGCCTTGTGTCCCATGAAAGTCGTTTTATAAAATTTATTCTACTAATTGGAATCTAAAATTATATTGTAGGCTTTAAATCAGTTTCTTTTTTAAAAAATCTTTTTGGAGTGCTTTGTTGATAACTTAATATTATATTGTTTTGTACATATATGAAAGCAAGAGGTATGGGTAATTCAATATGTCACCCATCTACTCTACCTAGAGGAGGATCGTCACAATATCATTTTCGTTTTTCCCAATGAAATCAAAGTTTTTTTTGCTAATTTTTCATATCCACCTAAGAATATTTCGTTTTTATATTATTGAAATTCAGTTTAGTAAAACCTAATATTTTGGAACGTCTTCTTTATATTTACCTACAGGTCCAAAGATCAACTTATTTTATAGTTTCATTTTCCAATGTTATTTTATTTGTTATTACAAAATTATATATGAGTAGAGCAAAGTAAGGATTGTTTGCCTATCTTTTTAACTACTCCCTTTTGACAAACATGCCAAAAGAGTTACCTAGATTAGGTAATGAAACTCAATATATGCTAAAAGTTCATCTTTCAATAGTGAAATATTTACTTTTTTAACCATATGAGGTTTGTTGTTGAATAAAAGACGATTGTGATTACATCAAAAGCTAATATGGTTAATATAAATAATATTTTTCTATTTTACTAAGTAAATACTTATTACTTTATTGCATACTAAATACATTCAATTGTACTAATTAAATATTTTTATCATTTCCAGATATTTGGAAAAGAATTCAAGAAAAGACAAAAAAATCCACCAGTATCATTTGAAAAACCTAATGGTCTTACCTTAAGCATTCCACGAAATGGAATGAATCTATGGTGTTTCAAAAATAATATTAATACTTAAGAGTAAGCTATTTTTAAAACTGTAAATATGATGTAAATAAATAAATTATTTTAGTAATCTCTTGTATTGTTCTATTATGTTTTCCTATTATCTTGATTAGTGATTTTGAAAAGTGAGATGGCATGCCCATTTTTAATAATAGACTTTTGCGATACTGTTGCACTTGATGCATTTTGAGAATTTATGAACCCTTAGGACACAATAATACTGATTTTAGATATATAAGGTTTAGATATAAAAGAAAAAGTAAATATAAAAAAAACAAACTCTGCAAAAGATGGGATTTAAAGAGTATCATAACATTTAGTTAATGAAGTTATTGAACTAAAAAAACTACTACTAGGTGTGTTAGAGGTATACCTTACATATGAGCGTCTTTCATCACTTCAGGCCAAGCAGTAGCATAGGTAGAAGGTATTCTGTTATTCTGTAAATATGTGCCATTATTCTGTTAATATGTAGATATTTTATATACTAGAGATCATTATTTATATTAATTTCAGAATTTGTGCAGGGATTATATTCATTCAATCTATATTTTACATTAAGTTCATTTGATGTCAAATCATACTCTAATTGAAGGAACAAAAAACCAAATTGATAATCTGGTAGTCGAGAGACATCAGAGCTCAATTCAAGATGTAAGAAATTATCGTGGAGCAGATTGTGGTTCCGATCATTCTCTGATTAGAATTAAACAGTCTGAGATTGCAGTGAATTCAAAAAACAAGAGATCCAGTGAAAAAAAGGAGATATAAAGTCCGAAATTAAAAAAATCCTGAAGTAAAAATTAAATCCCAACTTGAGCTGAAGAATAAATTTGGAAACATTGTGGACCAACACTGGGAGAAAATAAAGAAAGGGCTAACAGAAATAACTAACGAACTAATAGATATAAAGGAGGGAAAAAAGCTAAGATGTGGTTCACAGAAGCATGTGAAAAGGCAATAGATGAAAGAAGAAAAATGAAGTCCTCTGTATAGCTCCAACTGATCAAGTTATTCAGGACAAGTACAGGGCTGCCAAGAAAAAAACAAACAAAATTTTAAGATCAGCAAAAAGGGAATTCCTCAAAGATAGATTGCAAACTATTGAGGGCAGCTGGCTTAATACTTAAGTGAATCCTACATCATCATTTCAAAAGAAAGAGTTGGCAGCATTGGCATTCTGACAGCATCTAAGAAAAGATATTAAGCATATGGAAAGAATACTTATGGAAGAGTAGTTTCTCAAACAAAAGAACCCCAATTACATTAAAAACATCGACCACACTGAGGATCTTGACCCAGAATAGTTTGAAAAACCAGATATACTGGTTGTGAAGAAGACTTAATTGGCAAGCTACTGTAACTAATCCAGATAATAAGGGAGGAGTAAAAGATATCAGAGGATTAAAATAAGGGTCTAATCTATCCTATCCTAAAGAAAGGCTACATAGTTGTAATTACAAAGATATAGCCCTCCTTCCGGGTGCCTACAAGATAATGACCTACATCCCAGTAAACCGGATATATCCATACTACGAACATATAATAGGCGACCGCCTAGATTCATAAAAGAATGGATCACGTTTGACCAGATCTTCATCCTAAAACAAATACTCCAAATAATGGTAAGTAACTCAGGACGTTCACGCCTTATTCGTTGATTTCAAAGCAGCCTATAATTCTATGGACAGAAACTGCCTTTGGAAAACCATAACTGAACTGAGAGTTTCCGTATTTCCTTATAATTTCCGAGTATACATGTGCTCTATGGGATTTAGATTTGGAAGCAATATGGGAAGAAGCAAACGTCAAATGCCCAAATTTTCAAGACATTAAACTTTTTCCCTATGAAATCATTTATTGCCATCAAAATAATGGAAATCTGTGCCAATTATGGCCTGGGTTTGAGGAATGTACTCCTTTATAATTTCATGAACATTACGAAATGCAATGAGATTATCCTCTCATATGGTAGAGTCCGTCATCTTGCTTATATACATGCCCTACTATCACACTCGCACTGAAGAAGGCACAAACTGGGCAGTGAACCAGCCTCTGATCTCGGAAAATTCTTCGGCGCCTAGGATCACTATGGATCAGTGGTACCCAGAAGGAGATTTCATGCACATTTTGACGGAGTTTTAAAGTTTTGAGGGGGCAAATTTTGACTAGGTTATGAATTTTTGAAATGTGTTTCAAATCAGAGGACAAGAGGAAAGTATTGAACAGAACGCTGAAAGTGTAATTGTATGTGATCTATGAGTTTTAAAATTCTTCTTTAGCTTGCTCTGTTATTAAGAAGAGGAGAGTAATAAAATATCCTTGGGAGGAGGGGGATGTCATGCACCATCAACCTTGGGGGAGGGGATTGTCCCCCTGCTATGGATACAGAAATGCGACTCGTCTGTGAACATAACAACATTCCTAATTGTATTCTTACCTAGGCGCTCGCTGCACCATAATCTGCGGAGTGCCGGTGACGCACTGTTGCTGCAGATTATCTTACACACGCATAAGACTCGCTATAATTGAAAAACACATATAATTACCTAAATATTTTTTCTCTTTGTGAAGTATATTCTTGTTGTTATAGGTCATCACATTGTTATAGAAACGCTGTGGGAGCATTAAAACATTCGTCAGTATGGTTATTTGGCGCCTGTTCTTATAGTATCGAATTTTCATCGTAAAATATAGGTCATTTAAATATCCAGTATCAAACATGTTTAAGATATCTTGAAGTCATCTTTTAGCCACCTATAAAAATTCATCTAGAAGTAGTCATCTTTGAGATATCTTTTTTAAGATTTCTTAAAAATAACTAAAAAAAGATACATTTCAGATTTCTTTCAGAGATTGGTGCTGGGTGGGTAGATAATTAATTTAGGCTTTGTCAGGCACTATGAAAAAGATCGCTTCTTTCAGTTATAATAATAGTTCTGCCATCCCTTGGTATGACGCAATGCGCTGTGATCCACCAATAGGTCTCCTATTGGTAATTCCGCTTTCTCTGAATCTAGTTGAACTCCGAGAGGCCACAATCTGGGAGATTGCAACTACGCCGGCGATATCCACTCCCCGGTCGCGTATTTACAAACCCTGTACGGATTCAGACAACCTGTCTGTATTCATCTAGGGCCACTAGTGAATCCAGACGGGGTTCGCGCGCCCCCTTCTGGAGGCTTGAAAAAAAAGTTCGAAAAAACAGATTTGTAAAGAAAGAGAAATATAGGGGAAATTCTCCTCATAGACGATGAATTTCCTAATATAATATAAAAAAATATTATCGTGACTACCACTATCGAATTCTGCCAGGTGGCATACCCTCCCTTGGTTGGTGGAAAAAATGCGAAAAAAGTGACAAAAACACCTATTTAAAGAAAAGAGAAATGTAAGGAAAATTCATCTACATACACGAATTTACTAATGTAATATAAAAAAAAATTATTACCGTGACCAGCACTAATGATTTCTTCAAGGGGACACGTCCCCCTCTCGATTTTAGAAAAATAATTCCGAAAAAAAAGATTCATAAAAACGTCTATTAAAAGAAAAGAGTGATGTAGTTTTTAGACCACCGTGAGATGCGAAGGCTTTTGCTCCTTTCCCAGTTTGTTCCTATTGACTCCAAACTCGTAAATGTAATGGTAAGTGTAAATAATTTAATAAAATAATAAGGGCTAAAATTATAATAAAATCAATTATAAATTATAAAAATTAATAAGAAAATAATAATGAGCACTTTTTAATAAAAATTTGTAGGGTACTAATTGAATAATGTTCTTCTTAGAAAAAAAATATGGATAACGATTGCCATACAATATTAAATGTAGTTATCATTAATATTAATTAGTTATATTATATACACGTAAAGAATTAATCATCATCATCATCATCATAATCCTTATCCTCCACGTACCGCTACGCAGTGTAGGGTGTCCCTGACTGTGGGATGTCTGGACCAGGTGTCTCGCTCTTGGGCCAACTCTCTTCTCCTACTCCAATCCATATCTCGCCGCCTGAACGCCTCTCTAATAGTCTCCTCCCTGGATATGCGCAGTCTCCCTCTTGACCTCCTTCCCTTCACACGAGTCTCCTATGTCTTCCTGGCAGTTTTCTCTATCCTAAGCAGGTATCTGTACTACCTTAACTTATGCTCCTCTAGGATGAGCTCGGCCAGCTTGACCTCGAAGGCAATCCGTATGGTGCAGTTCCTTATCCTATTTCTTCTAACCTTTCCTTACACTTTACGTAGATAGCGCGTCTCCATGGACTGGGTTCGACTCTTGTGTTTCGACAATCGAGGGTCCACGATTCGGAAAAGTGAGACTGAATAGGCAGAAACGTTGATTTTCTGTCATTTTTGTCTTCTTTGTCTCTTTTTTACCCAGAAAATCCCTCCTAAGCAAAAATAACACTCTTGCACCTGCACCGATTCTCTGAGACACTTTCTCTTCAATGTTGTAATTTTCGTTGAGATGAGCACTTAGATATTTAAAATTATTGACCTGATCTAATCTTTTTCCATTTGCTCTTATCACTCTCATTATTCTTCTGGGTTTCTTTCATTTTCGCATACATTTTGTTTTTTCTGGGTTGGTTGTTATATTGATTACGCTCTTTCTTCCTGGAGAATATTTATATTATATTGGAGGTCTCAGTCGTTAGAGGACAGCAAGACTAGGTCATCTGCGAATGCTTACCTGGAGAATTTCATGGGTTGTAGATTTGTGTATCCTAACTGGAATTGTTTCATTCGAAGTTTAGCTTTTCTTAGCGCCAGATCCAAGACTATTATGAAAAGCAATGGACTCAGACTACAACCTCGGTGGATATCTAGATATGTCTCGAATTCCTGCGATATGTACTTCATAATCCTACCCATATTCCTGGTTTTGTTATAAGACTCATCACGGCCAAAGATGTCCCTGGATCGATTTCTCTTCTCTTCTATTCTCTTTCTCTCTCTCAGATAGTACCCGATCTATGTCTTCCTTTCTAATTCTGTCGAAAGTTTTATGGAGGTCCACAAAGCAAACAGAAAGTTCTTTATTCGTTATTTGTCGCTATGTAAAGATGAGATCCTGTATGCTTCGCTGTTCCTGAACCAGTACTGTCTCTTCTCCGAGCTGAGTGTCGACCACTCTTCTTATTCTTGCTTCGAGAATTCTTGAGTACACTTTGCAGTGAAATCGCCCGGTGGTTGCCAAGCTCTCGATTACCTCCTTTCTTATGGATGAGCACTATCACTGCAACTTCCCAATACTTAGGAATTTTCTTCTATTAGGTATAAATTATATTATTCCACGATATACTTGTTATGAAATAAATCTGACCGAGATTGGTAATTGAACATGCATTGCTTAAAATATCGCTGTCAAGGACATAATGATCTGAAGACAGCATGTTTCGCGTTTAGATCGCAAGATCAATAGATATTTACACAATGATTTGAATTCAAGAAAGAAAAATGACGTGGTTACTTTTTGCCCCTATCTTCTCAATAAATTGAGAGTTTTGGAGAATTTAATTTAATTTTGGGAGGGGGCTTCAGCCCGAAAGTTGTTTTTTTTTTCATAAAAATAACGATAATTACTTTGGAAAAAAAGAAAGAAACTAACTACCTGTATGAAATGGTGTTTAAGTGATTCCTAAAGCCCTTTTAAATGTAATTACACGAACAATAATACTTTAAGAGATACTTTTTTAATATTTTTTTTCGATAAAACATGGTTATATTTTACCATTTTAGGGGGGGCTTCAGCCCGAAAGCCCCCCAGTAGATCCGCCCGTGATTCCAACATCATAAAATCATTTAATATTAAATAATTTATGTTTTAAAACGAATGGATAGAATAACAAAATAGTATAGTATAACATCAAAATGATATACCGTCGTCAATAATCTTTGCTGTTTTTAAATATTTCAATTCAATTCAATCAATCAATCAATTCAAATTGATATTTGTTGGTAACACTGTTATGATGTATACTTGATTATCAGTCATATGTTGGGTTACTTTTGAGGTAGTTTTTGTGTGTTTAGTCGGTATTTTTCTTGTTAGTGTTTTATTCATTTGAGTTATATTCAGCAAATACAGTAATATTGAAGGAAACTTCGAGGAAGGTTGTGTAGTTGTTGAATTTTCATGTTGAACACGACGACGGCACCGAGCGAGTATTGTTACTTAAGTGTCATACTAATTTTAAATGACTTAATTTTATCTTACTTGTGATGAACTGTGATATGGAATGGACTGTGAATTCATTGATTATACAATTAAGACTGATGGAAAACCCTCATTGATAAAGTATCTTTCAATCTAAAACATGTCTTTAATTAAAAAACCCAAAAGAAACTTCAGATCCAGGGGTCATGAAAACGAGGATAGTGAAAATGAACAGCCTGAATTAGCTTCTTCAACTTCTGTGGATAAACCCCAGAAAAAAACAAAAAAGCCGGTTGTCCATCAACCATTATTAAGTTTCGGAGAAGACTTGAATGAAGGTTTGCCAGTTATTATAGTCTGTGTGGTGCCATTATTGAAACATTTTGTAGTTCACATATTAGTATGGAATGTTATAAAATGTTGAATTCTTGTACACTTTTTGATTAGTTAATTATTAAAGTATTTTCTTGTGTAATGGAGTAGTTCTATATTTTAGGAGATGATGGGGAGGTTTTTAAGGTCAAGAAATCTACCCAGAGTAAAAAAATCAAAAAATTACTTGAAAAAGAAAGGAAGAAGAAAAAGGAAAGACCAGATGGTAACTCTCTCAATAATCAGGACAAACCCATCCAGAATCAGTTAGATGATGACGTGATAATTAAATTGAAGAATACTTTTGTTAGTATACGTATATATGTATTAATTTATTGCTTATCGTGTTTAATAGTGTATTTTCTTTTAACCATGGTTTCAGAGTTATCAATAATATTAACACTTTATCTTTTTTCAGCCAATTCTTAATGGTCGTGAAGCTGAGGCTGCAGAAGCTGATGGAATCAGTTCCGAAGAAGAAGCAGATAGCTCTGCTCACCACTTTATTAAACAATCGGATTCTGTGAAACTTCTTTTAAAAAGTAAGTACTGCCCATTAACATTTGGTTTGTTACATATTTGTTTTTTGTTTTTTTTAGCATTTTATAAGATATTTAACCGATATAAGGATATTCTTAAATTAATATATTAAACCTATTATCACTAACCATAAGTTTTTTCAACTTTCAAAAATGTGGGTAAATGTATGTACTTCATTCAAATTTCCTACAAGACAAATTAACCAATAACAATATTGATATATTAGTGGGTTCTTATAGTATTTAGTATTATTACTTTTGTAGGAGGGGCCATTCCTGATGCTGCGACCATACATGCAGCTAGGAAACAGAGACAGCATGTCAGAGAAATGGGTGAGGTTTTGCCTGCACCAGATGAAACTATAAGGTATGTTTTATCCTTTTATTCGTTGCTATAGATATAAATCTGTATTAAACTCTGTCATAGATTGTCAGTTCATGTTTTTTATTCGATTTTTTTTTTTTTAAGGAATGAAAATAAAAGCAAATCTCGTCTCATTAGAGAAGATGATAATGATGCTAGTGATGGTGAAGAAGAACGGATTAACATGGCAATTCATACTGTTGCTGAAGATAGACTTAGAAGAAAAGCAGAGTTCGATGCTGCACAAGAAATAGGTAATTTGCACATTAGGGTCAAGTTGAGGACCTGAAAATAATATGAATGAAATCTTCATTTAGACTAATATGCATACAATTTTTTATTTACTGACACTAGTGTTTCACCTATAAGATATTAAATTTATTTATAATGAACTATTTTTAGCTGTATTATGAAATTCAGCATTTTTAAACTAAATAATGTTTTTTTTTAAATTTTCTTAGGTTCAACAGAGAGTGACAAAGGTGAGGATGATGAATGGGAAGCTCAGCAAATTCGAAAAGGAGTTACGGGTGCTCAGGTTAGAATTCATTAATTTGTTATATTATTATAATTTAATTTTTACTAATACATTTTGTCTTAAACTAAATATGATACAGATATAATGTATATTATAGGTTTGATAGATTAAATTTAAATTTTAATTAATATTAATTTTAGATCGCAGCTGTTCAACAAGAAAACATGTATTATCAACAGTATGTGGGTAATGGTTTACCTATGAATATGGTACCAGCTTGTGAAATAGTCGACCAAATACCTCAAATTGAACAGCCATATATGGTGTTTCCACCACTTCCTTCTACTGGTGCTATAGATCCTCAGGAAGTAATTAAAAAATTAAAAGACAGGTAGAATTCTTCTTTGTTCTGTATTAAGGATATCACTGCTGCATTCTTTAGCAAGTTGAGAAAATCATTTTTAACTGATAAGGATATGCATGTTCTAAAGTATTATTCATAATGGTTGGTCCGTTTTAAAATGTTTGTTGTTATCTTAACCTACAACTTTGAGAATTGTGTTTTTCTTTTTTTTCGTATCAATTATAATGCCTTATGATAATTATAAAAATATAACTAAACATTTTTTTTTTTTTTTTTTGGTTTCTCATTAGAAAAGGCAGAGAGCCTTGTATATATACGAGAGGAAACAGAAAAAAAGAAATTGGGCTAAGAATTGAAATTTTCTCTCTATTTAGTTCCATGCCCGTCTGTAGCCGATTTCATGTGATGGCCATATCGTCTATTACTATTTATTTAATTTTCATGAAATTTTATAGAATGTACAGGTTGATGCTTTGATGATCCCATATGAATTTCTTCAAATTACATTCAATGCTTTCCCTTACTTATGCGTTAATGTATTTTCTTATATATGCTTATAATTCAAAAACAGCTTGTTCGATTGGCTCAAAGTAGGAGGATTGGAGAAAAAATGCTATATCAATTTCACTACTTCATCTTACGCTTTTATGAGTTGTTTCCTTGATATGCCTTTATCTCAAAAACAGTATGTTCGATTTGCTCCTAATTTAAAGGGAAGTTAGGGATTGGTTTAGAAATGATCTAATAGGTATCAATTTCATCCACTAGTTTCAAAAAGTACTTTCACTTTCGGATATAAACTTTTATTTTAAAAACTAGCCTTTGACTTCTTTAATTGAATGTATTTTTGATTTTGAAATGCTGCAACATCGCCTACAGCTTTATCAGTTGCATTTTTACTCACTTTGCCTGTGACAATGTTTTAACTGTTATTTATCTGTATTTCGAAATATTTTATATTAAACCAGATAAAAATAAATTATTTTATTAAATCATCATCATCATCAAATATTCAATTACTACCATGCAAAGAAATGAGGACAAAATTGATAAATTAGATTAATAAAGAAAAAATTTATTAATATTAAATTAATTATCAAAAATGATTACACATCAAATTATTAAATTTGTCAAATCAAGCTATCCAGGTTCAGCTCAGTACTTCTTTCTGTAGTCTTATCCATTTAATAGACATAATATTGATGTTAATTTAATCTGGTGTTGTGTTAATTTTGCAGAGATTGTGACGATTGATACCTAGATGTTTTATATTACCCAATTGATTCCGTCGAATGGGTTTCATATAGTCATGAGTTTTTTCTTGACAAAACTATATTTCGAAAACAGCTTCTTCTGCATAGGTTTTATTCTAAACTGGCCTATCATAAAGCTTGAAATATAGGTAATCCTGTAAGCATTAGAATTAGTGAGGACGATAAATTAATAAAGGAAGGAAATTTAATTAGTTAATTCAAAGTTATATTGACAAAACATAATTGTCAATGATCGGAGTAATAATTTTTTTATTATTATATTAGGGATTCAGATGGTATTATTTTTATTTTTTTTCAATATAAGTGTAAGCAGAGGGAAAAAAAAATTCAAGTCTTGATCCCAGTATTTTAATTTTTTGAAATTGCAAAATAAACTGTGACAGTCACTATAAACTTTTTTATATAATAGATAGATAGAATCTTTCGTTAGTGATTTTTAACTGTTTTCTTTTTAGACAACCAGAACAAATGTCATTATTTCAAAGACTGGCATTATAATTAAAAATAAAGTAATATTATTCTTCTAAATGTTTTTGGTTAACATTAAAGCTAGTTGTCGATTAATTTTTAACTAAACAATTATTAACATAATTTTCTTTATGATGGATAAATGGTTACAGAAACTATTTATATTTTATTTTTTCTAATCACGTGATTCTTATAGTATAATATTTCATATTTTTATCTTATGATGTTTCTATCACTTTTCTTCAGTTATAGATTTTTTTTTCTTATTTAGAAAATATAAAATGTATAATTAATTCATTTTGTTTTTTTAGATTGTCGGATTTGAATGAAGTTCATAGACGCCATCATTTAGACTGTGAATCTGCTAAGAATGAAATTGAATCCCTAAAGCTGGAATGTATTAGAATTAAGGAAGAAGGCCCAAGGAGAGCTGAGCGGTTCAGATTTTACCAAGACTTGCGTGGGTATGTCACTGACTTGGTAGAGTGTCTAGACGAGAAGGTGGGTCCCCTTCGTATTGTTACGGGCGGGTCACCATTGTATGATCAAACAAAAAAGATTAGATTTTTTTGATAAAATTACTGATGACATTTTTATCAAGGCTTATAAATTAAAAGAAGTGTTTTTAATTCTATTTTTAAAATGGGTTTTTATCTATAAACTATTTTATTATGCCCTCGCACATAAAATTAATGTTTATATTTAATTAATAATTAATATAATTTTATTTTACAATGATATGAAGCAGCCTTAACAAAAAAGAGATTAACGCTATGGTTTTGAAGGTGTGTTTTCTGCAAAGGGACAATAATATGACATTGAATTCTATTCTGTGATTTAAATCTACCTTAAGAATTAAATATGCTAATAGCTTGTGAAGAACCTTCCCATTTTTAGCACTTCGATAATTATTACGGGTATTCTTGCTAACAGTGCTAATTATTGTAAATCTCTTAAATGTGTAAAGTGCAAACTCGCTTTTAATATGGCCTGGAGTCTGTGAACACTTTCGTTAATTCTGTAAATGACTTTTTTTTTTTTTCTAATGCCTCTTGACTTATTGATTTCCGTCATTAATCCTCAAGCAGCTAGGGGGCTATTCTACTCTTATATTCATGGAGCACGTGGTTTATAATTACCGGACGCGATCACTAATCACTGTCTCTTCATCAGGATTATTGACAACTCATTTGTAGTTTTCTCCATCCTGTTGTTTTTTTTACAGGATTGGGTTAATGGCCCTATGCCCAACCCTCAATTCGGAGAATCAGGAGCTATGTTATTGGAAGACATAAAGAGTCCTTCCTGAGAATCTCAAGGTGGTGACGTTACTGTCCGTATGCGGGAATCGAACCCTAGTGGTCTAAGCAATCAAGTAGTGACTGCACTTTTTTATTTTTATTTATTATTAATTATCTTTTTTAAATAAGCCTTATGATAATGTGTATGAAGGTTTTTTTTAGTAAATTGTTAGTATATATAATAATAATAATAATAATAATTAGAATCCACAAGCAATTTAGAAATTGATATATAGTTGATTATCCTTTATAATATTTTTCATCCTTAGAAGTAATTTCTTGTCTTTTCGATCCCGTATGATTTGTTTTTTATGATGGTACTCTGTAAGACGTTAGTCATGATGGAGTCCTCTGTAGTCTTTCTGTTTGTAAGCAAGAATATTAGTGGAATATTACTAAATAAAGGGTACTATAGGACAGGATGCAGTGTATTCTGTCTACTGGATGAAGGATAAAGTTGATATGCTTGGATTTATTTTAAATTGTCTAGTTTTGAAATCACTCTTCACTAATATTGAAGTGGCACTACTGAGTTTTGAGATGCAGGAACCATTAAATTGTGATTGTGACTCTATTCACTGATGACATATGCGAGAAAACTGCTTTAAATTAAATGTGTTAAAAAAATTTATTCGTTGACTTATAAAAATAAATAATTAAATAAACATCTGCTCTTTCAAATATCTTAAATTTATCATTTATCATCCTGTTAAATATTTCCTATGGTATAAAATATTCCAAAGGCTTTTATGAATTAAAAACACTTCTTTTTCAATTGTTTGATCATACTTCATGTAAAGGGGCTATCTTGATGATCTTCTCTGTATATTTGACTATAGTGATCTGAATTTCAGTTATTATTTCTGGTTCTCCACTTCTCCAATATCATTATTGCACAGTAAATTAATTTTAATCTTTCTTAATTAAGTGTTTTGTTTAAAAAACACTACTCTGGTACTGAATAATTTAATCATTTATACTACTATCAGTCTAAAGAAGAGTGGACCTTTTTCTGGTTATAAATTTCATTCAATAAGCCTTCATTAGTATATGTAACACTGATGCAAGTATATGGTTTAATTAATTTAAAGATCTTGTATTTTGGTTATTATTTCATACTTCATTTTATGGAATACCAACAGCCAAAAGGAAAATATATATATATTAAGTATGATATATATATATATTTTTCAAAACTGAAGAAGAGAAAAAAGTTTTAGCTATATTTCTATTATTATTTTTTTCAAAATCCCTTAACCATTTGTATAGAATATCTGAACGGCATTTAACAGAATAGTATCTATCTATAAGATATGTAAAAATGAGTTATAGGTGGTTTTGAATGCTTATTGTTTTAAACTGTAAAGAAGCACTTCTTGCTTCAGACACATGGAATTTATATTTTTTGGAAAAAAGATAAGAAATAAACCTCAATAAAGTTAATTTTTTATAAATCTTTTGATATGAAAGCAATATTTTGAGGTGGATAGTAGGATATTGAATAAAATTGGATTTGTAACCTAAAACAAAGTAAACACATATATATTTATTTGAAAGAGTGGACTCTTTCAAATAAATTTTGAAATTTTGGATTTTCCAGCCATTTAATTTTGACTTGGGATTACCCAAAACATGTGCAATGTATACTGGTTCTCGTCTGTTACACACAGTCTAATTTGGACATTATTGGTGATAACCAGCGACTTGAAAAAAAAATATTGATCCTGGATTATAATAGTTTACATACAGTGGTAGTATTAATGTCTGAATTTTTAGTTATCCGGACCTCTTATATTTTCTCTGTGTGCCATGATTGTCATGGTACATTAATATTTTTAATTTTTCTTGACATTATTAGACTCGAATGCTGTTATCTGTATTTTTACAATGTTGACGTTAACAGCTTTTCTATGAAGTTTTTAATACTACTAATAAAAAAAATTGTTTATTTATTTAACAATAATTTTCTACCTGTGAAGGGGGAGAGATGGTTTCAGAATTGAATTGTTTGTTTTACAAATCAATTTCTGATTTTGTTTTTATATAAATATAGGTACAAGAATTTCATTTGGGTTTGTTAAAAAAAAAAAAAAACTTCTTTATTCTACTTTTTTCAAGTACCTTTTATTGAAATGTTTGCATTCTTGGAGTCGTACTGGTCAGTGTTGCATGACCTTTCGCAGATCATGTATTAGGTATTGCTAGAAGTTGCTTCAGGGCTTGAATAGTTTTGGGTCGCTTAGCAATTTGGCTCGCAAATCAAATTTGGTTTTTAGGGATCCTCTATACATAACATATACTATGTCTCTTCTTTTATGCATAAGACATGCATAAAAGAAGATGATGCAAAAAAAAAATAGTATGATGCAACTGTCTTCAACAAAACAAATTATATAAATATATGTTGCAGTATTTTTAAAATAGCTAAAGATTTAACTTGAATTATATTATATTTATAATCTTATTATTATATAATCCCCTCTCTGAATATAATAGTCCCACCAAGCTATCAACTCCTCAAATCATACGATTTCAATCCCAGTATAAGCCATTTAGTGTAGTATTAATATTATATATATTTAAAAATTAAAAATCTATTCTTCAATGAATCTTAGATACAGTCTGTTTCACTGTATCAACTTGTATATTCAGTAGTGTCACATGGACAGTCAGTTTTACAAATAGCATTGGTATAATACATGAAAACAATAACAGTAATTAATCAAGATTAGTAGATTGATTATGATTAATCTGGTAAGTGCAGATAATATCAAAGGCATAAAGTCAGAGTGGCTCATTTTTCTTTGACTTAGCTTATCTTATTGATTTGGACATTCACGAAAAATTTTCATGGCTTTAATACTGAAGTCCCAATGCAAGCATCTTATTTACTAGACCCTTCACCAACTTCTGTTTTTAGCCTCCTAAGACCATTTTCTTTCTGCTTAAGCTGATTTAATATTAAAAATCCGTTTTAAGTATTGATTCTGTGGTCTAGTATTAATTTTTTTTTAAGAAGGAATTATAAACACCTAAAGAAATATATTGAAAATATAGCAATTGTGCTTCTTAATTATATTTTCTGAACTCATAAAATAAAGTCGATTAACTAGGTCTCTATGAAAACATGTTTATTCTTGCTCATAGTATCTATACTTTAGAAGATATAAGAAGTTGAAGGTAGTGAGTCTGGTTCGCGCCTCAAAAATGGTTTCAATACGCTTAATATATCTTAGGATTGTTAAGATTCAGGGTTTCAAATTTTTAATGTTTAGAAAAATCATTATTATTTAACATTTTTACTAAATAATTAATTTAAGTTTATTGGGTTAGAAAACTTCTCATTATGGTTCTAAAATAAATATTTGTTTCATGTCTACTTAATAATCTTCATCATAATATACTAATGTTTCTTTTAATTTCTTCATATATACAGTTATTAAATTTAAAAATTTGTATTAATACTATTTTTGTGAAATAAAATCATTAACCTTATCTTTCAGTTTTATTTAGTAATCTTTATTATATATTTATCTTATAATTTATTCTACAATGTTTCATTATTTTAATTGTTTTATTTTTCATTTTTTAAATAGATTGTGATTGTTGGGCTTCTGGAACAGCGGGTTCTGTCTCTATTCTCACGCAGGGTAACTGAGTATGTATCTCGAAGAAGGCAAGATGTCATGGATCAAGCGCAAGAGCTTGCCCCTACTGCACAAAGTCAGTTACAATAAAAGTGTTACATTTGTTTGATTATTTTTAATTTATTATAAAATCTTTCTTTCAATAGCTGAAACAGTTTTATTGCATACATTTACATTAATAGACTGGTTCTTTATAAAATAAAGACTGACCGATTTATTCATCAATTATTCACAAAATTACTTTGAAATTGAAAGACTGAAATTCACATCTTTTCTCTATTAGCCAAAAAAGAAAATAATTGATGTTCTTTCCAATGTTTTGCGATTATGAGAGTTAGATCAGAGTGACTATCATAATCAACCTTGGGGTCACTAAATTATTCTAGGCAGGCTGTAGAGTTTATGAATATTTATTCTGCAGGTAGATTTATTGTTTATATCCATGACAAGATAATCTCAACTCTCCCAGGCTGGTTTCAAATACTCCCATGAAACTTCACTCTGCAACTTAATACCATAGGCATTTAGTGGGTATCGTTAATCGGGAGGTATCAAGAGACAAAACTATTCTTATATTTCTCATCCCATTTTAGAAATTCGGTTTAGGTTTTCTATAGACGGAGCTGTTCCAAAGAGTTATTGTTTTGTTAATATTTCTTTTTTTGTCAGCTTAGTTTTGTTATTGAATTCTATTCCACCTATTAAAGATTCAATTTCAACTTTTTGACTAACCCAAACTGGTACATTGAAATCAGTGTTTTTACCATTTTTTTTTTAATTTCTCTTGAAATCAGTCAGATTTTCCCTATTTTCTCTCAGAACGAACTTAAAAATCCCTTCTGCCCAAATATTTATACAATATTCTGTAACTGTTCGTTTTATGTATATTTTCCATATATTGGGTTGGCAAATAAGTTCTTTTGATTTTTCTGTTCAATTTTATGTCACTATGATATACTTCTGATGAATCAATCTCTAAGGTGGATTGTTTATCCTGTTTGTAATATGTCTATAACCATATCTGTTAACTCTTGTGGAAACTAGCTTAGTATTGTATTTGCTATTGTGCTGTGAATATGGAAGAAAATATCATTCATTATCTGTATATTTTGTTTTATTATTTTAAAAGAGATAAGCGTGCTGCAGAAGCTCATAGAAAAGTTTGCAGTGTTCATGGAGATGATTCCTTAACTGAATGCACCTGTCAAAATTGGTTTGCCAAATTTCATTCAGGTAATTTTGATTTAATGATGATGCTCAACTGTCTGGTCGCCCACATGAAATTGAACCGAGCAATGTTAAGGCCATTGTTGATCAAAATCCCACCCAATCAGTGCGAGAGATTGCTGTGGCCCTAAATGTGTTGTGCACAAATGTAGAAACTATTTGCACAAACTCAGCTATGTTTCCAGGCTTAATGTTTGGGTCATTCACTCTCTAACTGATGTCAACTTGGAAACACACATTTCTGTTTGTGATTCACTATGGAAATGGCAACAAATGACCTATTTTTGAAAAGATTGGTTACAGGAGATGAAAAATGGATGTTTAATGATAATGTAATCCTTAGAAAATCTTGGGGACCTAGTAGTGAGGCTCCTAGAAGAATGTCAAAACCCGGATTGCATCCAAAGAAGATAATGTTTTCCATATGGTGGGATTTCAAGGGTATTATTTTCTATGAGCTATTGCCATCAGACAATTGACAAACAATTGATTCAACTCTATACTGCTTAAAATTAACAAAATTGAATCAATCTATTAAAAATAAACGCCCAGAACTGGCAAATCGGAAGGGTGTTGTGTTCCACCAAGACAGCGCTAGGCTCCACACCTTATTGGTCACTCGCAATAAATTATTGAGCCTTGGATAGGACCTTTTGCCCCACCCTCCCTATTCACCAGACCTAGATCCAAGTGACTTCCATTTATTTTGCTCTCTTCAGAACTCCATGAATGAGAAGAAATTCCAAAAGGAAGAGGTCATAAAAAACACTATCTGTTTTTTAACAATAAACTCCAGACATTCTATGAACACGACATTATGCAGTTTGTGAAAAGATGGGAAAAAGTCATATTAAATAACGGTCTATATATTGTAAATTAAAATAAATTTTATCTCTATAATACATTGAGTTTTATTTCACCCTAAAAAACCGAAAGGACTTATTTGCCTACCCAATATTATTTTAAAAAATAGATTAAACTGTGCTCAGATTAGTCTTTAATTGATAAAAATTGTTTCCTTTTTTTTCCCCTCTCTACCTAAGCACTTCCCTAAAAAGAGAACTTTTTCACCAAAGTGGAAACCCTGATTATAATATTTAGGAGGCAAAGTTACATTTTGATTTACATTACACTATACCTTGAAATAGACATGACAAATACTTAGCATTAAAAAATTTATCTTTGATTAAGACATTCTGTGACTAATTTAAACTATTTTTTGTCCTCTCCTAATATATATAACATTTGAGTTGTTAGAACATCCTGCTTGTTTTGCTTATCACTTATTTATTATTTAGACCAGGATTTCTTCTAATATAAACAATATTATAAATTTTTTGTAATGTTAGATGTTTAAATGCTTAAAATGTATAATGTTTGAGATTTATAAAGCTTTAAACTTATTTGAAAGAGATTTTAAATATTTCAGAAGAGATTTTTATAAAACTTTTTAAGGATTATTACTTTAATCGGGTTCATAAACTCACACTGTATTCACATCATTTTATTTATTTTAAAGGTTATTGATTTAATTATTCTTTCTCCAAGTAAAGGTAAGAAATGCATGATATCTATTTATGTTACTTTTATTCCTTTTATAAATATAAGCATTTTTTTAAAACACTGAAATGTTTTCTGCTGGTACTGATTTTTTAAAATTCTTTTTTTTGCAGGGATCAGGATAGAAAGAGATGAAGCTCAAGTGCGAAGAGTTGCTGAAAGAGAAGGAAGAAGAATAAGGAGACAAAGAGTTCGGGAGCTTAAAGGAATTACGGGCCACATGGAGGGTATGTCCAGCGATGAAGAAATGACTGAAGCTGAGGCTGTCACTATAAGGTCTCAAAAAGGTAACTTTGATTTGGTTGCATAATGTAGCCTGGCATAAGTTGCAGCCAATCTGAGAGATCAGAAATGAATATTTTTAATTCTCTCATACATGGTGTCTACAAACAGGGAAAAGTCAGGGATTTTTATCAAACTCAGAGAATTCCTGAATATTTATGGCTGACAAAATAAAAAATCAAGTGTTTTATGCATGATAATATGCATGCATCACACAACTCGCACTTACCATCCTACTTTGAGTAAAAATAAGATGTTTTCATAAACAGATTGGTTGGTTGTTTTGATGTTTTAGGCGCAATACATACAGCTCATCACCACTCAATTAATAAAGTAATAATCATATTTAAATATTCAGCTGGTGGGAACATCATACCAAGGGAACTGAATGTAAAAATTATAGATGGTACAACATATAATAATATAAGCTTTATTATACATTCTTAATAGAACATAAAGCCTCTCATTTTATGGAGGTAAGAGTTTGGTTTTAACAAAAATTAATAATAAAATAATTTACAAATTTCTTCTTCGAAATTATTCAAACTTATTAAAAACTTAGTTAACTTGAATTTAATTGGTATTTATTAATTTTCTCCAACTATCTCTATTCCTTGCCACTCTCTGCACTATTTCATCTCTCCATCTTGTGAAAGATTTTTCTTTTCTTCTCTTAATATTCCTTGGAATCCATTCCGTACCAATTTTCGACCACCTTATAGAGTCCAATCTGGCTACATGACCAGCCCATCTTCATAATAATAAAAATGTTTCTGTCGATAAGCTTTTAAGGTCTACCTGACTTGCAACTCTTCTGTTACTGATCTGATCTTTCCTCTTAATTTCTAACATGCTTCTGGAAAATTGAAGTTGTGTCCTATTGGGCTTGTTATAGTTTTTTTACGGATATAGACCTTGTCTGACTCTCGTATAAAATTACCGGATAAACACACTTTACCAATACTTTAGCCTTGATATCTGAAGATATATGATTTTTTAATATATTTTTAAGGCTCCAATATTTTTTCCACTAAAGCTAATTGATATGGTCTGACATATTGCTCCACAAAGCCGATTTCTTTATTTCTTACTTTCACCTCTCCTTTTTGGGAATTGATCATTAACGTAGTTTTTTCCGCATTGATATGTAGGCCAACCAATTCACATTGTATTAGCAGCTCTTTGACTATTTCATTAATGTTCATTATTGAGTTGGCTAAAATAACTATGTTGTCTACGAACCTCAGATTTGACAGCTTAAACCCATTTATTGATATACCACTCTCATCCCAGTCCAGCTTCTTAAACACATAATTTAAAATGCAGTGGAATAGAGTAGGAGATTGTGGGAAGCTCTGTTTAACATCTCTTATTTTAATTTCCTTCCATGGCTATATAGGATCTACTGTTCATGTATATGTTTTTGAATATATTAAGGTAGATACTATCTATATCCCTGCTCTTCTTAAGCTTGCCAAAACTGGTTGTGGAATACACAGTCAAATGCTTTCCTGTGAAGTCAATAAACGCTAGGTATATCGGAACATTGTACTCCTTACTTTTTTCTATAATTTGGTTGACTGAAGGTGTTCAACAGTGGAGAATTGAGGTCGAAAGCCTCCTTGTTCATAGGGGATGTTCTCGTATGAGTGGAATAAGTCTGTTTTTGATAATTGTAGCAGATAACATCCCAGGCATTTTCAAACCTTGAATACGCAATTTCAGTTTCATACGACTTCTCATTTTTTAGCTAGACTATTGACACTTGCACATTCACATACAAACATTTTACACACACACATAAATATACACACATAGGCTCAGTATTTTGTAAGACTTGGTTATTTAGAAGACTCAGTGGACCTCAAAATGTGTATTTCCATTGAAAACTCAAATTCTAAAGTTTTCATGATCACAATACTTTCTCTTACAATATGTTTCGTATTTAGAATAACTGAAAGTAAACGAGAAGTGAAAGTAAAAGAATAAAATTAAAATGGTGGGTTACTTTCTTACTACTTACAGTAATAATATACAGATATTTTATTCTTATGCCATTTGTTTTAATGCTACGGTTTTATGGATTTTTAGAGTAACGATGGCTTTTTTTATTAATTACTATAGTATTTTTTATTGAAAATTTACAAATAGATAGTTTTAGTGTTCAACAAAAAAATATATCTTTTTTAGATTATTTTTCAATTTTTCTTTATCACTTGAATAATTTCCTTTCCACTGTTTGACACCTAAAAACACAGATTAGGATATCCAAGACATTCCTAATAAAATACAATCTGAGAAATTACTGTGACTAGAAAGATCGTATTTTGGCTGCATCTTTTGTTGTATTGAGAATTTCATAGCTCATTTATTTTCATTACAGATACAATTTTAGTTTGATAACCATTTTTGTAATTTTTAATCATTAAAAAAATTCGTTTTATGTTTTATTTTTTTTAATATGTTTATTTTTGATTATTAAACATTAAGTTATTTAGATAACTTTACATAAGAAATTCAATGACGTGTATTGTATTATAATCATACATATATAATAATGGATGTTATTGTTTAAAAAATGAATAATTTTATTTTGTTGACCATTTTCTCCTATATATGTTTTAATTTGTTTTATTGATGTATTTTTTGTTTGTATATGCAGAAGTAATAGAGCAAGACGCAAGACATGTATTTGAAGACGTTCTTGATGATTTTGCCACTGTGAGAGGAATTCTACAGCAGTTTGAATCCTGGCGAAGACAAGACCTAGATGCTTATGTTGAAGCATATGTCAGCATTTGTCTTCCCAAATTACTTGGCCCAATTTTGCGATTAAAATTGCTGTTTTGGAACCCTATAAGTCAAGTAAGTTACTTTCTTATTCTTACGATTATTCATATTCTCATTTTAATTAAGTGAAATTTTTATTTTTATTCATTGTTTCCTTAAGGTTTAGTTTTATGTTCTTTCCGCGAGTGTGATCAAACTATGAAATCCATCCTTTTATTAATTTACTAACTAAATTGGATGACCAAAAGATAATTTTGTCATAAGGATAGAAAAAAGTTATTTATTTATTAGTCTGACTGAAAATTAGGTAGATTATTCCTGTTGTATACTGGACTAGATAGAATAATGTTCACCAGAAAATTTAACAATTAATAAATTGGAGAATGTTGGTACCCCTCTTTTTGTATTTAAAATATTTATATAACTTTTACGTTGTAAATATAATTGTTCTTATTTTCTTATTAATTAGTTGCATATAAATAGATTGGATAGATAGATGAGAGGAAAGAAATAGCCCGTTTTTATTTAATTTTACAGATTTTTTTATTTATTTTCATTTTCATTTTGTTTTATTCAATTTATAGGGAGGAAGTGAATTTGAAAAAGCACCTTGGTTTAATAGCCTACTTCTGTACGGCTTAAAAGACACTGAAACAGAGGAACAATTACGAAAGGATCCTGATGCTCAGTTGCTGCCAAGGGTTGTGGAAAAAATTGTATTACCAAAATTAACACGTAAGTTTTAACATCTTATTTTATAAACAATTTTAGTCTTCCTGCTATTTATTCTCAATCTAGCCCTTAATTAAAGAGGCATGATAAACTTTTAATTATTAAAGCAAGCAGTATGACTTAGAAATCATTGTTAAAATTCAGGAACTTGTAAATAGCTTCAGTCAAATGACTTTTTAACATCTTAAGCAAGACCTTAGACAAGTATTAGAAGTTCTGATAACGCGGTCGGTCATCTGGATATATAGGCAGTATGCAGGTCCGAATTTTAGTTTTAATGACGGCTCAGTCTCATTCAGTATCCACAAAATAAAATGAAAAGCGTGTCTAAAGAAGTTTTCGCTTCAAAAACATGTTATTTAAAATAAAAATTAGTGAAATCTATAGTGGCAGTTACAAACTGTTGTATGTCAGAAGAAACCGTGTATATCAGAAAGTTATAATATTGTTATTTTAAAGTAAGCAAACTTACTTAGTTTCTTCGTAGTTCTACAGCCCAAGGTGGTCCTTAACTTCTCTGACAACATTACACCAATCCTCTATGCACAACACTCTCCTCCATCAATTCCTTATACCGAGATTTTCCACTTCTTGAATCCAATGTCTCCGAGATCATCCTCTCCTGCATACATTTTTCCAAGCAGAATTCTTTTTTTCATTCTTGATTCATCCATCCACGTGCCTCAACCATTCAATTCTTCTTGCTCATATGAAGCGGACAATGTCACAAGATCCATTCAGCTCATGTAATTCGCTGTTCTTTCGGATTCTCCAGTCACTCTCTTTCAACACAGATCCATAAATTTTATGGAAAATTTTCCATTCAAAGATTCTTAAAGCATTTATTGTAAAGGAGCAAAAGGTCCAAGTTTCCGCAGAATATGTCACTACTGGTCTTATTAATGTTTTATATATCCTTATTTTTGTCGTTCGTGACAACAGCGTTGACGGGAAGAGTTTTATGTTTGTATAGTAAGCCCAGTTACCTGCCATAATCCTATTCACTTCTGCTGATATTTCATTTTTGTAATTAAGATCTACACCAAGATAGGAGAAGGATTTAACGTTTTCGAAAGAAAAACGTTCCAACGCACAGATCTTCTCTAACTGTAGGACATCCCTGCAAATTCATTTAACCTCTGAACCAATATATTAGAGAATATTTTGTACACTACTCCTAAGAGCGATATTCTCCTGTAATTTTTGCTGATCATATCAAGCTTGTTTTCCACTCTGCTGGCATACATTCTTTGTCTCATATACTCTCAATTAGTAATTATAATTGATTATTCAGCTCCTCTCCACCATTTGTAAAGAATTCCACAATCAGAAGGTCTCCTCGAAGAGATTTGTTACTTTTTAATTTGTCAATTGATTCTACCACTTCCTTGATTGAGAGCAGTTTTAAATCAGACAAGTTTTCTAGCTCCGGTGTCACGCCATTGTCCATGCTTCTTACATTCAGTAAATCATTGCAATGTTTCTCTCATCTGTTAATTACCAAGGTTCTTCTAATATTTTTCCATTTTTATCTTTACATACATCTACCTTAGGTTGGAATCCACGGTTCATATATCTGACAACCACATAGAATTTTCTCTTCATTATTCACCCTTAGTTCTTCTATTTGTTCAATTTTCTTTTTTAAGAATTCTCTTCTTTCTTTCTTATAATATTATTGGATTTTCTTCTGCTTTCATTATATGTGGATTAGCTTTGTCTAGTGGAGCGTTGAAATACACCTAATCTATGCTCATTTCTAACATTTAGGGCTGCTGCGCACTCCTCATCGAACCATTCCTCACTTCTCTGCTCTCTCTTCACTCCAATTACTTTATCTGCCGATTCCTCAATAGCTTTTCTAATTTTATGCCATCTCTCTTCAACTTACCCAATTTCAATTCCTCTCAAATTCTCTGTCAGTTTATTTCTTACTGATTCTTTAAATTGCTCAGTGATATCTTCAAGTTTAAATTTTTCCAAATCCCATTTCTTCCTATAATTATTTATAAAGATATAAAATTTTAATTTCTGTACTTGTTTGTTATTCTGAAGGGACTTCGTCCCAGAATAAAATTATTTTTCTGTTCTTTCTATTCTATTCTATAATGCCTACTCCCAGATTTTACGTATGTTAATCGCTCTCTTAACTTTACTTTGTCTAAGAAGTGGTCTGAGTCACAGTTAGGTGCACAGACAGTATTTACATCAATAATAGATAATGCATGTCTTCTATCTATCAATATGTGATCTATCTGGTTTATTGCACCATTGGGAGCTTTCCATGTTCCCTTGTGTATATTTTCCCGATGGAAAAATGTACTTTAAATTAATATGTCACTCGCTTCAGCGAATTGGCAGAGATGGTTTCCATTCTCATTTGTCTCATAATGAATTGAGAATTTTCCTGCAACGGTCTGTGTAAAGCTCTTGGTTCCTCATTTGTGCATTTAGGTCTCCTAAAATAATTTTAACATCATATTTTGGGGATGCGTGATACACTCTTTCCAATTCTTGATAAAATTCCAATTTTACATCATCATCTACTTCCTCGGTTGATGCATATGCTAAAATCAATGTTACGTTTCTAAATCTACCTTTCAATCTAAGTTTACAAATTCTCTCACGAATAGGTTCAAATAGTAGTAAACTCTTCCTTATTTTCTTTGTAATTAAGAATCCATTTAAGTTAGGTCTACTGTAAAACAATGAGAAATCTTTCTTGTCCACTCTGCCTGAACCATCTTATCTTGTCTCCTATAAGGCTACTGCGTCTATGTTAAACTTTATTTTCTGCTCATCCACTTCTGCCATTTTACTAGGCTGTAGCATTGTCCTTACATTCCATATTGCTATAGTCAAGTCCAAATTCCTGTTCCATGTCCTTTTCCTTTTAATCCAATCCGGCTTATTGTCAGTAGGTTTCTGAACATTTATTTGTTATATGGTGGGGCATTAACCCCATACTCAACCCCCAACCTGGAGGACCAATGCTTTGAATTCAGGGCTCCGTCCCCTAGCATATAGGGCTGTAGCATGTAGTGGCTTTCACTACAGCTTACAGAGTCCATCCTACCCTTGATTTCTTTAGATTTTTCTCGCCCAGACTTTAGGATTCCCTCCCAAACCATTTACTGGTGGCACTTACTCTTCATGTCACAACATCATCAACAGGTTTTGTGATATTTATTACATATGACCCTGCCATAGGTCATACGTTCATTCTTGCTGATGTTACTAACCTGTATATCAACAGGCTGTTCTGCTATCCGCCACCTGTGAATCCGTCCAGTAGCTGGAGTAAGGTCCCTGGGTTAGAAGCAAACTTCTTAGTAAAAATTATAAAAATTAAAATATAAAATGTATGTGCGAAAATTCGAAAAACATTATAATAGAAAGTGACTACTTTTTGTGGCGGATGTTGAGATGGAATACTCCTAAAAAAGGCAGTTGAAAGTAAGAGAGTATACGATGGAGTTCTCGATTAAATACTCGATGGTAATTTGTGAAGTTCTGAGTAGAGAGTCCACTCACTACAGTTGGATTGTTAGACATCCATTTGATAATACTCCAGAGCTGGGATAACATACATGTATATGTCCAAAAAGAATTTGGTCAAATAGAATAATTTACAAGTATTTAAGAAAATTCTATCTATTGAAGGAAGTTAGTCGACCGTTCTACATATCAGGGGTGATAAATAGTAAGGGCGCAGTCATTTTTAAGGTTTTTATTGGTGCTGATGTTTTAACCCAAGCATCGTCAGTCACCATCAGGGCGTGTTTTGAGCACTGAAAGTGTTAAAGTGATTTCAGGTGGACTTGAACACCTTCAGTGCTTAAAACATGATGATGGCGCACATGCTTGGATTGAACTGTCTGCACCAGTAAAGACCTTAAAAAAGACTACGTTCTATTTATCATCCATAAAAATTACATCTAAATGGCAACATCAAATTCAAAGGTGCGGCCTCCAAATGTTTTGTGCAATATTTGTTAATCTAGTGCTAGAATTAATTAATATATAATTATTTAAGTAACATAATTTGGAAATTAACAGAATTAAGTTGAATATATGTGTATATGATTGTGTTTATTTAGTGATAAATAAAAATAGCAACAATAACACATTAATTGTTGCGGCCTCCAATAGCACTGCCTAACCTTATTGTAGCGCCTAATGCTAAAAAGCTTTCCCACTTATGATCTAAGTGAAGAACGTAAAAAGCTTAAAAGACTGAGTGAAGAATATAAAAAGCATAAAATAAAATAGTATTAACTTTTAAAAAAATATTCATAACATTAATTCATTATATTTTGATGCCTAGATTTTAATCCATGAAGTTCTGGCATTCCATATAGTTAAATTAGTCTTTGTTTTATATATATTTTGAAGAGTTGAATTAAATTAATCTTAATAAAGCTTCTTTTTCATTTGTTTCAGAATTAGTGTCTGAATGTTGGGACCCGCTATCAAGTAGCCAAACAGTCTCCTTGGTAGGTCTTGTTACCAAACTTATACAGGATTACCCTACATTGACTCACAAGTCTAAATTCTTAACAAATTTCTTTGAGACTGTTCTTGAAAAGTTGAAGGAATCTGTTGAAAATGATGTTTATATACCTATTTATCCACCTCAGTAAGTACTTAAACTAATAATTTATTTTAAAATGAAACAGGATAAATTAGCTATGTTTATTTAATTAATTATTTTAAGGTTCTGATTAACACTCTCTTATTGAACACCTATGTTGTTGATTCTTAGTCAAAATAAAATTCAATAAATAATTCTTTTTCTATGTGAGATTGTTTAATTGTGGTCAGCCTGTTTTTCTAATAACATTTTCATTATTATCAATGAAGCATTTATTTATTTTTATTTTGAAATAAGCTTATTTGTCTGAATATAAATTGATTTTTCATGTAGAACAGAGGTTCAACTTTTATTCAGATTAGATTTTAGGAAAATTTTAATTTGAACAAACTTGGGACTTTTAAGTTAATAGTTTATTTTTGTTTCTACTATAATTATGAGAGGCATCTAGTTTACATTAATAACATGTTATAACTCGATAACTTATGATCATTTAGGGGAGAAAAAATGCAATACCAATTTTGGTTCAAAATGAGATTGGGACTGGGAGAGGGGTTGGGCGAGCGGTCTAGCTCTTTGTGTAAAACATGCATTGCCTGGCAATCTTATAAACTAAAGATTACAAGTTCAAATCCCAGTTCTGGGGGACTTTTAACTCTGGCAGTAATCTGCCACCCTTTCTCCCCCTGGAAGGGTGGAAAACAAAAAAACTAGATCAGGATGATACATAGGATCAAGAAAATTTTAAACCAAAACAAAAAAGAGAGTAGTTGATTTTATAGAATCAAGATTTGAGAATATTAACTTTTTTAGATAAATTTTTGAAAATTTAAAAGGGCAGAAAATAAATGATGGGATAGGTACATGGAATCACCTAGAGTAAATTTTTAACTAACTTTAGTCAGAATCATACAAAACAAATTTAACAGATTACATTTTATTTTAGTGCTTTGTTTTTCTTTTGATATAAACCATTATACTTTTTGAAAATACAGTAAAATAAAATATAATATCTTATGGAAATGGATATATTTATAACATTTGTACATTTAAATTCCTCCGCACTGAGAGGCACACATAGTGGAAAAGAAAGAAGAAGTTCAATCAGTTTAATAAAACATCATTCTTCTATTAATTTGCCATTTAGTTAAGTAAACTAATTTCAAAGCTTGATCATGATAATTTTTATATTTTTATTAAATTTGAAAATTGATTTCTTATGAATAGTTAACCTTTTTTTCTGAAAATTATTTTTAAAATGGAAGGTCGACTTATATTCATCAACTTATTTTAACAGTATTTGAGTTAAAATTAAATTAATGGAGAGGTTGTAATTGTTGAGCTTGTCAAAGTATAAACTTTCACATTCTCGATACTGGTTCAAATCCGGTCTGGGAAGATTGAAATTTATTTTGTAGTGAACCCACGGAATGAATGTCGACCTTCCCACTTTATTTAGAATCAGTTTGGTCGTACCTCTAGATTAATCCTCCTCCCCCTTCGTTTGCCAGAAATGGCAAGGTAGATGATAATAGAAAAAAAAAACAGACGATAAATGGACTAAATATGTTCACCTATCCTTATTAATTATATGATCTTATATACTAACTCATTTTGAGTTACTTTGTTTTTTTATTTATTCAGTTATGTTTTTATATTATTTTAGGAGACTAAATGAGGGAAAGGTGATGAACTTTTTCATGAGGCAGTGTACTGTGGCAATTAAATTGCTTGGTAACATAACCCGATGGCAAGGTGTGATCAGCGACTCTTTGCTATCTGATATAGCGCTGAATTCTCTTCTTAATAGATATTTACTTTGTGCCATACGCTCATGCAGTATGTTACAAGGTGCTAACTTATGTCAAATGGTAAGGAATGGTGTTTTATTTTTAGAATTTGTAAAAATTTTCGTTTTTATGTATCTTGTTCAAGTACTTAACACTAACGATCAAGCCATTCCAGTGAATCTTTCTCTGTGGACCAGATTTTTTTTCTCTTAAAAGTTGTAGTATATTGTTAGAAAAAGTAACATGCATTTTTTTAAGTTTTAAGAATAATAATCGTGATAATGTTATAAAAACGGAGCAGGCGTATATGCCTGCCATTATCCATAGGGATATTACTGGATATTAATTTAATTTTTATTTCAACGCCGAATTACGTGAACTGTATCCGGGTAATATTATAATTGTGGTAATTTCATCGCGGCGAATCAAATGGGCTTGTAAAGTTGTTGGACTTAGTAACAAGAGAATTCCTAAAAGGTTAATATTTGCTGTGCCGAATGGTAAGCGTCCGAGGGGTAGACCGAAGCGAAGGTGGGAAGATTGCATTAAAGCTGATCTGAAGGGACTGGGTTTGGACGGTGAACGGTGGAGGGAGCGATGGGGGTTGGTAATAAGCGATTGGTGGTGTCGGCATCGAACCTTCGGGTTCGCTAAGCCTTTATTATTATTATTCTCTATTTTTATTGTTGATATATATTTCTAACATGTATATCATCATATTTAGATTATTTTTGGAAATTTAAACAAAAAAGAGCGACATTATTGCAAAAAAAAAAGTTTACTTAGGTGCCGTATAGAACCATTGCTAATTTATTTTCAGTGAAAATGAGTTTTTACCTTTGCAAGTATACTGTACTGTAAAGTACGGCCTTACTTTTCCCTTTTCCCTGTTTATAAAATAAAATAAATAATATTAAAACTGATAGGAATAGATCATGTAAAAAAGATGATGCACAATTTGAAATTAAATTCTAGGTATTTTTATGATGATAATGAAAAGGTAAGTCCAACCCAAAGTGATAAATATTTTCACAAGAACCATAGCTGTCATTCTTAACAGGTAATTGGATGTTTTAACTACACATAAATTCCTGTTTGTGGATCTTGATGCCGTATACGCCCACCATGATCCCTTGGGCAAAACAGTGAGCGGGCATTAAGCCTCATGCCCGCTGTAGTCGTTAAAGTGTTAAATTTTTCGATTATGTCATTTCAATGAAGAATATTTTGTCAAGATTAATCAGTTACCTATTAATGTAAATTAGATTAGCGATAAGTGAAATTGTTTGTCATCATAAATGTTTAGTGGATATTAAGCTTTAGTTTCATATCATATCCTAAGTTATTCAATAGAGGGGGAAATCCCTTCTTTTAATTTTGTAGTGCAGGCATGTACATTACTTGGCCTTCATTAATTGTTTTTCTGTTTAAAATCATTTGCAGATATATGTTTATCAGACTTTTTTAAAATTCTAAATGACATGTATTAAAACATACATATTAATTAAAATATTAATTATTACTAAGCTGTTTTCTGTAAGCCCTTCAAATCAAATTGAATTATTACTTTTCTTTCTATTATCTTTTTTACATGATTGTTTATTTTATTTTATTTTTTTTGTAGATTGGAAATGTACTACCAAGAATCTGGCTCCAAGTATGTGTTCATCCACCACAACTTACTCAATTTTTAGATCAATCTAAACAAATAGCAAAGATGTTAGATGTGGATAAGCCTTTAGAAAGGTAAATATACATAGTTCTCTATAACAAAAATTCCAACTCCTTGATATCGGACGTACTACTTCTTCTCATGATATTAAGTTATCATGATCCTCATATTCTACTTCCTCTGTACCGCTTAAGCGGTGTGAGGTTGCCTTTTGTAGAGCTTGGATCTGGTGAACCTCTCCTTCACCAGGTCTCCTGTTCCATTCTAGCCCTCGCTTCTGGTACGCATCTCGTACGCTTTCTTCCCAGAAGATTTGGGCTCTTTCTCTCATTCTTCTCCCCTGTACACTGGTCTCATAGGTCTTCCTTGCAACTCTGCACTGATTCATCCGGAGAATGTTGCCAAACCATGTTTTCTTCTAGAATGGTTTTCACTGGCTAGACTTAGATGTTGGTACGGATGGTACATTTTGCGAATCCTGTCTCGTTTGTTCTTCCGCTGCACCTTCTCTAGGGATTGTTTCCAGGCGAGGTTCAAGAGACGGAGAAACATCTGTCCTTTACTTCCCATTTACCTCATCATTTCCAGAGTGATTCCATCCAGTCCTACTGACTTGTCGAGTTTCGTCTTGGAGATGGATTCCTGTAGTTCTTCATGGATGTAATCATCCTCTTCTGAAAGATACTCCTCTATCGCCCGGGTCTCTTTTTGGCTTAAATTTCTTCCAACAATTCCTTAAATATTATCTCCATCTCTCCATTATCTTCTCATACCGCCAGATAATTTTTTCATCTCGACTCTTGATTCCTTTTAATGTTGGTTTTCTTTGGCATTAGATGGACAGTGGGTACCTCCAGTAAAAAGAAAATAAAAAACAATAGAAATTTGAGATAATCAATTATGAAAATCTATTAATTGTAGAAATCCTAATATTTGATGAAAAGGGTGTGTTCTAGAGTCAGCTTTTATGCCCCCTCCCCCTGCAAGTTTGTCCATCACTTTAAGAAGTGTCTGTATTTCTAAGGTGTAAAAATTGCAAATAATGTTTAGTTCGTCAATGTTCGATCAGCTATTGTGTTAGTATGTGATGTGTGCTTTTTGGCATATTGTGTATTTGTAGTGTTTAACAGTATTTATAATTATTAATATTTATGTTACACGAGTACTATTGGATTGTACTTGTGCAAGGGTTTCCAGTGTTTCAGGCTGCAATGGTCCTGCTTTCCATTAGAGCAGGTAGAAGTTAAGATATTATTCTGTTATCTTAAAATTAATAATATCGAGTCAATTTAGTGATATTTCTCATTTATTTTATTTTTTTCAATTACCTCATCGCCATTTCTGCCATGAAGGGATTGAGAGGGTATGGTCCATCACAAAATATGGATTTGAAGCAAAAGTATTCAGACACATTAATTTGTTCTTAAGAACTTTCTGTTCATAATAAAATACCGTAAAAATTGTATTGTCTTAGCCTTCTTAAGTTATGAATCCTACTAACTTTAGGATAAGAATCCTAGGGTTTTTGTATTTTGAGGTTGCCATCCAGCCTTATATATATTGGGAGGGAAGGTGGAAGGGAATTTAGAGTATTTTACTAAACTGCATTTATCTTTCCCAAGCCATATAAATCTTTTTCAGGAATTTCTGATCTGAAGAAAGCAATATTTAGATTATATTAATCTAAAATAAAATAAATAAATTCAAATAAAACAAATTTGATTCAAAAGAAACATTTAATTAATGTCTGTAGTATTATTACCTGCTGAGAATAACTCCTTATTGGTAGGAGAAATGTTTCATATTTAAAATTTTACTCTATTCTCCAGAAATCAATTCTGACTGCATTAAGCGGTTATCTTAGAAGGAATTTCCTAGGATCCTAAGAAGATTATAGATGGTAATGTTTACATTAATATTTTTCAAATTTGAGACGTAATATATAGAATTTGATTGGTATAAACCTAAAAATGGTTTGATTTTAAGTTTAAATTGGAAATGGATTAGAATTTATTTTGCCAAGATGTGTACAACTGTAATCAATCATTATTACATAGGAATTTTTTTTTGTAGGGATGCTTTAGAACGTATGACTGGTGTCCTGAAGGCTGCAGCATCAGTATAATATACAAGACTCATCGTTGCATCTACGAATTTTAGAATTTTCTCTTCTTTCTTATTTGTTTTCAATAAACAGTAAAGAAGGACAGTTTACACATATGATAAAGATGAAAAACAGTGAACTTTGATTTTATTCTAAAAGAGGTTTTCTCTTTGCGCACATTTTCTTTTTGTCTTTATATTTTTCGATTCCAAAATAATTAATTAGTTTTATTAATTAGCAAAACCTTTGTAATAAATATTATCTATCAAATGACTGAAAATATGTATTGTAATTATGCATCAATTGTATTCGAAATATGGTTTCATTGTGATTGTACTTGTTTTAGTATATATTTGCGGGAAAGTATATATCTAAGACATTTTTTAACATTCTTGCATTTTTTTTTTTTAATTCCATATAATTTTTTTTGTAATTATTAACGTGCACTAGAAATTTTGTAAATTGAAGGTAACATTCATCTGTGCCTCCATAGTGAAGAATGTTATGGACTTGCTATAAGATAATTATGAAATAATCTTACATTTAAAATATTTAAATTTAGTTTACTGGTGTTGTTTATATAAATTTATTTCATTATTTCTGTAGTATTAATTTTTATCTAAAAACAAGTAAAAATAATATGTTAATGAGATTCTTTATTTTGTAATTATGGCAATCTTAATGTGTCTTACTCAATATTTAGATATAATTAATTTCATAATTTTTCCTTGTTTTTGTTCTCGTATCAATAAGTTATTAAATAAAATTTTTATATGTATATACTGCAGGTTTTGTTTCAAAACCTTATTAACTTATATTTCTTGAGTAATATGTAACATTCTTAAGACAAGTTTTATAAATATATTTAAAAAAATATATATGTTTTTCTATTGATCATTTCAATCAAATAAAATAAAGATTGGTCACCCCATAACTCTAAATTCATAATATATTATAATTTCTTCAAAATTTAGGATGTTAATGTCAGCCGGCTGTCTGAAGTAATGTGTTCAGATGAGAATTTCTTTTTCTTTTTTTCTTTTATTTGAAAATTAATACATTCTGCCGCATTGGAGGGCATTAATATTAGGGCTAAATTAAACATTCACACAATATATACATACAAATGATAACTAAAATAGAGATAAAAGAAAAAGAGTTGTAGAAAGTAAAATAAGAAAATTAACATACATAGGAAAAAAAAAAAAAAAAAAAGAGAGAAACTAAATGAAATTAAAATATATAAAACACATTCACACCTATATACAATATTTACATTCACCTGGGGAATTCCAAGTCATGCTTTGTCCCCCAAATGTGGAAGCCAAAGCAGGACCCCAGGAGATCCCAGTGCTTCTCCCCCAGCCGCGTCTCTGGTATTGCAAGCCAGTGGAGACTGATGGGGGGCACTAGAGCAACAGACGCTCAGGACTTGAGTGGAGAATCTGGCCATTGCCAGTATTCCAATATGTATATATATACAAAAGGTTGCGGAGCCACTGCCGTTTTAACCTCCGGGGAGGATTGTAGTGATGTCTGGAGCTAGATAGGGATTGTGCTACAGGATTTGGATGATGAGTGAGTTTCTGGTGAAATTTGAAAAATTTGTCTGGGATTAGATCAATAACAAATGGGATATGAAGGGTTTTATTGGTTACATAGAAGGGAGCATCGACTATTGTTCGGAGGACTTTAGACTGAAACGATTGAATGCGCTTAACGTTAGAAGGTTTTGTTGACCCCCACAGTTCTAGTCCATAGGTCCAGATAGGTTTCATGATCCTGTTGTAGATTAGCAGAGTTGTTGTCGACTGAAAGTTGAGATTTTCTATTCATTAGTCTATATAGCTGTCCCTATCGTCTGTTAAGTTGTTATCTTTTAAGTCTGATATGTGGGTTCCAAGTTAGTCTTTTATCTAGAAGAAAGCCAAGATACCGGACTGTGTCTGAGAGAGGAAGTGGTATGGATTCGAAATAGACTGGTGGGCAGGACTTGGGCCGAAGGATAAAAGTGATGTGTTTGGATTTGGATTCATTTACATGGATGCCCCACTTGTCACACCAATGTTCAATAAGAAAAAGGTGACTTTGTAGGTTTGAGGATGCTGTTTTAGGATCTGGATTGGAACATAGGCTGAATGTGTCATCAGCGAATGTTGCCAGGAGGGTTTCCGGATGAGTAGGAATATCAGGGGTAAACAGAATGTAGAGGACATGACCCAAGACGCTGCCTTGAGGAACTCCCGCCTCAATTGAATGGCAGTTGGAGAATTCTGTACCACAACGAACTCGAAAGGAGCGGTCAGAGAGGTAGGACCGGAGTATTATATATAAGGACAGGGGTAGGTGAATTTTGAGCTTGAAGAGTAGTCCGGTGTGCCATACGTGGTCGAAAGCTTGCTTGATGTCCAGGAATACACACAAGCGATACTCTTTACTTTCTAAGGCTGAGGATATGTGGTCAACAATTCGGAGTCCTTGTTGAACAGTGGAATGCTGGAAACAAAATCCGAATTGATGGGTAGGAAGGTTTTGCGATTCTATTATGGATAGGATTCTTTTTAATAGGATTTTTTCAAATATTATTGAAAGGATTGGGGGTACGCTGATTGGTCTATGGGATGATGTGTAATTGGAAGGTTTGGCAGGTTTCAGGAAAAGGACGATGGTGGAATGTTTCCATAAAAGAGGAAAATGGATAGTTCTTAGGATGCAGTTGTATATATATGTGAGGAACATGATTGCTTTGGGTGGTAGTTGATGAAGGATCTGTGGGGCTAGAAGATCTTATCCAGGAGATTTGCGGGCAGATAATTTTTGTAAATGATATTTGACCTCAAAAGGATGAACTACTTTTGGTGGTAGGGAAAGTGGAATCGGTGAGGTGAATTTTTCTACTTTTGCAGTATGGATGGGACTCAGGATGAGGAGTAAATGTACAGGAGTGGTGTTTGGCGAATTCCTCAGCTTTGTCTTCATCAGACGCCGCCCAAGATCCATCACCTCGACAGAGGGGATGGGAAATATTTTGGGATTCATGGGACTGGGGGGAATCATAAGCCTTTTTACTTTCACTTATCTATATATGGAATATATAGTAAGGGTAAGTATTGTGATCCTGAAAATTTTTGAATCTGAGTTGACCAAATAACCCACAAAATGGTCTGTGAGTCTGTGTGTATGTGAACAGTCTAGCTCTAAAGTCATAGATACTGATATTACATATTTAAGATAGGTATATGCCTCAGATGTTACAGCAACTTTTCTCTTACAATCGGCTTACCTGAAGTGCCAGTTTATATCAACAATGAAACATATTTCTCAAAAACGGCTCTAACGATTTTGATTAAACTCGTCTATCATTGTATAATTAAAGTAATCTTTAATATCATTTAGGTCTTATCCCCATTGATATGACTTTACGGGGCTTAAATAGCCAATTTTCATATACGTCTTCCTCTAAACCACTAGCGGATCCAGGATTTAATTTTGGGGGGCTTCAGCCCGAAAGATTTTTTTTCACATATATAACGATAATTAATTTGGAAAAAAAAAAGAAAGAAATGAACTACCTATATGAAATGGTGTTTAAGTGATTCTTGAAGTCCTATTAAATGTAATTACACGGACAATAATACTTTAAGAGATAGTTTTTAATATTTTTTTCTATATTTATATTTTACCGTTTTGGGGGAGGCTTCAGCCCGAAAGCCCCCCTCCCCGTAAATCCGCCTGTGCTCTAAACTACCTTTAATATTTTTTATTTAAAAAATGAACTTTCTTTTATTGACAGTGAATATAAAAAATGTGATAATTGGAAACTGAAGAAATAAAGAAAAATGCTTATTCAGGTTGAATTTGAATCTTCGGAAATAAAAGTCAGAAGGTATAGGTATAATCACAGGCGGATTTACGGGGGGAGGCTTTCGCGCTGAAGCCTCCCAAAATGGTACAATGTAACCATGTTTTATGGTAAAAAATATAAAAAAATTATGTCTTAACATATGATTGCTCGTTTAATTACATTTAATAGGGCTTCAAGAATCACTTAAACAGCATTTCATATTGGTAATTAGTATCTTTCTGTTTTTCCAATGTAATTATCGTTATATATCTGAAAAAAAAGCTTCCGGGCTGAAGCCCCTCCCCCCCCAAAAAAACAACTAAATCCTGGATCCGCTAGTGGGTATAATATATCGTTGGAAAGCGGAGAATTTTAGAAAAAATAATATTAAATAAAAAAAGTAGTAGAAGGTAATGGAGAGTGACGAAAAAATGCAAATAACAATTTCAGAAAACCAACATTATTTATCGTAAGTTACATGTTTCAAATGAAATTTTCCTACTAAAACTTTTGAATTTTTTTAATAACTTTGAAAACTTAGTAACTAAAAAAAAGTATTTAAAATCCACCGAACTAAAAAAAAAGTATTTAAAATCCACCGAATCATGACATTTCCATTGTTTAAAATACTATTTAATTGTACTTGTGTGACAGATGAAGTGAAATTTAATAATATTTCATGGATATGTTTATAACCTTAAATATTTTTGCTGTAGTTTAATAACTCTAGATATGATATTACATTTAATTAATTAGGTATCTAACTGCCGTTTATTCCAAAAAATCATCAAGTAATCTTTTAGTGAATAAAATTAGAGAATAATTTGATGAATTTTCCGTTTGTGAAATCCCAACATTAACCACTTACAACCACCTAGTGCGATAACTTTTGTATAGATATACCTATCTGCTTACTGTCTGTATAGATATAACTTTTCCAACTAGAAATATAACTAAAATGACATTATTCAGAAATGTTGAAATTGGAGTCATTCTGTCAACTGAAAGGCTCAGAGACTGAAGTTATGTGGTTTATAAAACTAGATGTTTATTGCCCACCATCGATATAATAAATAAACTTTTTGCTATTTTAATGGTGTTAACGATTTGTTTATCTGAAAGATTTAAGCTTTAGCTCCCTTTAAAATGCACTTAAAAAAATTATTATAGCTTAACATTGCCAAAAAATAATTTCTATTCAAAGTAGAGAGGTAAGTGAAAGTTATGCGTTGCGCGCACCAGATTTTTTAAATTGGTATACAGCTGGTGAACAACAACGCTGTACTATATTTTTTTCTCTAATATTTGCCATCAAGAAAATACTTGATCAACAGTCGAACGGTTCCGTTTAAATCCGCACTGGTAGTCCACGATAATTTTCTCGGCGTATTCCGTGATTCGACTAGTTAATATTAAAGTGAATATATAATAACAGGCCGGAAGGAGTGAAATTCCTCGATAGTTATTACAATCCGTGCTCGGACCCTATTTGTGGATCGGTATAAGAATAGAGATTCTTTCCATTCTTCAGGTCATTTCTCATTCTCCCAGACCTTTTTAACCAACAAATGCATTTTAGAAACTCCAGCTTCCCCGCATGCCTTAGTTCGTTCACTAGGATTATAATCGGTTCCCGCTGCTTTATAAGAATTGAATTTTCCGATAGCTACTTTAACTTCCTCTATACTCGGTTCTTCGATTAACGTTTCAGCACTCTGGTGCTCAGAAGGAGATAGATCATAATTTACCGTATTTAAAATATTGTCAAAAGGTTCTTAAATTTATTTAATATGTCTATCGAATCGGTCAGAATATTGTTATTTTCGGCCCTAATTCCAGGCTTGTTGGGTCCTAAACATTTATGTGAAGTGTTTATACCTTTGTGCACGTATCTTACGTTATTTTCGGTTCTATTAGTTTCTGTTTCTATTATTTTATTTTTAAGATACCTCCTTTTTTTTTTTTTTTTTTTTGAGCAATTTTGTCGTTTCATTCTTTGAGGTTCGGAAGTAATATTTTGACAAACATTACTTTTTTAAAAGTGGAATCATAT